GTAAACCCAACTAGGAGCTCAAGCTCCATCCTCCCGCCCCCAATACAGTACTGTGAAACGACGACTTTCGTACAATGGCAGACCTCAACAACGCGTGCGAACGAAATTGTTCCTCCAGATCTCCTACAGATATCGAGAATGGGTAACAACAGCCCTTCAGAAGTCTCACCAGAAGACATCGACTATAACAACCCACCCTTCCCCCTCACAAAAATCGACCGCGAAATCCTAGCAACCCGAGATGAAGACTACCACCGCATTACCTGGTCGGATCTCAAATCCATAATAGCAAACCATACTCTCGAAGACCTGAAACGATTGCCCTCCGATCTCCGTCGCTACCTCGCATGGTCCCATAGTATCAAAAAGCAATATGGTGGGATAACGCCGTTTGTGATCCAAGAGCGGTTGCATTGGACTCCTACTTCTCGGCCAGGAGAACCACCGCTCTTCGAACATGTCTCTGACGTACCCTTCGAGGAGAGGATTGATTATGCTGTTCTTCTGAATGATTGGCCGTACGGGTTTGAACCCGGGATTGCGCACATCGTCGTTTGGAGTAAAACGCCCATCAGAACGGATGATACACTCGGCGATGTGACGGAGGAAAGTAGACGCCTTATAGAGGAGTTTGTGGAAAGGTATTTTGTGCGAGAGTTGGACAATGGTGGGAGGGAGAGGGTATTGTGGTTCAAGAATTGGGTTAGTTTGCAGAGTGTGAGGGGGGTGGATCATGTGCACGTTTTAGTGAAAGATGCGCCGGAGGAGTTACTGAAGAAGTGGACCAAGAGGAATGATCCGTGAGGTGCTTCGCTCTTGCGAACCCTCATGGCGCAGAGAGTCTTCCAGAGCTGGGAGAGCATAGGTTGATAGATAGATAGATAGATAGATAGATGGTCTCTGTACCAGACAGCAATCTAGAGCGAGGACTGTGCATAGTTTGTACAGCGTACTATTCTACAGTAATATACATGAACTCGGAGTCTTCAACCGGAATCACCTCTCATCTCGTTCAGAACAGCTCTCTGTCGCTGTCCACTCATCTTCTCAAATCGATCAACTACCATCGTAAACGTTCCTCGACCGCCGGTGAGGGACCGCAAATGCTTGAGATATCCAACCATCTCCTTCAACGGAACCTTCGCGACGATCTGTCTCATTCCATTCGCACCACTTCCCAATCCAGCGTCGGAGGACACATGCCCGCCAGCATAGGGATCTGGCGGAGCATAAATCTTAGTCACGTCAATATCGCGGGCTGAAGAGTCGTCTTGAGGTTCATCTGAGCCGAGCGAGACAACGTTCCCGCCACGCGCGGAGGAGATATCGTGGACAACGGATCCGAGACTCTCCTCGCCCACGCTTATGGTGACAAGCATCACGGGTTCCATCAGGACGGACTCGCCAGCATTGGAGCTCTCTTTGAGGGCACGTTGGACGGCAAACCTAGCTGCAGAGGACAGGGCTGCAGCTGTAGTGGTTGGAAAGAGGTGCTTGGATGGATCGAATGTGATGTGGATCTTGGCTGAATGAATTGGGTACCCGTGCGTGGGCCCCCGTGCGAGAGCCGCGGAAACTCCATTTTGTAAAGCCTGCAGGATGGCTTGCAGCGGAAGGCTTTCTGGCAAGCCTGGTTTTTCGGGATCGATTGGGGATCCATCCTCATATAGCGTAGGTGTTGTCACCGTGAGGTGGTTGTTGTCGTGCAGTTCGAATGAATGAAGACTCTTGCCGGCAGTTCCCTCTTCACTTGCAGGTACAACAGAGGCTGTGCAAGAAGCCTTCGAGCTCTTACCTCCAACTTCTCGATCAAAAGTCTCCGTGATCTCGTCGCTGGAGGTCGTGATCGCTTCCCGGTACCCTATTTCGATGTTGCCAATTCTGGCTCTCGCCTTTAGGTCGCTTACTAGTCGATCTCTTGCGATCTCGAGATGCAATTCTCCCATACCAGCGAGATGTGTCTGTCCACTCTCCTCGTCAAGAGACACATGCAAGCTTGGGTCCTCTCTGAGAAGAAGCTCAAGACATTCCTTGATGTGCTTCTCCTCCGATAAGCTGTTCGGCTCCACACTGACAAAGAAGACCGGCGGCGGTACATCAATCGGCCTGAGCTGCAATGTGTTTACCGGCCGCGGCGGTCCGCTCTTCGGATTTGCGCCGGCGTAGCAGATCAAGGTATCTCCAGTTCGAGTAAACTTGAGCCCTGGTATCACGCCGATCTGACCGGCAGGAATCGAATCAATATCGATCGCGTCGTTGGCGTACATTTTCATCAACCTCTGTGCTCGTTCCGAGTTCTGTAGCGTCGTATTCCAAAGCAAAGCATTGCGATTTACGGAGCCCGAGTACACCCTGACGTACACCAGCACGCCTCTTTTAGCGTCTGCTACGACCTTGAAGGCCAACGCACATGCTTCGAGCTTTTGTACGGACAAAGTTGCTTGGTTCTTGCTCACAGCTCGTCCAGTGCCTTTGACCTCGGGTATTGCCTCTGCGACTAGTTTCCCGGATAGAAACGCACTCAGCCCACCCCTCGTGTTCGAGCCCAGACTGACCTCAGGATCTGGTCGTTCTTCTGGCGAAGTTAATAGATCCACCACAGCGTCTAAGAGAGGTTGTACACCAACGTTGCGGAAGCTGGCACCTGCATAGATGGGAGCGATAGGCTGGGGATGCTGTAGAACACATCTTCTCAGCGACTCGGTAAGATCGCGCGATGAAACAGCGAGATGGTCCTCGTCTGCTTCCAGATACTTTTCCACCATCTCGTCGTCGTGCTCAGCAAGCCTTTCGACAAGAGCAACACGGGCTTTCTTCAACTCGTCCGCTAGACTCGAATCCTCAGATTCAAGCTTCTCGAGATCGAAGAATTTGACCTCCCTGCCGTCGCTCCCTTCAGCATAGCGGAGACCTCGCAGCCCCACCACATCACCGACACCTTGTAACCGGCCATCGGAAGTCCACCAGGGAATGCCGCACACCGCGGGCCAAGCCCCAAGACGAGCGCCGACTTCCTTCACAGTCCGTCCGAATGCGGCTCCGTCGCGGTCCAGCTTGTTCACATAGACAATTTTGGGGATAGCGTATGCAGATGCTTGGCTCCAGACTTTTTCCGTCTGCGCCTCAACCCCAGCGACGCCATCCAGAATGCACACAGCACCATCCAGGACTCGTAATGATCGTAGGACTTCAAACGTGAAATCGGCGTGCCCAGGAGTATCGATCAAATTGATGTTGTGAGGTGTCGACGATCTCGGAGCTCCAGGTGTGACTTTGGGTTGCTTGTTGTCGACAGTGGGGGGCCAGGAGAATGAGATAGCAGCTGACTGGATGGTAATGCCTCTTGCTCGCTCCGCCGGGAGGAAGTCTGTTACTGTGCTCCCCTCGTCGACGTCTGCAGTGCGTCAGAAAGGGATACGCTGCCATCTGAAAATCATCATACTGCACGTGCAATCGATGGTGCCAACAGACTGGACGAATATGATCAGTACTCACCTCCTATTCTGCGAGTGAAATTGGCGTAATATAAACATCTTTCTGTCGTCGTCGTCTTGCCCTACATCGTTCCGTAAGAGACAAACTTTCGTGCACTACCTGCTCAACACCTACCGCATCGATATGGGCGATTATGCCGATGTTTCTCGTCCGCGAGAGGGCTGATCGCTCGACATCCTGAGCCGAAGTCGCATAATGCCGATTCAAACACGAGGAGATGTATGGGATGCGGGAACGCGCGACTTGCCGCCCAGACAGCCACCGCAACACCATCACCCGCCGACTCCAGACGCCGTCGGTACCGAAAGAGGAAAGATGAAGAAGAAGCAAGGAGGAGAAGTGCAGTTGATCGAACAAGTCGTGGCGCGGGTGAGTCGGTGTTTCTTTCTCTCGGGACTTTCGGTCTCGGGCCGGATAGAGAACGGGTACGTCCACGGGTACTCGCAACGGGAGGGCTCGCTTAAGTTGTGTTCGCGTGTGCAAGCGAAGCGAAGCCCACACCTAACCATCCATGATCCACACGCACACGCACCAGCATCATGCCCGGTCTCGTCCGTCTTGTCCGCTGCTATGAGTGACATTGGTGTCCCAGACAGTCCTGAGAGCTCCAGCAACCACTTTTCGCGCCTCGCTGGCAGCAAGAGCGCCGGGAAAGCCAGAGTCCCGCCCACCCCTCAGAGCCTGCGTTTCCAGCGTCGCCAAAACGAACGTCAGTTCTACGAAACATCATACCGCGCAAGCACCCCGACCATGGAATATCCGAGCGGCACTTCACCTTGGGCTTCCTCCCCGGATGCGAGTAGGACGAGCTTCGGTGGTGAGATACCTCGGGAGGACCTACCTGCGCCTGCGGTACAAGCACATGATGCGAATGGAGGAGATGCGGCGTATACACACCAGCCGCCAGCACAGCACGAAGGCGGATGGACGCCGGAGCAGCAACAAGGCCAGTGGCAACATCAACAGCAAGAGTACCAGTCTCAGCAGTCGCAACACCAACAACAGGGATCTGGCGAAGAGAACAGAAGGCCGAACTCTACATCCCGATATCACAACGTTCCTCAGCAGCAGAGACAGCACATGCCCCAATACAAGCTCCAGGCCAAGATCACGGGTCTGGAGCGCACTGGGAAGAAGGACCCCATATTGAGATTCGACGTCTACGTATGCGCGTCCCCTTCCCTGTTCTTCCGCAATTCATGCTGACAACGCTGCAGACCAATCTGCCCAAGTTCAGGACTACTCAGTTCCGCGACGTTCGACGAACACATTCGGAGTTTCAGAAGCTAGCCGATCACCTTACTGCGTCCAACCCCGAAGCTCTTGTACCCGCAGTGCCGCCTCCGTCAACTAGCGCTGGTATGGGAACAGATGAGGATGAAAGTCGTACAAGAACAGCACTTCAAAAATGGCTCAATGTGATCTGCTCCAACGATGTCTTGATGAGGGATGAAGAGATGGTCTTCTTTGTGGAGAGCGATTTCGGATACAGCCCAGTTGTAAGGAAACGCCAGCCTGCAACAGGCGTAAGGAGGAAAGTGCTAAAGCAGTTTGCACCGCCTCCGGATGACACGCCAGAGCTCATGGAGAGTAGACCAGCAGTGAAGGCATTCTATCTTGGAACAATGGATTGCCAGCAGAAGGTTGACAAGCTCGTCAAGAATAGACGATGTGAGTGACAAGACGAGTATTTGGAGAGACATGGGTACTGACTTTGACAGCACTTGGCGTAGCGGAATCGGATCTAGGCACTAAGCTACAGGCTCTATCCAACAATGAGATGCATACTGGCCTTGCAAATGCTTACCGCAAGCTCGGAAAGGTCATTCAGAATACCGGCGACTTCCATGCAGCTCAAGGCACAGCTGAGGCGACCACTTTATCTGATCCTCTTGCATATCACAGCAGCGATGCATTCATCGTCAAGGAGACACTTACGAATCGGCATATTCTTCTGCGCGAGCTTATGCAGGCACAGCAGGCTACTCGCAGCAAGCTTTCTGCAGCAGATCGTCTCAAGGCCAGCTCTAGTGTAAAGCGCGACAAGGTCGATGAGGCGATTTCGGCACTGGACGAGGCGAGGAGTCACGAATCTTATCTACAGCAGAAGACGCAGCGTGTCACACAAAATCTCCTGGTCGAAAAGCGAAAGTGGTTTGCGAGGACCGCAGCTGATATGCGAACGAGCGTACGCGAATACGTGATTCGACAGATTGAAGCGGAGCGCCGTACACTTGCCACTTTGGAACATGTTCGGCCAGAAGTGCGCAATATTGATGCGTCGGGAGGTCTCTCGAGACTTGGCCGCGAAGCGCATCCCGTGGTTCGGCGCACTAGCATGGCGTCCAGTCAAGGACCAAAAGGCGACGCATGGAGCGGCGTGCCAAGACGGCCTGACGGATTGAACAGGAGTATCAGCGGCAGCTTTGTTGGCGGCGTCACGGGAGCTGTGCCCGAAGAGGGCGAGGAGGAAGGAGGCGCAGACGGCGGTACTGCAGGTGGCAGGAAGAGAGCCACAAGCGGCGCAAGCAGTCTTGGGAAGCTGGCAGAGGATGATGACGATGATCGGATCGATGCGAGAAATGCGGCTAGCAGACTTGCGCAGACGACTTTTTAGAAGAATGTCGCTCGATGATCCATGGCTGTGAGAATGAAGTGCATGCATTCTTTCTTGTTAATGATCGTGCGCTCGCTGCGAGATGAGCGGCTGCTATGGTGGCAAAGGCAGATATCAGACAGTGAGACAATAACTTTGTTCATCAGCGCCTTTGCGCATTCGGCTTTCTGGTCCGCTCTATAAGTACTCGTCGTGGCGAAGCGGTCGGTTTGCGGCAGCGACCTGAAGGAGTGCAATGCGTTTTATCAAGGGAATCTTGGCGCGACCCGGAACTTGTTCCTGTATGGATGCGACGCCTGTTGTTCCATGAGCTCGTAACAGGATCCGCACGCTTGCTAATCCAAGTCAAGAACATCATGAAAAGCTTTCGTGAATCGTTTTCCAATGCAGCTTCTCATAACTTCTATTCTCGCTACGAGTGGATAGACCAATGATTTCGGAAGTCATATGCTCCGCTTCTCATGATACAACCGCAACTTTCAAGCCCGAACCAGACCCTCAGCAGGCAGGACTTGAAAGTAGCTCATCTCTTGATACAGTATCTTGATCGTGAATTTGACCTGTGCATCGATGGCCAACTCCTCGAAGAAAGCAAAAGCCATGTAGGGCTTGTCTCTCTTCTCATCCGTGCACCACTTGCGAACCTGAAAAATGGCACAAGGGCCCGTCAGGCTCTGATACGCTAGCGCAATGGCTTCTTCCATGACCTTGTAGATGTAGATTGATTTGAGATGTCTCTTGCCCTTCTGGTCGATTCGTGCTCGGGTCTGCACGTCGAAGCTCTGGGCCTGGTAGGGTTAGGTCAGCGGCTTCGTTTTCATGGTCAGCTGTTGTTGAAACTTACTGGCAACCGCAAATGCTCCATCAGCAGAAGAAGCTGAGCATCCGAAACGGCGTAGACAATAGTATACTTCTCCTGCCGAATTATCCTTTCTGCACTGCTGATCTTGTGCAAAGTCCATGCGATTTTGTAGTGAAGAACATAGCGTGCAATCATTTCGCCAGTCGATACGAAATGAACGACTTCATTTTGGGCATCGACCTGATCTGGGAGTCGAGTGAGTTCTTGGACCAGTGGGTGTTCGTTTCGCATGTTCCATGCTTGCTTGACCACGTTGGAGAGCTCGAATCTCGGGCATGCGTTGTGGACAACAAATTTTGTGTGGGCGGCTCGATGCGCGTGGAAGAGGGCGGTATCCGCGTCGGCTAGGGTGTTGGCGATCGAGGACGTTTTTGCGTCGGGTTCCTCTTCGCCCGTTGGAAGCGCCGGGCGTTTCAGCTCCAGCGCTGACATGATCGGCGCTTCTGTGTTGGTAAACTTGTTGTTGTTGTTCCGATGAACGAAAATGATTATATGAATCCAAATGGCGCGAAAGTGTGTTTAGCTTAGCGCACTATCACATGCGGGACGCACTGACCCTCGCGCTTACGTCTCACGTGACTGTAGAAAACCCGAGCCGTGCGGCTCTTCTATACTTGGCATGGCCCTCGATCGAGAATACACACAACCACGATTATTTCACTTACATTGCATAGTAAACGGTGAGAAAGAGTAGCCATTGCTTTTCCGGCTGTGTCCTTCATAATGGTCCGAGCGAAGAGACGCCATGTTTTCCGGACATACCATCCTGTCTAGCAGGATCAAGCCGAAGCACAACAGTCCCTCCACCGCTAAATGGCCAGTCCGCAATGAGAAGGTAGATTGTGGATATGAACGGGGACACGGATCGTGTTGAGTGGAAGACGCGTGACGCGAAGTGAAGTCCGCGACCCTCGATACGAGGCATGAATGTTTCGTCCCTACGAAAGCTTTGGGCCGCCGTGTCGCCGACTATCGGAGGATGCGTGAGATTTTGAGTCAAGCTGTCCACCAATGCGAAGCTGTCGGGTTCTGCTTAGCCCAAATAAATACACCTGCCCTTGAAAGTCTTGTTTGGTGAGCCATTGTTGCCCACCAAACACGTTGCAAAATGTTTGCATTACGATCGGGCGCGCCGTCTTGGTGCTCCAGGCCAAGGTGGAATGCGATGTGAGTATACTGCACTACCAGCAAGGCCCACAACGAGGAGATGTTGACTCTCGGCGTGTTTGTAGACGGTCCTTGTCCCTTTCTGCGCGACGACGACAAGCCATTCCTAAAGATGCCGAAGGTCTCAATGCCGTCTCCAAGCGCATCACGCAACCGAAGGCCCAAGGAGCTTCCCAAGCTATGCTGTATGCGACAGGTCTGCAAGAGGAAGATATGAACAAGGCGCAAGTGGGAATTTCCTCTGTCTGGTATGGCGGGAACCCGTGCAACATGCACCTTCTCGAACTCAACAACAAGATAAAAGAGAGCGTGGAAAAAGCTGGACTGCTGGGAATGCAATTCAACACGATTGGTGTGAGTGATGGAATCTCAATGGGAACGAGTGGAATGCGTTACAGTCTGCAGAGCAGAGATCTGATTGCGGATTCGATCGAGACGGTGATGGGAGGTCAGTGGTATGATGCGAACATCAGTATACCAGGCTGTGACAAGAATATGCCGGGTGTCATTATGGCGATGGGAAGAGTCAATCGGCCTAGCATGATGGTCTACGGAGGAACGACTGCGGCCGGCTGTGGCAAGCAGCCCTCGAACAACAAGCTGGATATCGTCTCTGCTTTCCAGGCTTACGGTGGATTCCTGAGTGGACAGATCAATGAGGAGGAGCGATTCGATATCATTCGGCATGCGATTCCGTCGTGTGGAGCTTGCGGAGGAATGTACACCGCTAATACTCTGGCGTCGGTCATTGAGGTGATGGGTATGACGCTTCCTGGCTCGTCATCGAATCCGGCTACGAGCAAGGCGAAGCAATTGGAGTGCATGGCTGCTGGACCAGCGATCAAGAATCTGCTCAGGGAAGACATCAGACCATCGGACATTCTGACACGGCAAGCATTTGAGGATGCCATGGTTCTCGTGAATATTACTGGAGGCTCGACAAATGCCGTTCTGCACTTGATCGCCATTGCGCACAGCGTCGGCATCGACTTGGACATTGAAGACTTCCAAGCTGTCACGGATCGGACACCTTTCCTTGCTGATCTGAAGCCATCCGGCAAGTACGTCTTCGAGGATCTTTACAACATCGGCGGCACACCCAGCTTAACGAAGTTCTTGCTGAAAGAGGGTCTGCTAGATGGAAGCCGTATTACGGTCACTGGAAAGACTCTGAAGCAGAACGTGGAGAATGCACCTGACTTCCCGGCTGACCAAGACATAATTCGGCCAATCAGCAATCCTATCAAGCCTACTGGCCATATCTGCATCTTGCGCGGCTCTTTGGCCCCGGGCGGCAGTGTCGGCAAGATCACTGGCAAGGAAGGCACCGTCTTTACCGGCAAGGCAAAGTGCTACGATGCAGAAGATGACTTCATTGCAGCGATGGAGCGCGGAGAGCTGAAGAAGGGCGAGAAGACTGTCGTTATCATTCGCTACGAGGGTCCGAAGGGCGGTCCAGGTATGCCAGAGATGCTCAAGCCTTCGTCCGCAATCATGGGCGCTGGTCTCGGTAACGACGTGGCGCTCATTACCGATGGACGTTTCTCGGGTGGTAGCCATGGTTTCTTGATTGGTCACGTCACTCCGGAAGCACAAGAGGGCGGACCTATCGGCCTTGTCAGAGACGGCGACACCATCACCATCGATGCCGACAAGCGCGTGATTGATGTTACTGATGCCAGCGAGGAGGAGCTACAACGCCGCAAGGCAGAATTCAGGCCACCGCCCTTGAAGTACCAGAAAGGTACATTGTTCAAGTACTCGAGGAACGTGCGGGATGCCAGTCATGGGTGCATCACTGATTGGAACCCTACTGGTGTCGAGCAGCATTAATCGTGTCTGATATAGCATGGCGTTGGGGTATGATCGGGTTGTACAAGACAAAAACTGTGGGGTTTTTATGTATGAGAAAACGGGATTACTGGCACCCACTAGACATATATTCCACCTTCGCGGGTTGCCGCGTACGTACGCGTTACTCGGGACTTTATCCTTCCTCGATGTATCAAGATAAAGTGTGTGCGAAAGTAATGCTGACCACACACATCATATTCTGCGGCCAACGAACCCTGCTCTGCCCACCAGCAGCGCTAAGCCGCGACCATGAGATTTGATTGCACTTTGATGGCCTTCACCGTCAAGTGGCTGTATAACTGTGACGTAGTCCATGGGTTCGCTTACCAGATTGGGAGCGAGTTTCCCGTGGTCGTTCACCGTTCATGGAATGGTCCATCATCGTTCAGGCGTGATATATAGACGACACACAATCCTCGTCTGCTTATCGACCTCACTTCCACCTGCCACCTCGCCGTCGCTGGCCTGGCGACTTTCTGGATGCCTCATCGGCCGATACAGAGCTAGAATCCCACCGACACTGACGTCCAACTCTGCTGCTCATTGGCTGCTGGAACACCTCGGATGGCTGACAAGTACCGCACGTCACGCTCGGTTGCGGCCGCGACAGACGACGGAGGCGGTTGAGGCAGACGAAACAGAGAGAGGCATGTGAAGGTGAAGGCACAGAGGTGCGACGCCGCTGCTCTGGTTCGTACCTCTGCTGCACAGCACAAGACAGCACAAGACAGCACAAGACGGCGCAGCCTCGCGTTCCATTGCGCCCACCTGCTCCTCGTCCGCGGAGGCAGCGAAAACTCTACCTACCATTCGACCCCGCACCGGTGGGCCTCCTGGTAGCTACATCACCACAAACCTTGAAGAGTCAGCGAGCCATCCGCGCTTGCCAGAGCCGTTCTACTATTGCCGACGGAGATACGGACTAACAGGGTGGACAAGTGCACTGCCGCCATTTGTCGCCGCGAACGGAGTACGAGCACGAGCATCAGCATTGTTGATGGCCTGGCCACCTACGTGTGTACGCAAAGAAGGATGTGGGGATCGCCCAACCCACCAACCCACCAACCCTGCGTTACACTTAGGTTAATAGCCTTGCACATTGCAGCAACCTCATCTGCCTCATGGGAATGGCGTCATCGCGTGTCCCGCCAATAACTTGACCGGAGACCTTCGACGTGCATCACCTGGAGCCATTGGCGCGCTACTGAGGTACCTGTGGGCGCAAGCGATGGATGTGGTGGCTTGCTTCAACTTGCTTTTGGCCTTCCGGGACGAATTCGTCTAGTTTCTTGGATTGACGGAGCCTCGCCCTCCATCATGCTTTGGCCATGACCTATGGGGAGGCCCCACTGCATGCCATGGGGCCAGTGAGCTGAGTCTCAGGGATGCAAGACGAGGAGGCAAGTAGAATCGTCGGGCAAGAGGGTCCCTTCGGCAACGGGCAGGAGGAGAGCTGCCTCGTGTGTCGTCTCCCAGCATTGAGGGAATTCCCTTATAACGTGAGTAAGTCCACTTTTGCTTGTCTTTCTGTTAGCAAAACAAGCCCCAATTTCTCTCTCAACTTTTCTCTTGCAAGACAACTTTTTCCGGTGTCTCTGTATCACTTTCTCATTTCTACTACCATCAACATGAGCGCAACGGTCACCACCACTGCCCCAGCGGCTGTCCTTCCCGATTACCGTCACAGGACCTACGACCTCAAGACTCCCGAAGAGCACATGAAGATGTACGATGAATGGGCCTCGACCTACAACGACGACGTTATGGGCAACACGACCCTCTACGTCGGCCCCAAGACCACCGTCGAAGCAGTCCAATCCGCCAACGGCAACTTGCACGGTGAAGTCCTCGACGCAGGTTGCGGCACCGGTCTCTGCGGCGTTGCCCTCGCCCTCGCTGGAGCAAAGACCATTGACGGCATCGACGTCTCCCCTGGAATGCTGAAACTTGCGGGCAAAACAAACACCTACCGGGACTTGATCCCAGCTGACATGCAAAAGCCTCTCGACACACCAAGTGACAAATACGACGTCGTTACTTGCGTGGGAACTTTTACCACCGGCCATGTGCGAGCGGACCCAGCCCTTGGAGAGCTCGTGAGAGTATTGAAGAAGGGGGGTGTTCTCGCTGCTACTGTGTACGAAGACATCTGGAAATCAGAAGGCTTCGAGGCGGAGGTAGAGAAGTTGGGCAACAGCGGCAAGGTGGATGTCATCAGCACCGAGGTCACGGAGTACAGGCGGGCGGAGAACGCTATGGCTAGAATGGTGGTACTGAGGAAGAGGTAGATGGCTTTCCTATCTGGGATTGCGTGACGGCCGCAACACCGTCTCTCCCTGTCCTCTTCCTTATTTTTAGATGTTAGACAGGTCGACTTGCGAAGTCTTGACCTTGTCAATGGCGATTCTTGAGACGATAATGGAAATGTTCCAGGTTCCAAGACGATCGACTTGTGATTCGAGTACTGCGTTCATCCTTGCTGTCTCAACAAATGCCGCAGGAGGCAAATGCCGCGGGAGGCTGAGAGGGAAGCCAAGGCCGTTGACCACCTTGGAAGTTTACCCGGGATCGCACGATTATGTGGGCCCGGGAGAGGTACGTACCGTAGTACCTCTTCGGCTGAGGTCTGTGCTCAAGCTTTCACTCGACTTCACCTTGAGGGCCTAGAACTTTCTTCCGCTTGTCAACATCTGACGCTTTTCTCTTCAAATTCGAGTCTGCGGCATGGACTTCACTGTCCTCACCGGCTGACGTCTCCTTGATGGGGAGGAGATGATGAGAAAATAAGGGAGTTTGGACGTTGCGCCGATTCATTCCTCCTGGATACACTGCGTCGATTGACAGGAGCAGCGCATCTCGTGCTCTCCTGCTTTCAGAGTGATGCAACAACCCTGACAAGGAGTATGTTTCCTGCACCTCCCTAGAGCAGCCCGGTGCCGCTAAAAATCTGCTTACATGTGTTGTAGCGATAGCCATAGCAGAAGGGGCACCCGTTATCATTGACTATCGGAAGGGCGAAAGGTCCGATACATCTTGCCTTTTCTACGCAGAACCAGACGGGGTCTCCTTGCTTCCCATTCCGACTTTGGGCTCAGCAAGCATGGGACGAAACTCCCCTCCTTCCGTGCCCGACAGCAAATCCCGAGAGTGGAGACTGGCGACCTCGACGGCATGCTGACGCTTCTTGCGACCTTTCGTGGTCTCTTGGGCGTTCTCGTATAGCCCAAGAATGGCCTTCGCAAAGCCAGTAGTGTTCCGATCCCGGTTCACACACGTACCGGATTTCGCCGCGACCAGGTCTTCGAGAGGCAGAATTTGGAAGTAGTGCGCAAGAGTGAACACCTAGACGTGAAACAGAGCTAGTGATATGTTCTGGCGATTCTAGTATTCTTGCCCACAGGGGAGGTCGATGAGGGCTTCGAGAGTTGATGCATTGCGTTCGGACAGATCGATCACGCTATGACAGGCTTCGTGTTGGACGTCAGCTCGAGCAACTGGAGAGTAATTCTGATTCTGGAATCCTCGGACCTTGAGCTTGCAATTTCCCTTAAGGGTCTTGGCGAAGTATTTTGACTGAGGGCAAATGATGAAGTTGTGCGCGGGCCACTGAGTATCGCCGCCCTTGGAGTTCATGTCGCTGGACTTCCCGCTCTTCTTGATGCTGCAAGGTTGTCAGTCAAATGACTCCTTGTGAAGTTAGGTACGCGGCATGCCCCTTTATAGGATTGGACGACGGACTAGAATCCGTCCAGCAGTCGCTCGATCGCGCTGAGGTCCACCATGAGGTTAGCTGTGGGCCAAATTCGACGCGCGAAGAGGGTATTGGGATTGAAAAGAACTCTACGGTTGTGTGTTTGCGTTTGCAGTGCACGGGCCTGGAACCATAAGGGCTAATCCTCGGCAGTAATCCACGTGAGAACGCGCTAGTGCGTTGCTGCTGCTTTGGCTGGAGTCCAAGAGAGTGAAATATATCTCAACAACGAGACCTGTTTATACGTCTATGTCCGTCTCGATCACCCCCATGGAATTTCTCCCGCTCTCCATACCTTCTCAACGCCAAGTCCGGCCTCGGTAACCAGCTTTTGGTAATGCATCAAGGTCCTCTGCGCGACGCATATGTCAGCAACATAACGTCCATTGCTGCGGTCATCGAGTCCGCGTGCTGTTCTGGCATGATTCTCGTGGCAATGATCAAGCGAGATGAAGGACTCATTGCGACGGCCTGAGTGCGCAAGATTTCGACACCGGCTCTGTCAGGCCAATCGCAAAGGATGTTGCGAAGGTGGTAGAACGGAGCGCCTGCGCGTTCGTTAGCGACAAACTTCCTGCGCGCGACGAGCTGCAGAGAACAGACTCTTTCAGGGCCTGTTGATCGAAGAAGTCGTACGGCATGGAATCGACTTTTGCTCTCAGGTTCGACTTCTTTCTCCGAGAGAACCTCCTTCACGGCATATTCGTATGTAAGCGTGCGAAGCTCGATCGGTAGGTCGAACAGACGGCAATGGTCTTGCGATTATTGCGCCTGTTCGACGTGATGGAGACCTTGCTGCTCCTAGGGACGGCAGAAGCAGCACGTCGCCCCTCTACGTACCCGGGGTTACTCGTTCACGGGGACATTGGATCCATTGAGTATGGAGATGTGAGCAGCTGAGTATGATGGCTTGGCAAGCCAACCTGGCCCCGATACCGCTCTTGATGGAACAGGTGAGCGGCTGCTCTAGAATTTCTTGGCATATCACGTGATATTGGATATCACATGATTATCACCTGACTCATCGGCCGTGCGGCGCGCCCGAGCTTTTGATGCCTTAGGCAAACATGGCCAATGCTTTGACATTGCGCATGGTTCAAACTCCAAACTCGACTTCACTTCTTCCACGCATCCCATCTGCTTCTTGCGAGACGACTTGCTGCCTCTCACCGTCCAGCAGATCGCTCAAAAGCCGTCTTACTTGCTAACAAATATGATTCAGTCACAAGTCCCCTTCGCGCTGTCTCTGACTCCCCGAGAGTGCCAAACAAGCCGCACGAGTAAAGGGTTCGATGTCGAGCTCACGTACGAGCTCCTCGGGGCACCGGCAGGGCTTAAATCTGCATTTGCAGATAGTCAGTTGTTCGGTAGAACATTCTTGGAATAGCTCGCGGGTCTTCCGCATGTGATCACAGTTTCGGGCTTCAGACGCTTCTCAGCAGAGCTCCGAGGTTTGCTAGCTGCAGCTCCAATCTGCTCCTTCCTACAACGGTAACGATGTACGATTTCCGTCAACTTACTCGCCGAGCAGTCAGTCTGGCATAGATCTTACGACAGTATTCAACAGCTTTCGCGGGCAGCTTTCAGCAGGTCTTGATGCAGGAGTCGAGCTGTCGGAACAGGACCGAACACCACTGCAGAGGCGGCTTTTGACGCTTTCATGCAGCTTGTCGATCAACCGCAGCCCCAGCCGTCCCTTCAGATGGTTGAACTACTCTGACAAGAAACGAGCCACTTGCCTCATCGCGTGGACCTCCTAACCTCCAGACGGCGGACCACGAGGTAGAAGTTATTGCAAACTCGAGCACACGACACACCTGTCACACGTCTATCAACGAGCCGACATCACGGCACACGGACAGTGAATATCGTGGTGTCCGTGTGCCATGATGATTTGCCTAGACTGGAATCCCTCGCCAAGTTGAACCTCCTTTCTACTCTCACGCAGCATCAGGCTGTTCCCGAGTCAGCTGCCGCCATTCAAGCTGCGAAGGACCTGACCTGCGCAGACCCGCACACCAATAACAACATCCAAAGACCCGAGTTGGCAGCCTTGAGATAACACTTGATGGCGTCGATGGGCTTACAGATCTACGTACGTTATCACTCGGTTTACGGTGACTGACACGTGGAAGCTAGGAGCCTCAGAGGGGCGTATGAACGTCACCCAGCATGGTAGTCTAGATGCTAGATCTGATTCGCCATACCAGATCCGGCTATCCAGAGTGACTACAGCCTCCCACCTCATCGTGGGTCATGCGCGGCCCCGAAGGATCCACATCATGAATTAGCAACGACTACAAGCAACAACTAGCTCTTTGCCCCTGCAACGACCTCCCGAGGCCAGCTGTGGTAGCAGCGCCAGTAGATATGCGATGCAACGTAAGGGGCGCGGAGGTCTCTTGCTGCTCACCGCTGAACTTGCGAAAAGAATGTCACTAGCCATGCCGGGGGCCCGCTTGACAGAATGCCATTGGGTACAGCAATACCCCGAAGCTATCTTGGAGAGGGCGTCGAGACGGGTATAAGTACGCAGACGAGTCTCGTTCCAGAAAGAAGACAGCATCTATCAGGTACACAGCCTTCTCGCGCTTTGAAACATGATCGCCGACGTACTTCCTGCCCTTCTAGGCTTCTCTTCGCTTGCTACTGCGAGATTATTCCAAGAACTTCAGGAACGAGCAGGAGCATCAGCAATCTGCACAAACTCCAATGGAACGTACAATCTCAGTTCTATCGCAGCTCCAGTACAAGGTGCCGGGTCGCCTGGATCAGAAAATACCTGGAACCTCGCCGTCGATGACACCTCTTCCGGCCACAAGCAGAGCGTCACTGGATTCGGTGCTGCTGTCACAGATGCCACGGTGACGGTCTTCAACTCGCTGTCTAGCAGCAACTTAAGCTCTTTGCTCAAGGAGATCTCTCACTTTAGCTTAATGCGTCACACTATTGCTTCCTCGGACTTGTCGGGTGATCCGGCGTACACCTATGATGACAATGGAGGCAACGCAGATCCGAACCTGACCGGCTTCGGTCTCGGCGCCAGAGGCAATGCCACGGCTTCCTTGCTTGCAAAGATGAAGTCTATGAACTCGAAGCTACAGATTCTTGGCAGTCCCTGGAGCGCTCCTGGTTGGATGAAGTTGAACGACGAGATCGATGGCAGCACGAATAACAACAGCTTAAATGACGGCTACCTTACGAACAATGGTGCTCAGTATTCTTCACAATTTGCTCAGTACTTTGTGAAGTACATCAGCAACTTCAACAGCGCGGGTGCCAATATCACCGCAATCACTATCCAAAACGAGCCACTCAATAGCCAGGCTGGATACCCCACCATGTATATGTATGACTATGAACAGGCCAATCTGGTGAAGTACTATGTTGGGCCGGCGCTCAAGAACGCCAAGCTTGGTACCGCCATCTGGGCTTATGACCACAACACCGGTATGCTTTCCTTATGCATCACACAAGGGCAATACACTGACCGCAATCACAGATCAGCCCAGCTATCCGCAGACTGTGATCAACAATGGCGGGGGTTATGTCAATACCGTTGCCTGGCATTGCTACGCAAACCCACTTAACTGGACTGTCCTTAACAACTTCCACAACACCAACCCCAATGTCACGCAGTACATGAGCGAATGCTACACGTCTCCCGACACTCCCTGGGACTGGGTTGCAAACTTTACTATGGGACCTCTACAGAACTGGGCTTCCGGAGCCATGGCCTGGACACTCGGCACCACTCCTCAATACGGACCACACCTCTCATCTGGCGGCTGCGGAGACTGCGTCGGTCTCGTCACTGTCAGCAACGGTGCTTACAATCTCAATGTTAACTACTACATGATGGCGCAATTCAGCAAGTACATCCCACAAGGCGCCACAATTTTGAACGGAACGGGAAGCTACAGCTATGCGGATCAAACCGGTATCCAGTCTGTTGCTTCTCTCAACCCGGATGGAACGAGGACAGTAGTGATCTGGAACAAGTTCTCAAACGATGTCTATGTTACTAGTAGCATGAAGAGTGGACAGAAATGGAGTGGCAACGTTCCCAAGAACTCGGTCGTCACTTGGCTGTTGCCTTCGGCGTAACATAAAAGTACAGCTGGATCAAGATTTCGATCAACCCCAAACTTACATAAACAAGAGAGCAAAAAATGATGCGACGGCCACACTTTCGCATTTCCTCTCCAGTCCCTCCGACATCGTTACAATGATCGTTCTGAACCATACACTCAATATGCTTGCCTCAATCATGTCCCTAGCAACCCTGCTATCCATCTTCAGCGCTCAGTCTGCTTCTTCAAAAAGCAGTCCGAATCTCATCGGCTCTGTGCGCCTTCCACGATTTCAGCCAACGAAAACTCTTCTCTCAGCTTCGGAAAATCCTACGCAGTCCTGGATTTAGACGTCAAAAATTGGAGTCGTGACCCCATTCGCAAACACCACCCAAGGAGCAGCCTGGATCTCAAATCTCTAATGCTGGATTCAAGCTGTCCATGCCTCAGAAACCTCCACCTCTCTCGATCTACTCGACTGTGGCGGATGCAAATTCTCGCCAGCCGGAATTGGGCCTCCAGACTGGACATCCGGTCCCGTTTGCGAAGCTCGGAATGGCTTTTTCGGCGCTGTGGGAACGGAGCAGACGCAAATCTACGGTCGATTTGCTACGAATGTGACAGCTGAGGACGTTGTACTCTCTTCAAAGCACGATACTATGCCGGTGCCGGGAATGAAGTGGATTTTTTACTTTCATCCTAGAAGATTGATACTGTGAAGTTGGGTGGCATTGCGACGAGCGGTGTGGTCTTGAGCACGGCGTTTAGACCTTTTGATTTGGATTATAAAGCGTAAGATGTGTGTGTGTGTCTGAAGAGGAAAAGACTGATGATGTTGATGGTTCTGCAGATTTGTGATTGCGAATAATACGGTTCAGGCTGGTCCTTCGGGGGATGACCAATTGTTGAATATGGTTCTGCTAGAGAACTTGTTGCCTTCTTTGCCTGTGGATGGTATTTCGATCGAACAGGCGATGGAGGCTTTGAAGAGGAGTGGACCTGCTGCGTATTGGTAGCGAGGCTTGGTGTGGTAACATGAGCTGTATCATACAAGATGGGATGGAAATCTATGACTTGTCTACACGAATAAGCTTCTCGTGACATGACTTACGGGGAAGAAGTCGTAGTTTAGAAGGAGTGAAGTTGGAAGGCAGAAAGGAGGATGAGCAGGGACGGGATGGCTTGACTTGAAGTGGTCCCGAGATTTGCCGAGGCTGTCCGCCCGTCCACGTGCGGTCCTCTCTGGACGTCGACCTTCTCAACACACAAACATACCCTTTAATGATATAAGATGCCCACTCGCATTCTCATCGTCGGCGCTGGCGCCATCGGGGCCTTCTACGGCTCAAGACTGGCTTGTGCGTCCAACACGGCCGTTTCAGCGCTGTGCAGGTCGAACTTCCAGGCTGTGCAAGCGAACGGATTCAAAGTCACTTCTCCCAAATATGGCGAAACGACATTCCGACCCGAATACGTCTTCAGTTCTCCAGAGGATGCCAGGAGAGCGAATGTCAAGTGGGACTATCTGGTGGTCTCCACCAAGGCGCTACCCGATGTCAGTGACGACAGTGGTCTTCTGGACGGTCTGGTCGGCAATGGCACCAGCATCGTACTGGTGCAAAATGGACTGGGAGTAGAAGAGCCGTATCGAAGGCGCTTTCCCAAGTCTCCAGTATTGAGCGCCGTCACGATTGCCAGCGCTGCTCAGCCAAGCCATGGCGTAATCCAACACAACCGGTGGACGCGGATATCCATCGGGCCATATCTCCCACACCTGGACAAAGGTGGCTCGGGCGCGGCAGAGGACGACAAAGCTGCCACAGATAGCAATGAGAAGCTAGTCAAGCTGCTTCAGGAAGTGGGGATCAGCGATGCAGAGTCATACGACCACGCTGGTCTACAGTTTGTCCGTTGGCACAAGATTGCCATCAACGCTGCCATGAATCCAAGCTCCGTACTGTCCGGAGGCTGCGGGAACCAAGAAATGTCCCTGGATCCGGAGCTTTCAAGGCATCTAGAAGGTATCATGAATGAGGTTCTGGAAACGGCGCCCAAAGTCCTCGGCAAGGCTTTGCCGCCGAAATTGGCCACGGCTGAGCAGATCTTGAAGTCAACGAGGAGGAACTCAAGCGGAAGCAAGCCCAGCATGTGGTTAGACTGGGAGAAGGGTGCGAAGATGGAGTTAGAAGTCATCCTGGGCAATCCCATCCGGATTGCTCGTGACAAGGGATTCGAAATGCCCCGGTTGCAGACGATGTATGCTCTCATCAAGAAAGCTCAAGAACATCGTGATAATAATAGGCAGAGCAAGTTGTAATGAATTCCACGTTGATATACTATATGACCACTTTCTGTAATTGAATTGTGTAAGTACTGATTTGTGGAACTAACTTATGTAACCAGCTATGTATGCCTGAGGCATGAATCCACGCTGTCGCGAAAGCCACTTTCCCTTTCCTTCCACTTTTGTCTCCGGCAAACAATTCTATCGGAGTTACATCGCCTCAGCACCTCCGACCATCTCTTCACGCGCCTGAATACTGGAACTGCTGGATGAAGCTGAATAAAGACTGACTATCTGCGACGCTGCAAGGCCAGCCCGCGGCCAACGCGTAACCTTCTGGATTGAGATGCCTCCTCCTCTACCAACAGCCCCAATCGCGATTCCCGTGATTCCGCGATCACCGTCGAAGCATGACTGGACCAAACAAACTTCAAAGATATCTGAATGTCAGCCGCGGACGTACAGTAAAGATCCGCTCCCAATAAGGCCATCGGACGAAGCACCGCGCAAGGCTCATATCACCGGACGAATTGCCGAACCGGATAGGGTCGCGTACACGATAGAGATCGGCGGCGTGCAAGTTGATGATGTGGGCATCGACGAGATTCTGGAATATGTCTCGGCGTACGACCTCGAACAGTACGAAAACAGAAAATTTGAAGAGGAAGGCGAAATCCTCAAAGTGGCCAGATTGGAGGCCGAGGCGGAAGCAGAGCGACGACGTGAACGCCAAAGACATCGAGCCAAGACCAAAGGAACTGTCCTTTTTCAGGAAGTAAGCGACGATGATGATGATGAGGATCAGTCGGACGAAACTGGATCTGCGGTGGGTAGGCATGGGCGCTCTCGACCCACCTACACGCACTTGTTCGAGAAAGGGAGACAACGCAAGAGACGTCGAAAGCGAGATCCCGATACTGGCGAGTTAATGCCGCTCAGTGATGAGGAAATTGATGTCGAGCCGGTCATACCAGATCTCGTGCTTCCCGTCTCTAATCGCCCTCCAGCACCTCCGTTTGCCGCACTGCCGAAGCGGAGACGACGAAAGCGCGATAAGGCCACTGGAGAGCTCTTGCCACTGGATCCTCTCGGACAAGGGTCCGTCACAGAGGACTTGGCGTCGCGTAATGACGAGGACAGCGAAGTCGATGCTGCACCGCCCTTTCAGCAGACGGTTCGATCTTCTGCGACCAAGGTTGGAGAACCTCCGAGGCGCAGACGGCGTGAGCGTGATGTGCACACGGGAGAGCTTCTGCCATTAGAATCGCTTGACAAGAGGTTGAGTGACGAGAAGCGCCCTCGTCGTCGCCGTCATCCACTTACAGGCGAGCTAATGCCTCTTGGATGGCGCTACGATCCAAAGGCTGAAGGCACTACCTACGAACGGAGACAGGATGGCACGGGCTCAGACTCGCAGGTATTCAAACGATTGAGCCTTTCCCAGGAGCAGGAGCCGAAACGGTTGAAGCTTACCTCAGGTAACTCATCTGATGAGATTGTGCATCCATACCCAAAGCCATCCACCCCTAAGCAGCGATCCTTCAACGTCAAGTCGGAGAGATCTGAGTCGGACGAGCGGTCCATGAGGCACGAACACGAAGAGGATGATGATGAAAGCGAGATGGAGGTGAAGCCAACACCACGGCCGGCATCTGTCCACCGCTCTGGCGCCACGCCAAAAGCTTCACTCCTTCGTCCCGACGCACGTGCGAACATGCTCTCAAAAGCCGCCGTTGACACGGCTTCAAAGCCCATGAACCTCAACTCATTCCTCGGCGCCAACCGACAGCATTCTAGCTCGGCGGAGTCAAGTTCGAGCTCGGAGATGGATGTCAAAAAATTTCAGGAGCGCTCGAAGGTCACGGCAGCAACAATCATGAACCCCGTGGCCGCTGCACACGGATCGGAAGACGAAGAAGAGGACGATGATGGCGAGGAAGAAGGCTGGGATATCGAAAACATCTTAGCACATCAGATGTCCGATCCTCGAACTCACCCGGGGAAGCCTTCAGGTGAGTAGATTCGGATTTTCGTGTGGTAATTTCATGTCCCTGCTAATGGTCTCTTCGCAGTCATGCTATATAAGGTGAAGTGGGTGGGATACGAAGATCCATCGTGGGAGCCGGCGGCAAGCTTCAATGACCCATCCATCATCGAAGAATACGAGAGGAGTATCGGCATGAGAGACGAGCGCATGCAAATGTAGCCTTCACCCGGGTCGGATTAACAGTTGCAACATGTGTTGTGATACGTTCTCCAAGCACTGTCGACGACAATGAAGCCATATGCCGCAAGAAATGTCCCTTTCGAGCTCTAGTGCAGCAGCATCTGAGCTTCGCTGTGACCGGAGCTGGAATCTGACATCTGACGGCGAAGCTGATAAACTCGCTTTATCTCCAGGTTCATGCGGCTTGATTGGCTCACATGCTAAGCTACGTACGTACCCGCGCGCACGCTGCAGAGATAGGTTAAATGTGGAAGAAAAGTCCAGCGGATCACGACACTGCTGCAGCACTCAAGCTGAAGCGAAGTTATGACACTCAAGAGGTACGTTCGTAGATTTCTGGCCGCTTCACTACCCGATTCTGCTTCTTATCCTCCCTTTCATACCCGGCCATCCTTACGTCTCGTCTATCATCATGCTTTCTGGTTTTGCCGTCGTCCTTGTGGCATCTTGCCTTGGCGTTGTTATCCTCGCGACGAGTAGCAAGCAGCGCGAGGCCTTGCTGCAAAGATTGGGCCTCACACGACAAAAGTCAAGACATCATTCTCTCACGCCTTTGCGCGAGCTCTCGGCAGAAAGGCAAGGTCTCCCTCCTGATAAATCACCGCAATATCCGAATTATGAGTCTGTCTTCCCTCCAAGTCGAAGACACGTTCTGGGCGACCTCAAGGACGACGCTTTAGAGGGACCCGGTAAAACGGCCAGAGAATTGGGCGATGAGCCTCCGAGTTATGACCATCTGCTTCCCGATAACGCAAAGGCTGACGATGAGGCGCTACTCGATCATGTTACTGCGACTGGGTTCTCCCTTCGGGACGTCAAGCGGCTCGGCGATTTCCCCGACTATGCCACACTAAGTGGGATCCCTTTGCCCTCCGCGTACAAGGAATTCGATATCAAGACGGCGCTTCCGAGACCTTATCGGCCTTTTCGATGGGCCTACCACCAGACTATGAGCCTCACGAAGATGGAACCGGACTGGTGGCTCGAGCTGGATCGCAACTACGTGGACGTGATCCGACAACGACGAGAACTCTTCCAAAAGCACGGCGAAGGCGTCCTCCAAGCCCTCCCCGGCTCAGAGTTAGCTTGCAAAGAACTGATGGAAATGAGCCTCCAATTCCTCTGTGCCCGGTATCCGCACTACTTCCATCTCGACGCACAGAACAAGACCTTGCACAACGAAATCTTGCAGACCCAGACCGACCTGCAAACCACGGCTCCTCTGCACGTGCTCTTACACAACCTCCCCGAAGACTTCGCCCTCATGCTCCGCGAGCCGCAGACGGGACTCTACAGCCTCCGCGGCGGGCTCGTCGTGAGTAGTCTAGGCTGGAACCTGGCCTCCAAAGCCGGTCTCCGACTCCACGAGATCCACGCGCGGATTCCAGATTACAGGGCCAAGATGCAATTCTCCATGGATCGCTATTTTGCAAAGCAACCCACGGATAGAGCCATCCAGCGCGGATCGTGGGGTCTGGAAATCGATCGACCGCTCTACATGCCCCCGGGGGTTCCCCACGAACGCCTCCGCGAGAGGCAGGATTCGGCATACACGATGGATAGGATTCATTTGCGGGTGGATTGGCAGACGCTCAGGCGGTTACCTCTGAGTGGGGCGGTGGTGTTTAATTTCAAAGGGTTGTTTACGCCGATGGAGGAATTCCGCGATGAGGCGTATATTCCGAGCTTGGTGTTGCAAGTCTTAAGGGAGGGGAGGGAGAATCTGATGGAGTATAAAGGGACGTGGCATACGGAACATGTGGCGATTCCGGCGTTGGAGGCGTGGGAGAGGGAGCAGGTTGAGGCGGGATTGATGGAGGAGGGGTGGGAGCCGCATACGTTGGACGAGAGTCCTTTCTTTCCTGGCTGGGAGGAGAAGTGGCGGAGGCAGCAGGGGTTCTGATGTTCAAGTGTACGTGATACTGTGAATGCCGGTTCATTTACTGCCACAAGGAGGAGGTATTGCCCTGAGAGTGAGAAGTTGTTGTGTGGCAGGTAGATGTAGACGACAGGACGTTGAAGTCGTCAGCCGAGGACTACTCCACACGCGCCTTCGCCTCCGCACGCATTGCATGTGCGTCGCCCCTTCCCCGCCTTTTCACATCCACACATACTTTCATCGAGTAGCATGCCGCGAGTAAGTAGTCCGCGTTTCGCCTTCACCTCCACAGACGAAGACATTCCTCGTCTCTTGCTCTCAGTTTACAAGACTGTGTGTAAACGTGAGAAACCGGAAACATCATGGAAGGCGAACTCCCTTGGCCACAAGTCCCTATCGGGAATAAGAACCATGCCAATGCGGCCGTCGTGATCATCGGCGGCGGTCTCTCGGGCATGTGTGTCGCGATTGATCTGCTGAAGCGCAACAACTGTCGCAACTTCATCATCGTCGAGAAGAGCGCGGGGCTGGGTGGAACGTGGAACGCAAATGTCTACCCCGGCTGTTGCTGCGACGTCTGGTCGATGCTCTACAGCTACAGCTTCGCCCAGAACCCAGACTGGACACGCGAATACCCGGGACAGGAAGAAATCTTATCGTACTTGCTTCGAGTCGCGCAAGACTACAAGCTCCTTCAACACTTTCGCTTCGGAACTGAAGTGAGAGATGCCCGATGGGACGGTGCCGAGAAGAAGTGGCGAATCCATGTCAAGACCAACAGTGGAAGTAAAGAGGCAGAATACAATCCAGAATATGAAATCAAGGCAGATTTCCTCGTCAGCGCTGTCGGGCAACTCAATGTGCCAAGATGGCCGGAGATCCAGGGGATTGAGAACTTCGCGGGCAAGACGATGCATTCTGCGCGATGGGATTGGTCGTACGATCTGAGCAACAAGAAGATTGCCTTGCTTGGAAATGGTATGTCGTCGAAAAGGAGACGTGTGTGGGTTCGTCGTCACCAGATCTGATACGCTCTTCAGGTTGTTCCGCCGTCCAGATCCTGCCGGAGATCGCAAAGGTCGCCAAGCACGTCACAGTCTTCCAGAGAACACCGAATTGGGTTGTGCCGCGTGAAGATGCCCCGGTTTCGCCCTTGATGCGTGGAGTGTACAAATACGTCCCGGGCGTCATGGCTCGCAAGCGCGCTGCGCTGATGGATTTCCGAGAGGACCAGCATGATTTCATCAAGAATAGCGATGGCGATCTTGCGAAGCTGTATCGAGATATGTCTCTTCAGATGATGCAGACGCAGGTACGTCTCCCTCGAGCATGCAGCTGATACGGCAGCTGACATTGCTCTAGCTTCCAAACAGGCCAGAAATGTGGGAGAAGCTCACTCCCAATTATAACATTGGCTGCAAACGCATCATCATCAGCGACGACTATTTCCCAGCTTTGGGCAGAGACAACGTGACCTTGGACACTCGAACCATTCACAGCGTGGAAGGCAATGCCGTGAAAGTGGTAGGCGAGAATGGACAGCCTGTCGCAGCAGAAGACGACTTCGATCTGCTCGTCTGTGCCACCGGCTTCCGCACCGTGGAGTTCATGCATCCGATTCAGGTGTACGGTAAAAATGGCCAGTATATCGGCGATATCTGGAAAGATGGAGCCAAAGCCTTGTACGGCATGTGCGTGGAATCGATGCCCAACTTCGGTATGCTATACGGCCCCAATACCAATCTTGGCCATAACAGCATCATTCTCATGATCGAGAGCCAGAGCCGGTATATCAATGGTTTGATAAAGCCAGTTCTGGAAGCCAGGAAGGGTGGCAAAGCTCTGGCCCTTATGCCTAAGAAAGATGTGATGGAAGAGTACAACAAGCAGATCCAGTCGGAGTTGCGGGACAGTGCGTTTAATGACCCGAATTGCAACTCGTGGTACAAGAATGAGGCCGGCATCATCACTAATAATTGGAGTCGCACTGTCGTTGAATACCAGAAGATGGTCGAGGTTGTTGATTATAGCGACTTCGATACCGAGGGAAGCGGAGAGGAGGTGCTCAAGCGAGGCAAGAAGCTGCACGTCGGCCGCGTGAAGGAAGAATCGACTGTTAGCGACCGGACGTTGATGGTAATGGGTGCTGTTAGTACAGCCGCAGTTGTCGGTGGATGGTTGCTGAGAAACTCGAGATATCTAGAGAAGATAAGAGTGAGGTGAGGTGATAACAATTTGGCCAAATTGATGTTTTGGTGGACGCATGTACGAACGCAGAGCCACATGTTGAGCCGGAACTTTCAAGGTAGCAGGCTTCTCGGACTTGCATGAGCTGTCGCAGCGCGAAGCTTCTTACCAATTGATAATTGACACCTTGCACACTTCCCGCGTCGACGGGGCTTTCTCCAGGGATCTCTTGTGACGTTGACAGAAGCTGGGAGACTTTCCATACTGCACGGCGTCTGGAGATTTTCAGCCGACCAGCAGCCGGTCGAGCGCGAGGAGCTGGCGACCCAACGTGCATCGACGGCACGCGTTGACGGTTCCACGTCTGAGCTGGAGTTCTGAAGATACCCGTCATAGAAGTGGCTGCAGGTGCATTTCCGTGGCTCAGTGCTGCCGACCTAGGTTCGCTGCGTATCTCATACATAGCTCGGAAAGGATTGCGTTCGGACACCGCGGAACATCGCGCTCTCGCACTACACCTCCCGAGTATTACCAGGTGTGCAAGTCAGCAACTTCTGCCGATGATTCAGCTCGCGATGAGTTGCATCACAATGCTCGGCACTTGTCCAGACCGCTGTAGATCAAGAGGTACGTGAAGATCCCATCACGGACAGAGCAAATGTTGAACGAGCTGGGCGGGGCCGTGGACGTCACCCTGGTCGCTCTCGCGTGGGCGGTCGCACAGCTTCGAGACAGCCAGGGTTGCTTTTCGATAGGCTGGTCCACAGTGTTACCCTCGCAACACTTGACGCCGCAGATTCACGAGATTGCAGTCACATCAGTGGTGTCGTCCGTTTGTGCGTCCATTGCCACTCGTACAGCGCGGAACGATCTTGACGGGTGCAGTCCTCTTCAATACCACTCTAGCTCATGCAGGGCTGATTAGAGTTGATGCAAGCCACCGTCATCGTGGCTTCCACGTGCGGCCACGTTCGGTCTTCTTGCGGTACGTGGAACGAGACCAGGATACGGTACACAGGAGATCCGGTCAGATCTGACGAGGCGGCCACGAGTAGGTACGTGGCATCCAACCAGTCGGAGAAGTTCGGCACTTACCAACGTCCCACAGGTTGCATTAATAACCTTGCCGGCTGAGGGTAGGGCTTCTTGATCGACCGGCGGAGAAGCGAGGAGCTTTCAAATCGCAGATCGAAAACCGAATTCGGGTGAGTTAATAGTGAGCGGAAAGCTGTCTGCCTGCTGGAAAAATGGCTCGTGAGTATTCTGATTCCCTTTCAGCCGTGGAGTAGCCGAACCTTTTCCTACATGGGGCATCAGGTGTGTTGGAGTCGTGCCTTTCGATCTGGATACCAACACGATGACTTCAGCCTCGACACCACCTATCGGCTCTTGTAGTGCACCACCGATGATTGGACCACCGTACAAGCCCAAGGGATGGTTCGTAAAGGTCCATGGCATCAAGATCTGTGAGTCCCACCTCCATAACATCCAATGCTTGTCGCTAAACTATGTGTTCGCAGACGGGAACGGGCCGCAGGATGCCACAAAGGCTCTTTTGATAATATACGATGTGTTCGGCTTCTCGTCACAGATCCTTCAAGGAGCAGACTTTCTAGCCGGTATGTGATGCCAAGTAGATCATTCTCTCGGGCTGCTAAATCTCTTGAGCGCGGCACATTATTGCCTGTTTTCAAGCGCTGACTCGCAAGCAGCACAAGGGTATAAGGTGTTTATGCCAGATCTCTTGGAAGGCAGACCAGCACCGATGGAATGGATGCCAATGCCAGACGCGACTGGAAGGGAACCACCAGCGAATGACCGCGCGCTCGATGAGTTTTGTCAAGGCCCTGGGAACACACAGAGCACGATAGGAAAGGTCCTTCAGATTACGCAAATATCTCAAGCCAGCAATCCCCAAATCACCAAATGGGGGCTAGTCGGATACGGTTGGGGAGGATACGTTGCAAACTGCCTGCTCGCTGCTGGATCGCCATTCGAGGCATGCGCGCAACTCCAACCTGGATGGCCTGGTCAAGAGGTTGCCGAGAGAGTAGCAAAGCCCATTTTAGCACTTTGCTCAAAGGACGAACCGGAAAGCGATTATGCACACTTCAAGCCTTATCTCAAGGTAGATGCCAAGTTCGTGCATTTCCCAAAAATGATCCATGGCTGGATGAGCGCGAGAGGGGACTTGTACAGGCCAGAGGTACAAAGGGACTACCAGCGAGGCTACGAGATAGTAGCAGAGTGGTTCATGCGGTATCTGTAGATGAGAACCGATCGGCATCGTCTTGTAGCCTTCAATCGGCATCGCTCATGTCTTCGTCGCTTGGAGATCTGGAGTCGTCTGAATGTCGGCGTCCGTTGCCATTCATCGCAACTTCCTCGACTTCTCCTTCACTCTCGACTCCATCCTCCTCCTCGTCACGGTCCAACTCTTCCAACTCCTCTCCAAGCGCACTTGCTCGCGGCTCAAGTCGGTCTTCATCCTCCAAGAAAGTTCTCGGATTGATTTTCGGCAATGTGGTCGCGCAGACCCTGTTCTTCACCAGCAGGTCGTCAATGAACTCGTCCATATGTGTCAACGCCCATCCCTCTCTTGTCCTTCTCTTGAGCTTCCTGAAGTCAGCGAGATACGGCTCAAGAGTGGTGTAGACCTCCTCATCCTTCTCCCACGCGAGTCGAATGTAGAAGGCCGCCAACGCGCGCAGATACTTGAATTCGTCGCCAGCTTGCTCCAAGTAGTACATGATGATTTCGCGTTCGGGTGTCAGCTGCAACAGCTTGAACGCCAAACACAGAAATGGCGTTGGCTTTTGCGCGCCGCCGTAGGTACCACCGATGAAAGCGAGCTCGACGGCGCGATCAAGAATCGTGGCAGCATTGAGACCGAAGCACTGCTCTTTCCAGTAGTAGGAGTCGACGATGCGGTCGCGTACCGGCTTTTCGAAGAGCTTGAGAGGATTGTCGCCCCGGATGAGTGTTCCTTGATATCCTCGCTCATCCAGAGCGCGTTTGGCGTCTGCCTGGTGCGCCATTTGCGAAGCCGTGAGCGTGTTGAAGGTGCGGGTTCTGAGTTGCAACATCGAAGATTCCGAGCTTCTGGGTCAACGCGCGACTAGCGAAAGCTTGGCGCGCAACCCTAACTGTTGCTCCGAACGACTGTATAAATAAACATGGCGCATGCAAGTTTACAGATTGAATAGACGAGCATGCATCTTCAAGACATGACAGTACCGCAAAAATGAGAAGAATACTGTTATCACAGTCGCAGGTCTCGATCGTAGTATCCTCCGGAGTCGTCTTTCTTTTCACGGTCCTCCTGTTCCTCTCTGGATACATTATACAGCAACGAACAGTCAAGGGCCTCCAAAGTGCATTGAAGCCTCGAATACCTCAGGCCCCTACTTCATTCAATACGCATTCGCAACCGTCAAACCAGGACACACGGAGATCATCGCGAATATTCGGACAACAGGGAGGGCATGTGGCCTACGCTGATCTCGATCGCGATGTTCACGACGCAGGCGCCAGTGTTAACTGGCAGAGGCTAGCTCACATACAGCTTGTCAGGAACCACCACGATGTCTGCAGCGCCATCATGATAATGGCTGAGTTGCACAACCAAAAGTCGCCGGCGAGAAGGTTGTTGCTTTTTCCAAAGGCATGGGCGGAAGAGAAGGAGGCCAGCAAGGGAGACATTTCGGATCCATATCTCGCTAGCACGAGGCGGTTGATGCGAATGGCTGCAAGAAGATACCACGTCGAGCTACACCCAATCGACCCAATACGCAAAGACGGTGATGTGGAGAAGTACTCGCTGGCGAGTGCCTTCGCGCTTCAAGGCTCATTCGATCGCGTCCTCACGATCGAGACGCCAGGCCTGCTGCTGGACTCTGAGCCACTCGACGCTCTACTTGGATTTACGGAACCAGCACCCTTCATGATGCTTCATGACACAGTGGAGAATGATGGGGTACATTCGGAGGACTTGTTTCTGTTCGAGCCATCGAAGGATATCTACTTGGAGCTCAAAGAGCGCATTGCAGAGCCGAAGAAGTCAGGCTACAATGACACGGATCTTGCAAGCTTCTTTACCGATCCAGTATTGCTGGCGTCTAGCAATGAGAACAATGCCCTCATTCGGTCGATAGGAACTCTCCATGATGTCGGCCGGAATTTCAATCAAACTGCATTCCTGTCTGATGTGGGATACATCCGCTTTTCAGATCCGAAGCTTCCAGGGCCAGAGTATGAAGTGCCGTGGGCAGACAAGGTATCTGCGAGGCCACGAAACAAGGACGCCGACTGGACTTGGACGAAGTTGTACGGAGAGTTTGCAGAGAAGAGGATGGATATCTGCGGGCTGGACCTGGAGAGTTGGAGGCCGTGGTATGATTAATGGCTGATAATGAATTGGTTAGGAGGGCGTTTGTGTGGAATAAATGAAATTCTTGATTGATTCTAGAGCAAAGGCAGGAGCGCCGCACGCACTTTCCTCATTCACGAATACTCCCTGAAGAATGCGTCGCGTCTCGCTAATCGCGCTTGCCTATGTTCGTTTCCACGCTTCATCCTGCTTCTCAACTTCTCTGCAGTCATCATCAACCACTCACAACTCCCCCATAACTATCTGCGACCCGTCACCCATCTGTCCGCTGCATCTCGACATTAGCTAGCCGACAACCACCATCGACATGGCTGAAGTTTCGCCAATTCTCAATGTGCCCCTCGAAATTCTCCAGTACATCTTCGACTACTTGCCCGATACCGACCTGCCAAATTTGAGGCTGGTGTCAAGAGATATGTCCACCGCGGTCTTCGATATGTTCGCCGAGAATTACCTCGAGACTCTGTACTGCTTTTTCCCGAACCCAAAGCGACTGTTACGGCTCAAGGCTCTGAGCTCCACGCCTCATCTCGTCCGCAAGATCAGAGCAGTCAAATTCTGCTTGGTCGCGCTTGAAAGTACGGATCTCTGTGACATTCCCACCGTGCCAAACAAGCCCGATGGAGCCATGTCATGGGAGTGTCATCTGAAAAAAGCTCAAGAAGGCGACTTCGAAAGATATCTCGCTCAAGAACAAAATCTCCACTTCGAACCTTCGGACCAGTCTTTGCTTTCATCTATCTTTCTCGACCTTGCGAAGACCGAATGTGTCAAGGTCAGCCTTTTTTTGCACGGTCTCCACGAACCGGATACGAAACTCTTCACAAACAACGCTGCGGTCGTGTCGGGGATTTTGAATACTCCTGGTCTCCCAAGTCTTCACAACCTCTTCGTGGAGTGCGTTGACTGGCGATTGGAGGATGCCGTGAAAGTCTTGCAGCATTCGCAGCAAACGCTCCGAGCGGTGGTTTTGGACAGCTGCGGGCTCATTGGGGAAGCGACACCTTGGACAGAGGTGTTTGAGGGGTTGCTTGCTTGCCCCAACCTCGAATATCTCGTATGCGCGCAGTTGTTCGACACGTCGGTCCTATTCTTGACTGCTCAGCTCGTTGGGGCGTCTGGGGAGTGCGTACTTGAACGGGAAGCTGAGGGACACCACGACGTTCAGAGAGCATTGGAAGAGAACATTGTGTATGGCCTGCCGTACGATTCGGAATGAGCGCGTAGCCACTGCTGGATACGAAGTAGCTGACCATCACTTGGAAGGGAGGCGGGAGGGACGGGAGGAAGCTGCTGCATGTTTATTGTCGCGGAGTACACTAGGAAACCTCGCGTGTCGGTGTCTGCAGAAGGTGCCAATATGTTAGATTAGAGACCATAGCAATACGAATTCAAAGTGGTAATGGAATCGCAACGTGGTCCCCGCGGATGATCTCCATAGCACCGATGTCGCACCGCTCCGTGGAGGTTTCGTACATGTACAGACACTTGTTGTGATGTACATACCGCCTCAGTCGAATGCGATCTCCAAATTACCTTCCTGCAGATCCTTGTCCGACCAATCTTTCAGCGGGTCTTTCTTGTCGAAAGCATGCTTCGCCCGCTCTCTTCGAGGCATCTTGAGAATATTGTAGCGGTCGCCGCCCCGAGGACTCAATGCTTTGAACTTGAAAGACAATCAGCGTCGACCGCACACCACTAACGCCTGGCAAAAGGCTTACCATCTTCGCCCACTGCCAGCGGTCTGCTGAGTCCCGGCTTGCCATTGGCTCTTCGCCTCCATGCTCCGCAAGTAGATCCTCCATCCCGTCACATCCCTGCTGTGCCAGATCAATGTCCGCCTTCTTTGCATAGGAGACAATTTTTGGCACCCAATCCATATACTGGTCGGGATCGGATACACCAGCCTTGAGAAACAACGCCATGATGAAACCAAGATCCCGGAATCGTGAATCTGGCTTGAGCTCCCCTTCTCTGTCCAGACGGTTCAATGCGGTCAAAAGCGCACACCCAACAACCTGAAAAGCCTTGCCTGCACCCTCGCCGTCATCGATTGCCAGCCACATCTGCGAGCTTTCGTGGTTTAGCCAGTGTCCCAACGTGGCAACGACTGACCACATCTTGTTGAGATCTTCCGCAGTGAAGGCCTTGTTGAATTCAATGAGCAACTTCTCAAGCAGCTCGAAAACGCCCCAGGAATGCCAGTCGCTGTAGATGTGCATGTCGAAGTTGTCCGGGTTGGTGAACTGGCAAAACGAATCCAATCGACGAAATTGCGCCAGCTTTCTGCCATGATGGTGTATGTCCAGTCCGGGTGATTAGAGGCGAGTTTGTTGAAAATGGATTCTCCTTCGTCTTCTTCCTCCCCTTCCTCGTCTTCGTTCTCATCTTCATTATCGTCCTTGTATGCATAGTAAGGTTTTGTCAAGCAGATGTATTCGTATGGTGGCCTATTGTCGACGGAGATGTCCTGTCGTCGTTAGTTTTAGTGATAGTCGTGTCATACAAGGCAAGTGGATTTTGTTGCCGAAGAATCTGCGATTTTACTCTCGAATTGCTGCCATTTTTTTCCGTGTTGTTTCGTCTTACCTCGGCACCAGCGATGATTGATTCTTCTGCATCAGCATCTGTCGCGCCACAATTGGCTTGTCCAGGACTACGTCCATTCTGCTCATTATTGGTGTTCTTGGTGTTCTTAGAGGACTTCGGACCGGGTTCAACATCTGCACCGCCATCTTCGAGCGCTCTCTTCGAACCCGTTGCAGTCTGATCATTTTTCCGCGTCATCTTGACCAAATCTCTATGGATTTATCAAAGGGCGAAATGGCAATCAAGTGCTATGTTGTGCGAAGACGTTGTCGCAATGCAATATCTTCGAACGCGGGACGGGAGCTCCTGGATCTTACGCGTCGACGTCATTCTCAGCACAGACACACTTCATGTTCCGGGCCGTGCATACATCTTAGTCGCGCTACTTCGCGGAGACACGTGGACGGTTCGATGTCTTCCAGCCGCAAAGCAAAGAGAAGAAAGGAGACAGATCATCTCGGGGTCTCCTCGCGGGGTGAAGATTTTCATGTTAGCCGCGACGTCTTGTCGTCTTGATCACTACCAACGACTGAGTTCATGCACAGCTGCCTCTAATAGATTAAGCACTGCATCCTAGCGCATACTTCCCTTATTCTTTCTGCCTTCTGCCCATTTGTCCTCCAAGGCATCTCCTTGTGTCCTAGCATTGTTGACAAGTTGCTGCAAACTGTGCTTTCCTGGGGCAATGGCCTTGACGTTCCGATGCTCGACCACCTCACCATTCTGCCGCATTTGCTCGTTGGATGTGTATTCTGCCTCCATGTTGAAGTGCGTGACTTGCGCATCTTTGCCGCCTTTCCTGCCGAATAGCTGGCGTCTTTGAGCAGGTGTGAGATTGAGATCATCTGCTGTTGCTTCGAGCGAATTGGCATTGCCCTGCTGGAGCGTGTGATGCTGAGTTGCCGGCTGCTCTACCTCCTCAGGGAGATAAGCGGGACCCTTTTGCGCAAGCAGTGGCTCATATTGGCCTCCACTCGCTTGTATTGGAACCGGATCCTCCTCTTGTTGCATCGAAAAGAGCGATCGTTTCGGTTTGGGCATTGCTTCCGCCTCTCGCGCGACCTTCTCGGTGACGGCTTTCGCCATGTTCGAATGCTGTCCACTATCCGTACTTTTTGAAAGCTCCGCGACGGGTGTAGGTTTGCTGATTGGCTTCTTTTTCTTCTTGTTTGCCACGCTCAGTGGAAGAAATCTCGTTGCTTTGCCGACAAGCTTGGGCTCTTCCCGAGCTGTATCTTTCTGCTCATCTTGCAGTGCTGGTCCAGTTGAAGCGACGCTGGGCTCATTGTTATACTCTGGCACCGCCGGTCGCTCACGGCTGAAAGCTGCCTCGCTACTCGTCTTCAGACTGACACCGGTTTTTGGCGCCTTCTGCGCTGCTCGTTTTGGTGCAGGCAGCAGACTATTGAACCCACTGAACGCGCCACTAGTTCGCGCTCTCTTTGTGGGCGGTCCATCTGCGCCGCCATTCTCTGCTTGACCAGGCTCAGGCTTGAAACTTGGGAGGTCGACTTGAATCTTTCCCGGTGCCGCTTTGTGAAACGCGGACTTCGACGTGGAGGTGGTTTTCGGTGCTGTCGCGGGTGCTGTTGCTGGAGATTCTGATTCGCTTTCGCTATCTGAGTAATTGACCAGCGCCATGGTAGCAAAGTTGTACAGAAGAATGTTGTTATCGACTTGGAGCGCTTCGTGCTCCCAAATCATGACTCGCGCGTCGGAGCATCCCCGCTGTGGACTCCCGATGCCCCACAAACCACGTGCCCGCCCCTGCTGCTTGGGGATTCGATCAACCTTGCACCTACGAGTACTACTATTGACTTGAACCACGGCATGTGATGATGGAGGACGCGCCAGCTGGTCTGGCGACAGAACTTTCCTACCGGTGAAAGCCACGAGATCAACGACATCATGTCTCTGCTTATGAACGAAGAGTAAGCAAAGCCAGAGACGACGGCCTGGCCAGTACTGACACCGACAGCTTCTCTATCTACCAATTGCGTCTGGGATATCTGAACCAGATTCATGATGGCGTCGGAGAACGATTGATCAATCTGAACCCGGCTGTGCTGAACAACCCCGCTTTCCGAACAGCGGGATGGGTACCTGACACCGCTGCGATCAAGCGATGTTATTCCCCTCCTATTCCCACCGGCGGCGGACCCGAGATCAGTAGCGAGTATTTTCAGAGGCCGCGACGTCCTACAGGAAACCCACTAGACTTTGAAGATGGCGCGGAGGGAGGTGGAATGGTCACAGGCAATCAGGGCAGCGAGGATACCCTAGGCCCAGGAGGACTACATGCAAATGAGAGGAAAAGAGAGCGAAGGCGGCGTAAGGAGCAGCTGGAAGAGGACGACAGCTCTGACCTGAGCGATGATAGCGATGAAGATGATGTTGCGAAAGGTCCTGCACAAAGCATCAAATTCAGCAAGATGCCTATTCGCAATCGGGCGAAGTCGTCTCCTACAGGCCATTCCAATACTCTCAAACCCGAATTCGACGACGGACCTGCGGTGATGGTCACTAGCCCGTCACGGCCTCCAGAAACTGATGCATTCACGAGATTACGCAGTGGTAGCGTTGGCCAGGTGGAGGCAGTGAAACAGCGTTCGAGACGGGACACAACGACCAGCTCTGAGATCTCTAGTGAGAACGATGCAGCACCAGTAACTTTCAAGCGAAGGCTGCCAAGTCGACCCGGAAAAGGGCCGAGTGTGCTGGCATTGGAAGACGACATCGAGGAGGAAGAACAGAAAGGCGAGGCAACGGCAAACTCTGACCTGGACGACGAAGACGAGGATGTGGGCGAGGCCTCAGATCTTAGTGACGATGAGTTTGATGGAACAGCAGACTCACCTTCCATGCTTGGGCTTCCAGGGGCCAGTGATGGCTTGTCAACCTCACCACTGAAGGCTCCACCAGACATGCTACATGCGGTCATCGCGGCTCCAAATGCATCTCCTAAGAGGCAGGCAAGAGACGCTCTGCCTCGTTTACCCAGACTGCCACCTGGTGAGCGACCCAGGAGTATGGCTCCGCAGTCCATGTCGATGATCAGCATGATGATCAAGGGCAATGGCGGAGCAGTCAGCGATAAGCCCTTCCAGCGATTTGCCGATCTCTATGGTAGAGACGAGCCAAATCCTCTCTGGGTCAAAATCTATGCTCCGTTTTCCGAGAAGTCGACGAAGCCTCTGGAAGTGCCAATTCGACGCATGAAAGACGATCGGCCTGTCACTGTCGCGGAGCTCATAGGCCTGGCGCTGTGGCGCTACGTCGAAGAGGGCTACAAACCGGAACTGAAATCGGATGAGAGCAATGTTAACTGGTGGACACTGCGCATCGTGGAAGACGAAGAGATTGACTTTGATTTTCCGGCTCTCGTTCGCACACGGCCAGTGATCGATTTCACGTCGAACAACAACCGACCGCCAAATCGGCGGGCGCGTGACAAGCCATGGGACGAGTTCGGCTTGACCAAAGCGACACAAGAGCAGTTCAAGGAGAACGAAGAAATCACGCCTCAGATTGGAGACATGGGCAGCACTGGTCCCCAAGCCCTCCCAACGCCCAAGTTGGAGGCGCCGAAAATGCCCATGCCGGCGCCAATGTCACGAACAGGCTCAGAAGCTCCGCCAACACCGAATGTGGGCTTCAATCCCGCACGCAACCCAATCACGGGGCCATCGTTTGCACCGAATGCCTTTCGCAAGGACTCTTCGGCCCTCATGGATGCACCTCAGCGGGAAGGTCGACAAGGCGCAGCAAAGACCGGCGCCCCTAGGACTGTCCTTGTGACTTTCACGGATCCGCAAAGCTTCATCACTCGGAACGAGACATACGAGACAACGACGGACAGCTATATCGCGGAGGTCTTCGAGAAGAGCTGTGCACGGCTCGGTCTGGACAAAGCGCTGCATGTCCTCAAAGTGCACGGCACGCAAACAGTAGCACCACTTGACCGTACAATCGAGGCTCTGGGGGACAAGCTGCACCTCGACCTCTTGCGGCGTCGCTTTGCAGGATCCGGCATGGCAGGTGGAGACGGCATGTTCGGCCTGGGACTCATATCCAACTCTCCTGGTAGCTCGTCGCCCAACGCACCCCTTGACCTTACACCTGCCAATGCCACGCCCGACAAGGGAAAGAAGAAGGGCATGAGAGGGTTCACGTTACATCCTCTCGCCGCACAACAGAAATCCGAGCTCAACACAACATCTACCGTGGCTCTTGCCCTCGACCGCGATGGCAAGCGATACAACGTCCTCCGCAAACAACCGCTCAGCTTCGCTGCAACGCATCCGCGGACATTGATCATCACACCAGAGTACATGACCATCATGCCGGCTGCGCCTGACAGCTTGGCTGCTCCTACCGGCAAGGTGACGAATGTGCCCATGACGAGCGTGATTGGGGCGAAAGTCAGTAGGAAGCACCCGCGGATGGTGCGAATTTTGGTCTTTCGAGAGAAAGAACAGAAGAGGTATGACTTCGAAGCGATCAATCATCGGGAGGCAGAGGAGATTGTCGCGGATGTCAGGAGGGGCATGGAAGCCTTGGGGCCTACTGCTAGGGAGGAGTGAGGATTCGGTGTGGTTTGGTCTGGGATTCGGTGTTTGGTGTTTGGTCGGAAAGATACCCAGAGGATCAAGTTGTCGTGTTCTTGAGATGCATCTATGCGGGTCTATCGTAAGCTGGCTCGCGTTGTCTATCATCGCCGCTCTTGCCATCTCATGGGGCTAACAACACCTGTACCTCGCGTGGTCAGCGTGTTGGTCGCGTTGGACGGAAAGACGCAGTCTGTTGATGATGGAACAACGTCCGCTTCTGCAGGGAAACTCTAGGCTACCTAGCTGCTTTTACTCTCTCGAACATGTCGTGAGAGGCGTCTGGCAACCATCTCGCTTCGCCATGATATGTGTCCCGGCGGCGTGTAATTGACCACACAGGACAGGGTGAAGTCGAGACTCCGACTTTCTTGGCGTGTTGAGTTCCGAGACCGCCCGCCGTCGAGTTCCCTTCATGCACCGACACCGACATCAACAGCAATGACACCACGCGGCATCAGCATGGGACCATCGGCCTTTTTCACAAACTTGATCGCACGCAGGATGCAGTGTCGTGTGACATGCGAGACGGTTTGAGCAAGCGCCGACCTCCCCGCCTGCATATACCGGTGGGCAGAATGGCTCCACTGGGCGCTTGCGGCCAGGTTCACGATCAGACCTCCAACCACTCAGCTCCCTCCTACATCCATATCAACGCCAGGCCCTGTATACTCACAGTACTGTGCCGCCGGATCATCATTGCCACTTGCAACCACAGCGCAATGTGTAACAAAGGCCCTGCGCTCCCCGTCCGATGTCCCTCGTTCCTCTTGGCGCACGGCGTCAATGGGCAGCGGCAACGACAGCATGCTAGTCCTACTCATTGGACGGTCTCAGACACGATGACTCTATCCACGAACACCTGCTCTGAGCTCGACGTGCTCCTGGCCAGTGACGAGCCCGGTATGGCTCTCAGTAGTAGTCGTCTCGCACGGCTGAAACAGACTGCACGGCTCTTCGCGCTCGCCATGCGTGCTGGAAATATGAACCTCGAGGATGCCCGATGACGAGAGCTCACGTCCATAGCTGTAGCGCGCAGCACTGGTGCCCTCCTGTACCTCGCACCACCGCGCCGTGGACCTGCCTTGCTGTGCCTTTTGGTCGCGTGCGTCGGGCCTTCTTATCATCCCAGCCGTCCTAACGTTTCCTTCTGTCATTTTGCTGTTACAGCGCAAAGAGCTGAACCTGTTGTTGTTGTTTTTCTTGTTCTTGGCGTCTCGTTCGTTGTTTCGGTTGTTCTCTGCAAGTACTTCTATCATTGACGAAACTCAGAGCCTCACACGCTTCTAACAGCTTTCAGTTTTGTACCATCAGACGCACTGCCTGCTGGCCAGGTAGCTGAGCAAGTAGCGTGCTTCGGCTGCAGGACAGGTCAGGAACCATCAACTACGCCGCAGTAGGGACCGTTGTTCAACGGAAAGGCGAAAGCAACATAAACAAGCTCTCCGCATCGGCAAAGATGGAGCGGTCACTATCGTCAGCTTCCGCCTATTCAGAGACTACATGCGACCACATGGCTCCTGGCAGTATGGCACCTTGGGAGAGGCGCGAGATGGGTCAAGTGCCATACATTAGCCCGGAGTCTGCTCCTCAGACTCAAGCCGAGAGCAGAGCGGTCCATTGTCTCCGGGCCGCCCAGGACAAGAAAGCTAAAGCTTCTGGTCTTGGAAGACCGGATTCGTATGGACGGCCACCACATCCCGCTAAAGACGACTCTGGCCATCGACAATGGACTGCGCAAGACAAGGCAAGCTCTTCAAGAGGTCCCAGGACAGCACCCGAACTCGCTCGTCCACCAGTTTCAGAGAGCGGCTCCTGGTCATCTTCATCCGCACCCTCCTCGGCCAAGAGCTCGCCATCCTTTGATTGTGAACCACATGATAAGCCAATCAAGGCATTGCCTGGGACGATGTCTGCGAGAAATGGGTCTGCCACGAGGACCAAGATAGCCGGCTCACAAAGCCCCGAGCCAATCGAGGAGCAGACCAAAGAGACGACGCCGACGTTTGGAAAGAAGTTTAAGACTGCTTTGAGGGGTGCTTTCAGGCGAAGTCCTGTGGATGATTCAGGCCTGCGGAGGGTTGGGAGCAGGCATTGGACCGAGACCGAGGAAGAAGAAGACGAGCTGTTTGCTTAATTCAGACTGGACCTCAACGATTTATGACAGCGTAGTTGCTTCGGCGTATATCCATAAGGCTATTCTTCAAACTAATATTACGGACTGTCCTCGAGGAGATATGACTTCAATGCCCGAGATGCGAATAGTTTTATTCCTCCCAAGCAAAGCTATACACCATTCTGGAGCAATCAACACAGCTCCTTGGCCTCCAAACGCACCATCCATGCACCGTCATCCAAATGCAGGCCCTCGATTCTGGGACACCTGATCCAATTCTTAGGCGCCCAAGAAGCACTTGCTGTGCCTCTTGAACAAGTCCTGGCGCTAAATGGACTGACATGGCGGCAGATTCCACTCGCATATATGAGGGCAAGTCTTGTGTAACGTAGAGCCAACCATCACCGCCAATCTCGTCACATCTGCCATGGGTTTCCGAGACTTGTTCAGCACACTCGGTTCGACGGGTACAACCCCAACACAGAATCAATCTCCAGGCAATCCCACTCTTCCCAATGCGACTCCGAGCCGAGCTCCACGTGGAGAGTATCAGTACACTCGCCTGGCGCCGACGCAGATACGGTTGATGCAGCTACTGCCGGGCTCCGGCCTTTCCAAGATCAAAATCACAGTCGAGACGGTGCCCTTTGGCCCAAACGACCAGCCGGAATTCCAAGCCCTCTCGTACACCTGGGGCTCTGACGAACACCCCGGCGTGATCCAGGTAGCCGGAGGCAGAGGCATCATCAAGGTCGGGCGGAATTTACTGCAAGCCCTTCACAGTCTCCGGCGGCAGGGAGAAGCGCGTCGAATGTGGATTGATGCCATCTGTATCAATCAGAAGGACGCCGAAGAGCGCAGTGAGCAGGTCAATCTCATGGCTAATGTCTATGAGAGGGCCCATGGGGTCATTGCGTGGATTGGCCGCGAGTCCGCCAGCAGCACTCTGGCCCTACGCACGATGAGCTCCATTGGGGAACACGTGCAGGCAGACTGGGAGACGCCCGACGTGCGAGTGCTGCATCCGCGCTCCGGCTTGCCGGCGAAGCAGCTGAACGCGGTCTTGGAACTCCTCCGGAGGCCGTATTTCCAACGTCTGTGGGTCTACCAGGAACTGCATCTGGGCGGGGAGGGCGCCGTGGTGTTGTGCGGACAGGATGTGATTCCTTGGCAGGCCGTCCGCACCACGGTGCTGCTCATCAGGGCGAGATACCGACAATCACCGGGGTTTCGCGCCTTCCCACCGGAAAGATGGAGGTATCTTCTCCATCTCTGCGACAGTGACTACTCACGCCGCGAGTTCCTCGACTCCCTGCATCGAACGCGCCTGGCCGAGTGTAGCGATGATCGCGACCGCGTCTTTTCCGTCCTCTCGCTCTTCTCCAAGGGCCACAACTACGGCATCACCAAGGAGAAGAGCCACGGGATCGATCGGGGCTACACCAAGACCATCCAGGAAGTCTACGTCGAAGTCATCACCATGCATCTGAAGACCACCGGCAGCTTGGAGTTCCTCAACTACACCGGACGTCCCAAGCACCAGGACCTCCCCTCCTGGGTCCCCGACTGGTCTCGCGAGGACCCCAGCGTCGTCTTCCAAGGCCTCGCGGCAGGCCCGCAGATCTCCGACCTCCCCTTCACGCTCTCCCAAGACCAGCCCCGGCGACTTCGAACCCCAGCCCTCATCGTCGGCCAGATCGCCCACGCCTCCCCCAATTTCGATTTCCCGCCCGCCATCCTCGCCAGAATCCTCTCCGCGTCCGGCGCACAGCTCCTCGAAGCCCTCACCCGCAGCCTCTACGGCAATTACTTCTGCGAGAACAACGTCGACGCCCGCCACGAAGCGCGCACCGCCCACATGAGCTTCTACAAACAGGAACGAGAAATTCACCACGAGCTGCACACGCATGGCCGCCTCGTCTCGGAGCAGTTCAGAATCCAGGGGCACAGGCTTGGTCGTTCCCTCCTCGTCACTGCCGGCGAGGGTCTCGGTCTGGGTCCTTCCGCTACCCTCCCGAATGATCACATTGCCGTGTTCCCGAACTGCAGCTCCGCCGTGATTCTCCGGCCCACTACCACTTCCACTGCCGGCTCGAATCGATACACGGTCGTTGGACCTGCGTACGTGGAAGGTTGTATGCAGACGGAGGCATTCCTGGGTCCATTGCCCGACAGGGTCGAACGGATGTCCAAGCTCGAGAAGGGCGGGAAGCCGAAAGTTCTCTTCTATGATCACAATAGGAAAGTGCTTCTCGCGGAGGATCCGCGCCTGGGACCGCTTCCGCGTGGATGGAGGAGGGGGAAAGAAGGAGGGTTCGAGAACAAGCAGACTGGGGAGTGTAGAACTTCAGTGCAAGATCCAAGGCTCGACATGGAGATGTTGCGGAGGCGAGGCGTGCAGTTCAGGGAAATTGAACTGGTGTGATTGTTTTGTCGAGATGTAGCTGTTTGAACATCGGCATTCGAGGATTCTTCCGACTGTATAGATATGTCCAATGTAAGTTACAAACTCTTCAAGAATTCGAGAACATGCTTTGAGGTCTCCCGAGGCTGTTCCTGTTGTACCCAATGACCCGCATGATCAACCATCTTGGCGCCCCTGAAACACCCGGGCTTGACGGCCTTGTCATCCTCGTAGGCCTCGAAAGCACCCGGCTGCTGGAAATTGCCCCAATCCTGTTTCCCGCTGATAAAGCCGCAAGGAACCTCGATCCTTCGGCCGGCATAGAGAAACATCTCCTTCTTCGTCTGCGGGGTGGAAGCCGTCTGGGCACGATACCAGTTCAGGGCACCCTGGAAGCCCACGCGACTCCATTCCTGGACGTAGACGGCCATGTCGGAGGGCGAGAGCCAGGATTCGGTCTTGTGGTAGTCTTCGCCCCGCATGTTCTTCTCGACGGTCTGGGGAAAGGTGTCGTCCTTTTGCATGATGTAGTACTCGGGCATGACCTCGAGATCCCTGGCGGTCCAGGCCTCGAGAGGGTGCGGGTCGTTCTTGTCCCAATCTGCAGATTTCAGATGGAAGTAGCCGCGAAGGTAGTTCTCCAGACCTTGAGGCGGGTGATTCCAATCACGTGCTGCCCCGGGCGAGGTGTTGTACCACTTGTAGTGTTTCCTGGGAGGGGTGAGCTTGGCGAGCTCGGTCTGGATATCGACCGGTGTCTTCTGAGGGTGATGGCCGAATTGCGGAGTGGGAGGGGGATGGTGCGGATGGCTCATCTGGATGGTCGATCTGAAGATGTCGGGGCGCATCAGGGCAGCCATTGCGGAGGATACAGCGCCAAAGTCGTGACCGACGATACACGCGACGTCTGTGTAGGCAAGCTTGTAGACCAGACAGACGAGATCTCGCACCAGATTGGTCATGGTGTACTGGGTCAGATCGACTTGATCGTAGGGCCTGTCCTCCCCGCCCGTCGTCCGACCGTAGCCTCGTTGGTCCATGGCGACGCAATAGTAGCCTGCCTCGGCGACGGTGGGCATGATGTTTCGCCAGGAGAAGGACAGCTCGGGATAGCCATGGCAGAAGAGGACGAGTGGATTGCCGGGCTTGCCCGCCTTGAGGATGTGAAAGTTGAGTTCGCAGGAGGAAGTGCAGTCGGCGTAGTCGTCGGTGATGCCGGCGGGCAGTGGCCACGCTTCCCGGGCCGTTGAGGATGCCATCGGGCTTGTTATCAGTAGTTCGGCAGTCAGCAGCTCAGCTCTTGACGGACAAGTATTTCATCTGTCGATTCCACTTCCCCAAAAGGCGCGTGGAGCGCATCTCGAGGGAGATTGTGTAGGGTCTACAGTCTACATTTCGACACGGGCGACGGAAGGCATTCGGAGGGATCAGCAGTCCGGTATCGCAGCTACGCCTCGTCGCGATGCAATGTTGGAGCTTTCCACATCAACGGCCTGACTGGAGCTGAGAGCAAGAGCATCGTCCTCGTCGACACTCGACAGACACTTTGCGACCGTCGTCTCATCACTATCTATGCGATGCGATGCGATGCGATGCGGCCGTGTGGATGGTGGATGCGCGGATCTCGTCATGGCCCCCACCTCGCTTGCGATCGCTTACGATAGAGTCACGGGGGTGTTGTGGGCTCGACGGACAAGGAAGGACCAACTCTCATTTCGGGAAGGTGCGCCATGATCAGCTCGGTTCGGTTCGGTTCCAAACGTGTGAACGCTCTGTGCTCGGCTCTCCCCGCGATTCCGTGAAGCTTCTGCTGTTCCGTTTCGTTTCCGTGCGACGACGACGACATGTGATGCTCCAAATTGAATTGCTTCCGAGAGCACGACGACACGCACGCGAGCGACGCCACGCCACGCGAGCCAATCATCGACTCGAATCATTCTCGGCCACCTCATCCGGTGACCATGTTTGTTGTCAACTCACTCACTACTCTCCTCCACCACCACAACGGCGCGGCGCGGCGCGTAACATACAGTAGACGCTTCTGCTGCTGGCCGAACCGCTGCTGCATGGACGGCCCCTGCAGCCGCACGCAGGGCGCTGGAGAGCCGAGATAATTCCATTCGCGACGACTGCCATTGGAGCAGAGGCCGAAGAGGTGCGACGTGAAGGTTGTGAACTTGTGATGCATCATCTCTCTCTCCAATCTTCTCCATATACCGAACCGCTCTTGCTCGGCCAAGCCTCATCACATTCGGGCGCGCGCTCGATGCGGACGGGGCACGGCAGAGGGAGCACGGCAGAGGAAAGAATGCCGTGTTCTGTGGTACTCTACCTTACTTCTTCTTCTTCTCCTCCTCCCAACACCGTCTCCCACCCACCCATCCGCCGAACTTTTCCTCTGCCTCTTGACCTTTTGCTGACCTTTTTGACCTTTTCTGCTTTCATCCCCCCTTCTCTGCTCCAGTCATTCGTTTCTGTCCCTCGCTATTCCGCACACATCCACCAGAGCTCCGATCGCCTGCTGCGTTGCTTTCAACAGATAGATACCCACTTTGCATTTCCGCGTCTCCTTGGATCACTGCACACACAACCAACATGTCTTCCTCCTCCTTCACCACCCGCTGCGCCCTCCTTCTCGCCAGTCTGGCCGCAGCGGTATCCGGCCTGGACGGCATCGTCACGCCTGCTGACGTCGCTGCCGGCGAGCGCTTCCAAGTCACCTTCCAAGGCGGCAACGACGACAAGTACCGAGTCTACCTCGCCGCCTCTCTCGCTGGCTCCAATGGCCCGGCCTGTATCTCTCCCCCCTACCTCCTCGCCCCCGCACTAGCTAACGGACCTCCCCCCCCTCCAGGCTACCTCCTCAACTCCACCACCGTCTCCTCCCCCATCAACCTCACCATCCCCGCCGGCGTCGGTCCCAGCGCAGACTACTACAGCATCGCCATCGCCGACCTGACCACCAACCAAGCCTCCACCTACAGCAATCGCTTCAACCTGACCGGCGCAGACGGCAACTACACCGCCTACGAGGACTCTCTCGGCGGCTCGCCCTTCTGGAGCGCAGACGACTTGCCCTGCACCGCCTACCCCTGCGCCAGAGAATGTGCCCAGGCCTCGTACCCGCAGGATCTCACCGACACCAAGGCCTACCAGACCATGACCAAGTGCATTCTCGCCTGCAACGGCGTCACGCCCGCCGCTTCGCAGACCGCACCAGCACACGCTTCCAGCACCGCGGGATCCGCTTCTTCTTCTTCTTCTTCTTCTTCTTCTTCTTCTCCTTCTTCCACCACCATGACCGGAGAAATGGCAGTCATCACCCTCGGCCCGGGCGCGACCGTCACCGCCATCGAGACGATCAAGAAAGGCAAGACCTTGGCCATCATCGGCGACAAGACCCTGACCCTGGGCGGTTCCGCGGCCACCATCAGCAGCGAAGCCGTCAGCCTTGCCACCAGCGGTCTCGACGTCGGTGGGTCCACCACGGTCGCTTTCAGCAGCACCACCGCGACCGTGGCTGCTACCGTTGCCGAGGCCGCCGCTGCTACTGTTTCTGCTGATTCGTCGGCAAGCAAGCGGTACATGGCCGGCGCCGCCGCCGCAGGGTTTGCGGGTCTTGCGTTTGTGCTGTAGAAAAAGTATCAGCCACGGGGGAAATAAATATACAGCACAGATTATTGGGCAAGGCGTTTGCAACTGGAACGGATGGATATATGACGGGTATGTCTGGGAGTGTGCAAAGAGTCGGCCGGGGGGGGGGGGGGGGGTTTGTTTCACGTTACGCGGTACGTATTTGCCACGAGGGAAAAAGGGGGCAGATCAGGATGATGCTCCCACACGGTCGCGACGACGAGGACAGAAATTGTAATGTATAGCCTTCACAGCCTCCAGATCATATAAACAGAACAGACAGAATAGAAGCAATAATCACAGTTTACGCTTGGAAAGGAAAGGAAGAAGGGAGAAGAAGAAGGGAGAAGAAGAAGAAGAAGAAGAAGAAGAAGAAGAAGAATAAAAAGAAGAAGAAGAAGAAGAAGAAGAAGAAGAAGAATAAAAAGAAGAAGAAGAAGAAGAAGAAGAAGAAGAAGAAAAAGGGCAATCACACCTTGCTTTGCAAAAATCCAAATCCATATCCATCCTGACCCATCACATCACATCATGTGCTTACTACTATCCAAACGCCAACTTCCTCTGCCCCTTCTCCGCATTCGCAGCAGGAGGTCTGCCGCCTCTGCCTTTCTGCTTCGTCGACCCGGACGCCGACGGGACGGGCTTGGGCGGTGGCCGTGGAGGAGGACTACTCCTCTGCTCCTCCGTAGCCTGTAGATCCTGCGCGAAATGGAAATCGTCGTGTTCGCCCCTCTCCGCTTCGGGGATCCGTCTCGTGCAGCGGTCGCAGGTGTATGTGTCTGGTGGTGTTGTCGTCGCGTCGGCGTCTTCTCGGCCAGGCGGCTGTGTCTGTTCTGGGGGAGAGGGCAGCGGATGTTGGGCGGAAGGTGGGAGTTCTAAGAATTCGACTGGGCTGTGAGGTGGTCCCGTCGCTTCTGCGTTCGCTTCGGCTTCTTCATCCTGCAGATCCTCGTCCATATGCTCACGGGGTGGAGTTTGATCCTGATCCTCATTCTCGTCGCCGCGATGACTGCTCTCCGTCCTCTGCGCAAAGAAAGTCGGGATTCCACCGACTTTGATCTTCCTCTTCTTTCGCGCCGGACGTTTCTCAACCGGAGCATCCGTGGAATAAGTCGTCGAATTCATCAATTTCGCCTGCTCTCCTCGCACAAGAAAGCCGCCGATACCTTTATTCCCAGTCACGCCATCTTCAAAGCCACCGACGGACAGGGAAAGGTTCGCGCAAGGCCATGCTCGTCCATCCACGACGACCTGGGCGAGGAGATTCCGCGCGAGGTCGAACAGAATGTCTTCCGTGATCGTCTTGCCCATCGGGATGGGTGCTTGCTTGCTCCGTGTTTGTTGACCTTGGCGATGATGGATATTGATGGTCTTTGGTCTGCGCTTGTTCTCCAGCACGCCTTCTTCCACGAGTCGGCCAAAGATGTCCGCAACGAAGATGCGTAACCATTTACAGGCTACGTCCATGCTGTTGATGGAAGGACGGAAAGATTTCGCAGAGAGCATGGACTTGATCTGCGTTCTCGGGTTGACTTCGCTGTTGTCCTCGCCTCGAAGGACACCGTAGAGCCATGATCCCGTGTCGTCTCCCAGCTGCCTTTTCAGTTGCTCGATGGGCACAGGAAGCAGCTCCGACACTGCATCCGTATTGAAAGCCGCGACAACCTCATCGCCCAACTTCCCGCCCAAATTACGGATCTTGGTGAATTTAAAGCCGGAGAGGAAGTGCTGCACGGCTCGATTGCGAATCACCGTCTGCGAGTTGGGCTTCTTGTGGCCGGAGCCGAGCTTGGCCAGCATCTTGTTCCTGCTGATACCAGCGGAGCACGTATAATGCAGTTCTTCATCAATTCTTGCCCGCACGTCCCGTACGATCTCCGAGGCAACCAGCGTGACGATATCGTCCCAATCGGGGTCATCTTCTTCGGAATGTGAACTGTCGAGATCCACAAGTGCATCTGCCGCCCAGTCCAAGGCGGTCGTGGGCGGCCGTGGCAGAGGCTCCGAGGGATCATCATACGGCGGCGGTCCTCGCAATTCCGGATACCTCTCCAACAACACCGCGTGCACCTGCGCAGATAGATCCAAAAACACCTCATCGATACTCGCCTTCTCCACCCTCTGCGTCTCCCTCGGCAAACTCTCCTTGATCACCGCCAAGATCTTCCTCGATTCAATCCGGTACGGATCCAACGAGACTTTCCTCGTCGCGATCTCTTTCCACGCATCTTCGCAGTATTCCCATTTCGCATCGCCTTCTTTCCACGTTGCGACGTGTTGGCAGATGATGTCGGGGCATTTCTCTTTTGCCTCGGCGACGGTGACGTGTCGACTGAGACCGTATGCGCGGGCTGGGTAGTTGATGGCGATGAGGCCTTGCCATTGTTGGACGGCGAGGGGTTGGTCGGCGGGTAAATCCAGCCGCACCAACTCGCATTGTGCGTAGAAGGCATCGAGATCGATGTGGGCGATTACTCGTAGCGGACAGCTGGTAGCCGAGTGCGCGAGCGTGGAGAGGTGTTTGTATGTGAATTTGGAGCGGCGTTTGCGGCGCGTGTTGGGCGTGGCGGGAGAGGAGGTGAAGGGTTGTGAGGAAGACATGATCCTCGGTGGGAGAATGCTATCTCAGCATGCTTCTTGCTGTGTCTTGGACCCGTAGTTGAGCGAGAAGTGGGTGATTTGGTGTTCGGGTGTATACCGATAGAGATTCATTCACCTCAGTCGCGTGCTACGCGTTTCGATTGCGTCATAAATATATATGCCTCAGGCATCAAAGATTCGACCCAACGTACATGAATCTGGCACAGGCACCGACATTACTAAAAGGAACGGATCTTACAATGTCTTGCGTTCTCTAACTCGATACGACTCCCTACATCGTCCACTATGGAATGCACGGTTAAGCAGAAGATTAAATGCTGGGTCTACTTCTGGCGAAGCGGCGTCCTCTCCGAAATCGATGTGAAGAAATCATGGTTCAGGGAACGACTTTCTATGAGCAATGGATAACACTATTGAACGAGGAAGGCCCTGATCCCGACAATGTTCCGTCGTCCCGGATTCATGAGAGGGAGGAACCCTGGCACCAGCTATGCGATTTGATCATGTCGACGTCGATCGAGACTCTTCGTCAGCTAGCTCCGGAGGAAGAGTATTGTGTTACCTTGCACGAATATCTTGACACTCCTGCCTATTGCTTCCTATTACTCTCAGTGAGAGACGAAGACAAAATGAACCGAACTCACCACAGGTCCAGAGGATGGTGCCGCATGTGACCTTGCTCCAGTGGCCAAGAACGTGCTCAATGTTCCTAGATTCCAATGCAAGGGAATTCGTGTTGATTCACAAGGAAGGACACTGGCCTGGTGGTACCGAGCATGTTCGAGCATCAAATGGTCGGAGGTACACGTTCAAAGGTCTGCGGAAGAACGTAAGGCGTTCTGAGACGGGCGAGATCGCCCACGATGCCCTTGATGCCACGTAAGGCTTCTTGAAGAAGCACGAGGAGCTGTTGTCCCAAGAAATCGAGCTTGTCCTCGGCGTATTGCTTGATAAAGATACCAGAGACATCGGAAATGACGCCTCGAGGATAGCCGGCCTTCTCTTGTCTCACGAAGTCGATCCGTCAACATAGTTGAAAGAACCCCCAGGTTGAAGCTCTCGTGGTCTTCAATTCCGGCGCTCCGTTGTCTATCCGGCAGTCTGTCAATACGGGCCTTTTATGTAGCATTACCTTGGTTGTAGAAGCTCACAGCTGAAGTCTGAACTGCGAACTGCGCTCGCAGTCTGTCCTCGAAGCGTCGGAAGACGCTGAAAGGTTGAAGCGCACGCGTGTAGCGATGGAAACTGCATTTGCGAAGGCTCCATAGGCATCGGTTACACTCACAGTCTCGATCGACTGGCGCGAGAGGATTTGACTTGCTTCGCAGAAGCACTCCTTACAAATGTCGTTGCCTGCCCACGTATACTGTTCCAAAGCGATCTGCTTCAACTCCGAAATCTCCACCTCTAGCTTGTAGCCCCGAAGGATTCAATGCTGTTTCATGTCGCGTGCCCAAAGTAATTGTCAGAAAACAGGGAGCCGAATCTTCCAGCTCCTCTCACTTGGACGCTGTTGGTAAACAGTCCAGCATCGACCTGACCGCAGTCTCGGCGACCAAGGCCACCAAGTTGATGTCTCTCGCAGGGTGATGAGGATATAGTGGCGCGTGGCTTGTCGATCGTACGGACCCGTGTGCCTTGAAGGAGTCACTTCTGCGTCCGGAGGCGCTGTTGGTCGGTTCAGGGGTTTCATAATCGCTCGTTCAGCAGTCTCACTCGGTTTGTAGAGACGCCGCACTCGTAAAGCGGCTCTTCCACCACCGGGCGCGGATTCTGCTTTCACAGGCAGGGCGAGAACACTCGCAAAAGACCCAGGCCACCGGAGTGGTGATCTGTGAGCGGAAAACGCGCCATGGCTGCTCAAGCAGGTTATACAGAGTCTCGGAGCACCCTCCGCAGGTGTTGGCTCCAGGGGCAGGAGGTTGGGGGTGCGACGGAGGAGAAAGGGGAAGAGGAGGAACTTAGGAACTTGACGGCGCGCCTCGATCTTGATGTTTGGTGGTCGTTGATGCTCTCCGGCAGGCGTATAAGGTAGTCGATTCTCCTCTCAGTATGGAAACAATCGTGTCTCAGTCGCGTCGTGAGTAGTGCATGTAGGGCTACTTGGCATCTATCAGTGCATCCCACACTAGATCAACGGACAACCTGAGTATCCAGCGGCCCTGTATACCGTGCGTACGCATATTCGCGGTCGCTTGTTGCCTCTGCAAGGGCAATTGTGAATGGGAGATTGACCTTGGGCTCTGAGAGATGTCACTCCTGCGTCGCACTGTCATAATACGCTGACATGGCGGCTGGGTTGGCTCACTCGCTCCGCCAGTCTTCCTCATCGAGGAGGCATGGCGGTGGTAGCTGTTGGTTGTTACCGCCGCCTTCACGGATCTATCTCGGACTCATCCGCCTCCCCGGCCTCCCCTTCGCACGCAAGCGAAGTCATGATCGGGCGGTCAATGGTCGGGGTATACTCCGAGAAGAAGGCGTAGATGCTTGTGCTTGTCGAGGGATGTAGGGTGTACAGACGTATGCAGGCGCGTACGTGTGGGCGGAGAGGGAGTGGCTCCCGCGAACTGAACGTTCCGTCTCGTGGACGCGAAACGTGGGACCTCGGAAGGGCATGGCACTGGAACAGGCAACTTGATCAGGATGGATCCGGAGTGGACGAGTGCAGGTGGTGATGATGATGATGATGATGGTGATGACAAGAGAAGACGTGCAAGACGAGTCCCGTCGGAGCGTAGACGAGCGTAGACGAGCGTGTAGGTGGTGGCAGTGGCAGTGGCAGTGGCAGTGGGTCGTCGCTTTCTAGGCCCACGCCCGCAGCGCTCGGCGGGATGTCATATACCTTACCCCCGACAGAACTTCTGTCGGTCGTCTCCCTCTCTTCACACTCCACTCCCGCCCATTTCCTCGATCGACCAGCCAACCCATACTCAGATGGTTCTTCCACCATGGATGGGGTAGCAGGTCCCTCCACTTCACACTCCCCCGATGGCCAGCAGCCCGTGGAAAAGGTGAAGATCCTGGCCCCATCCATCCAACCTTGGACTCCAGTGCCCTGCCGAGAGAGACACGCTCGCGGGGATCTCAGCGCTGACACGACCGTCTCCATCAGGGCGCATCATCGCCTTCCACCGAGACCGACACGCCCTCGTCGAGCGGCAACCAGAAGAAAATCATCGAGGTCGCCTGCTGGCCCTGTCGCCGGCGCAAGGGAAAGGTATGAATTGACACCTCGACGTCCACGGTCCGGCGAAAGCGGAGGGGATGGATCAATGCTTATCGTGACCACTCTCCGACAGTGCACCGGCGAGCGCCCAGCGTGTTCGTCGTGCCTTCGCCGCGCCGTCGAATGCTCCTACGAGTACGAAGAAGGCGTTACGCGCCTCGGGTCGCTGCGAATGAACCTCCAAAAAGCCACTTCGCGCGCCGAGAGCCTCCAATTCCTCTTCGAACAGCTGCGCACCCGCTCCGACAACGAAGCCGCATGCCTCCTTGCCGTCATCCGAATGGGCGCCGACATTGACATTATCTGTCAGAAGTTGAAGAGCGACCCAAACTTCCTCTTCGCTTCGCCGGACTTGTCAGCCCTGATGTCCCAAGCCTGAGAGTACGGGACTCACGGGACGAACCTTACAGGTGCAAAGAGATCCACAGTCGTTGCTGATCATCGGAGCAGAGCCCGCCTCCGCTATGACCAACGACTGCACTCAATCAGTCCCAACATCATTCGAGATCTGTCCATGGGACCTTTTAGTTTTGATTGTCATGTTGTCGGCAGTCTCGGGCAAGTCTACAAGTAGCAGCATCGTAGGGCAGTTTTTACAGCAATATACCGTTGGCGCTTCGCTGACCTTAAACAGGATCGGGCTAGTATTACTCCATTTGGATTCTGCATGACATGTGAACCTAGAGGCGCCTAAGAGACAGACCAAGATGTGCCTATGGTGCCACGTCCTCGAAGCCACCGTGGCTGCTAGATTATACCTCAAAGCGAGATTCAAATACTGGCAAGTTTAGATTCGGCCTACGGCGTATGACAAAGATGCGCTAGAGCGACGTGGCAGAGTTTGTGAGCAGGTCAGTGTTCGTGGCTGATCGACCATAGACTGCATTAGCGAGATCTATCTATTTCACAAGAGCTGATACGCACAACGTCAATGCGAATGCCCCCACTGTGTCAGAAGAGGAAGAAGCATTCCGCCAACTGTGATCAACGTATCCGTGAGCATCGGCCCTTGAGACTTCGATGGAGGCGCCACGTGCGCAGTGTACGGATCGTCCATCGGTACGCCGGCGTACCCATTCATAGCATGAGGTTCATGCGCGTGGTCGTCTGAGCCATTCTCTTGCATGGTATGCATGGCCACGTAGAGAAATGTTCCGCCAGAGAATAGGAGCAAGACGCCAGTGACGAACTCAGTGCTTGCGCTTTCTCCAAGCGAGCTGCTGGAGAATCCAAGAAGATGGACCGCCGCCCATGTGAGAAGCGCGCCCACGGGTGCCGCGAGCGAGAACACAATGAGGTGAGCGCGAGCCATCCGTTTGGATAGGCCCTGCTTCAGCAGAACGGACGTAAGTCCGAACGCCGCAGGAGCCTTGTGAATCATCAGTGCGATGAAGATGATGAAGCTGAGATGGCTGCCGGCTGCAGTGGAAGAGGCTCCGAGCGCTATTCCATCCGCTGCAGCGTGTATTACTAAGCCGACTGTGGTTGAACTAGGACGTGTGCTAGCACCGGCGGAAGTTGAGCTAGCAGCCATTGTGTCTGCGGCTGGTGGCCCGGCATTTTCGTTCGAGAGAGATGGCGTACGGTCGAAGCTGAACTGGTTCAGGCTAATATGGAATCGCTGCGGCTGTGTCGAGGAGGTGGCGGTTTGTGGTATGGTATCAATGAGGTACATAAGTATGAATCCCAGTATCAATGATATGCCGATCCATGCGTGAGGCTCGTAGTCTGCAGTATCTGCATCGCTTGCGGATCCGGACGTAGAACCGCTATGGCCGCCTGTCACGGGCACGCCAGGCTCATGTCCCTGATCTGAAGAAGTGGGATTCGATTTTGCTGCGTCTTCAGCAGATTGATGTCCATCATCGGGACCTGTGCGGAGGTCTTTGTCGACTCTTCCCGGGTTGTTGGAGTCATATGCCAGTGGGAACGGTTCACGTTTTTGGGCAGTCCATTCGTATTCCACTGCATTCTGCATAGCTCCTGATCTTGAATTCAGCGCCAGACCTCGCGCATTGTGACGATGCCCAACGCCGCTCGCACTGTACAGTGTCTCGGCTCCTTCCGGTATAATGACGATCAAAGATGTTCCTACCAAGATACCTGTCCCTAATGCTGTGATGATGCGCCGTTGTCGTGACGAGAGGGAGAATGAAAGAGGCAGGGAACCGGCGAGGAAGGAGCTGTCGCACTTGTCAGAGAGATGTCTCTTGTGTGTCTAGCTTTTAAACTGCTCTTACGCGACTCCCATAACAATGCTCAAGAAGAGCAACATGAAAAGGCCATCCCACATTGTGCTTTCTAGAGGCGCGGCGCCGGCCTCAGCTTCCCTGGTGAGGTGCTGTTTGCGCGCGGTGTCTGATTCGTAGAGTCAATTGTCCTTATTATCGCGACATGTTAACGAGCGCCGATACGTTTTTCCCGCATGAATTTTGTGAATGTCGTGAAGCGTGAGATGTCGACGTTGACACTTTTCACATGCGCTGGCCAATGCTCCCAAACCCGATCCCTGACGGGTGACAGACAGCTAGCCGAAACCTTGAGCGGAGCCAATTCCGCTCTTAGCGCGTTGGGTCGCTGAAGCACTGGACAGCTCCTGTGTTGCGTTGCGACTGCATTCTACAACCACGACATCGGCACAGCTCTTTTGACGTCCTATAGGTATCCAATCGCATCGCAGCGACAATGTCAGAGACGTACGTTTCGCGCAATTGCGAGCACAATCCAGCACGCTTACCACCCTCCGACAGTCGGTCTTTGGCAGTTGCGGTCCCCGAAGACACCATCGAACAGGCCTCAGATACGAATGGTTTGAAACGGCGGCATTCAGAAGTTTCGGAGCAGGAGAGCAAGCGGCGGCGAACAAGTCCGGGTAAGAATTCACCAACAGCGACGGAGGATACGGCCCACTCGGAACAACGGCAACAGGCCGAGAAGGACACAAGCGCGAATATCGAAAGCACAACAAAGCCTGCGACGATAGAGAACCCGCCGACCGCCAGGGGACCACGGAGAAGAGCTGGAGTACCTGATGAGAAGCAGCGCAGCAAGCGACTGTTCGGTGCGCTTCTCGGAAACTTGAACCAGCCAGGCGGCGAGAAGACATCGAAGCGACGTGCGGAAATTGAGCAACGAAGAAAGGCTGAGCTCCAGAAGCAGGATGACGAGCGCATCGAAGATCGACAGCGAAGACTGGAGCATCTTGCCATTCAGCGCAAGAAGGAGCAGATAAGAGTTGACGAGGAGAACGTATGTTGTGAAAATCTGCAAAGACGTGATGTCTAGGCTAACAGGATGTGCAGATGCACATACGGCATCAACATCTGCTGCACACTGCGAACTGTCTCCAAACTAAAGCAGAGCCGCCATTAGTAGGTCTTGCAAATATCAACATGCAGCACAGGGATTTGAGGCTAACGATATGCAGTACTATCGTCCCTGGGATCTCTTACCCGACGAAGAAGACCGAATCGATGACCAGCTCAAGGAAGCTCGTGAAAGGGTTGACAGAGAGCTTGCGGAGTTTGAAGAAGAGAAACGGAGAAGACTGGGTGACTTGGAAGGATCAAACGGCACGTCTTCGTCTTAATGAGCATCTCTACGCATGCTAACATGTAGCAAAGGCGACAAGCGTGCTGAAGAAGCTCCGGGGCGTGCTCATAGCGCTACTCCAGAAGTCGATGCAGAGAAGCCCCCAGAAGCTGTTGACGAACAAGTGCAGAACGGCGATACTGACCAAGATCTATCAAACGGCTCTGCCAACGACGAAAGCGTTGCAAAGGAGGCCGAGACTTCCCAGCTCGACTCAGCTGCACCTGCAGAGGCTGAGGAGTCAACAGAGGACATTCACTCAGGGAAAGCTGACGAGGTGGAAGAAGGTAAGGTGCAGGGGGAGGAGAAGAAAGAGGAGGAAGTGGAAGAGGACGGCGAGCACGTCGTCGAAGGCGATGAGGATACCGTGGTTTATTGAGGTCAAGTTGTAATCATCATAGCACTTTCACCAGTCGCACCCGAGACTATGTGCGTGCCGAAGCCGGTGAGAATGAGAAGCTGGGCGAATGACCTACGTTCTCGGACACTTGATCGGACACGTCGACATCGAGCACGAATTCTTGATTGTCGGTTGGTAGTGGCACCCGCGTTTCCCCTGAAGCGTGAAACACGACAAGAAACCCCGAACCTCGGTTGTCAGCTTCCAGCCCGACCTCTTTCCATCTTGGCTGAGCAGCAACAGCTCCAATATCTCATATGCGTACACTTTTTCTTTCTCGATAGTTCCGGCCTTATTATAGAATCGCACACCAAATAGGCTCACCATGACAAATCAAATCGACAAACTCCGCGTCACAGGCGACAATCGTTACACAAGGAAATCCACCGTAGTCAATGGCAGGAAGTGGTGTAAGTCAATACAACTGACCAGATCTATCCGGGCAGAAACACCCAAAAAAAAATTGAAAAAATAGAGGGGACATGCTGATGCGTTTAGATTACCTCGACGCCCCTTCCTCAGCACCGGAACGCGGCACCATCTTCCTCATCCACGGCTTCCCCGACCTCTCCTTCACATGGCGCTATCAAATCCCCCTCCTGACCTCCCTCGGCCTCCACTGCATCGCTCTCGACTGCATGGGCTACGGCTCCACGGGCACCTCCGACTCCCTCTCAAATTTCGGTTTCAAAGCCCACGCCGACGCCATCGCCACCATCGCCCAGGAAAACCACATCTCCCACGCAATCATCGGAGGCCACGACTGGGGCGGCATCACCGTCTACCGAGTCGCGCAGTACTACCCTTCCCTGATCACGCACATCTTCAGCGTGTGCACGCCCTTCACGCCGCCTGTGGAGGCATTCATCGGGACGCGGGAATTGGTGCGCAGCGGGAAGGTGCCGCAGTTTGGGTACCAGTTGCAGTTTGGGAGCGAGGAGGGAGTCGTGGAACGGGCGGTAGATGGGGATGAAGGGAGGATGAGGAAGTTTTTGAATGGGCTTTATGGTGGGAAGACGGAAGGTGGGAAGAAATTTATGGATCCCCGGACCGGGGTTGATTTGGGGATTGTGGCGAAGGGGGAGGTTGAGAGGAGTGTTCTGATGAGTGAGGAGGTAATGTTCTCTCTGTCTTTTCATTTCCTTTTTTTTTTTTTTGGTTCGATCTGCGCAATGGTATGTATCCCTTTGCTAATGCTTCGACGGTCTCTTAGGAAATCGACTTCTACGTGCAGGAATTCATGAAGAATGGCATCCACGGGCCGTTGAACTGGTACCGAACGCGCAAAGTCAACTGGGAAGATGAGAAATCCATCCCGGCAAGTCTCCGGACGACGATCAGGCAACCGGTGCTCTATATCCTGGCTACCAAGGATGAGGTCTTGACACGGGATATGGGCAGGAATATGGAAACCATGTGTCCCAACCTCACGAGGGGGGAAGTTCCCGCGGGACACTGGGCACTCTGGCAGACGCCGGAGCAGATCAATGGGCTTTTGAAAGGGTGGGTTGAAGGCGTGGTCTTTGGCGGGAAGAGTAAGTTGTAGATGAGGGTAGATCTCTGTACAAAGTCTCGTGCAGCCTCTTCAATTTCCTCTATGCATATGCCTTATTTAGGACTTCAATTCTCGCTTCCTGGGCCCATGATCCTGGACTCCTTATGCTTTGCTGTCGCAGATTGTACAGCTCGTCAATGAAGGCGGGCACAAAAGTTCCAGGACCCTTGACGTCTGATCTCTGTGCTGCTCGCTCTGCTGCGATTTCATACATCAGGATCGCCGACACAGCAGCCAGTAGCTTGTCCTCGCGCTCGACGGCCATGACACTCGCGATCGTGGTGCCGAGTGTGCAGCCACTACCGGTGATCTCGCCCAAGAACTCGTGACCATTGCTGATCGTGACCGTCCGCTCACCGTCCGAGATGACATCCGTGCTGCCAGTCATGAGGATAATGTTGTGTTCTCTCGCAGCGGTGCTCTCGACCAGAGCGATCTTCTCCTCCAGCGATAGCTGCGAGGCTCCGGAATCGACACCGTGTTGCTGGAAGCCCGTGGCGCCGGACACGGTACGGATCTCCCCTTCGTTTCCCTTGATTACATCGAAATAACCTCCTGCCATCAGCGCCTTGACGCCGTCTCGTCTCTGCTGTGTGGCGCCGGCTCCGACGGGGTCGAACACGACAGGAGCGCCGACCTGGTTGTAAGCAGCCAGTGCTTTGAGATGGTTGCCGCGGATCTCGGGTGTTGTTGTGCCCATGTTGATGACGAGACTTCCGCCCAGACCAGCGAGATCCGACGCTTCTAAGCCGTTGTTGGACATGATGGGCGACGAGCCGATTGCCAAGGCCACATTTGCGGCGAAGTTCTGGACGACGAGGTTGGTCATGTTGTGACAAAGAGGCTTCTTGTCAGCCATGCGCTTGATGATGCCGGGTGCTTTTGTGATAATGTCCTGGCGTGAAAGCGGTGTCTTGCTGGCTGAGGATCCAAATGGAGGTGGTGTTTTCACAAGGCTGCTGAGATTGCTTGCGGCTTCTTGTGGTGTGTCAGAGGCCACGATGGCACTGACCACGGCCACGCCATCGAGTTTCTTCTTTGGCGAGGCGGTTTGGTAGAGCACTCGCTGAGCGTTGGAGGCGTTGATCCCACCAATACAGACGGTCTTGACATGGTAGCCATGGTCCGCAAGTGAAGACAGGACATACTGTACACCTGCGGTTCCAATGATGGACTTGGTGTTCTCCTTTGTTGGAGTTGCATAGACGGTTCCGATGCCCAGGTAATCCGCGCCGTCCCTGGCAGCAACGAGAGCCTCCTCCTCACTGTTGGCAGTAACACCGATGATGGCATCCGGACCCAGAATTCGGCGAGCCGTCTTCAAGTCGAGATCGTCCTGGCCAACATGGACTCCCTCCACGCCGGCAGCCAGAGCGACATCGATGCGGTCATTGATGAGCAGTGGCACATTGGCCGCTTTCGTGATCTTGTGCAAGTCCTTCGCTATCCGCACCAGATCGGCCGTGTCTGACGTCTTGTCTCGGTACTGCACAATGGTGACTCCTGCCCTCACACGTGAGCAACGCATCGCAGATCCTGGAACATGGCACGAGCTTACCTCCCTCCACGGCTGCCTGGACCACGGCCACCAGATCCTTCTCGCCCAGAATGGCTGGCGTGGAGTCGGTGACGAGGTACAGCGAGTAGTCGACGGCTTTGGGTGGCATGGTCGGTCTCTGTGCTATGAGCTGGTAGTCCCGTGTACTAGTGCCATGTACACTCGGAGATTGAATTCTTTGGGGGCAGAGTTGGAGGGCTAGAAGCCGATCGGGAACGTCATTCGGATTGCTAGGTATTCTCTAGGTACATCCCGTCGGTAGACCATCTCCCGTGTACTGCATAGCCACCGTATACAGACCAGCGCAATTGACAGGTCCCTTTCAAGACATGCTACGATATCAACATCCGGATTCCGGGCTCTCGCTCATGCATGCACAGCATGTATGCACGTCGTTTGGGCTGACCGGTTACACAGCCTCCGTATTTGGATTAGACTATATCCGCCCCGATGACGCCTGCTGGAGACGACGATGGCAGGTGACAAGAGGGGGGTGATATGTCCACACGCGCGGCAATCTAGGTCTTCCGTGCGGTCGGAGTGCGATATTCACAGGAACGGAACAAACTTGGAAGGCACAAGCACATTGTGCGCAAGGTGAGATGTCGGTTCGTGATCGGCAATCGGCTTCGTCGCCACATCGCCACTACTGCCTTCCAGTTGTGTGCTTGCCGGGATTATGGGTAGTGCCGTCGGGCCGTGCAGATTTGGCTTTTACGTCCTCCTACTCCTGGTCCTTCTTCCTTCTTTCTTCCTTCTTCCCTTCCCCCAACGCACACCTACGTCGACCACTCCCACCGCCACCCACCAACCACTGCAGCCTTTGCTCCCGGTGCGAGCTTCATCACACACCATCAACTCCAGCAAACCCGTCAACCATACCATCAGTCAAAATAGGCGACCTTCCCTCGCCGCCCGCCGTCACCATACCCGCACTCACCCTTCAAGGAATCCACCCACCCGCCACGCACACTTACCCAGAGTATAGTGCAGGGTATATGTATCCGTCCCACGCGAACGCCTTTTCAGTCGACCCGCCGCCTGTGCAGCCGCAACCATTTCGCATAACGCGAAGACCCCGTAGTACTTCCCACGAACGAAACAACGGTTGACTCGCAGCCTAAGCCCATCTCGGGAGCAATCAAAGACAATCAGCCGGAAATCCAAATCCAAACTGCATACCACAAAGCCCATAGACCTGCGCACGTAGCAGCAGCAGCAGCAGCAGTAGCAGCAGCAAACGCTTGCTCACATCAACTGCATGTCTCTGTCAGGCATCACGTCTGGATCCATCCTCGCCCTCCCCTCCAAGCCGCTTGCTCGTAGCCAAGTCTAGAATTTACAAGACAAAACCGCAATCATGGCCAACGTCAATATTCGTCGCGATGTCGCCGACCCCTTCTACCGTTACAAGATGGAGCGTCTCCAAGCCAAGGTCGAAGGCAAGGGCAACGGCATCAAGACCGTCGTCGTCAACCTGAGCAACGTCGCTCATCAGCTTGCTCGGCCTCCGAACTATGTCATCAAGTACTTCGGATTCGAACTTGGTGCTCAGACCAATGTCGACCCAAAGGACGACCGTTGGATCATCAACGGGTCTCATGAGGCAAGCAAGCTCCAGGACTACCTCGATGGCTTTATCAACAAGTTTGTCCTCTGCAAGGACTGCAAGAACCCCGAGACCGTCGTCAATATCAAGGATGGTGAAATTCTCCTGGACTGCAAGGCTTGCGGCAAGATCACCAAGTCCGACATGCGCCACAAGCTTGCCTCCTTTATCATGAAGGACGCGCCCAAGAAGGGCAAGAAGGACAAGTCCACAAAGAAGGCCGACCGCAAGGCCCGCAAGGAAGCCGAGCGCAATGGCACTGCTGGTGATGATGCCAACGGCAACGGTGCTAGCCCAGGAGACAGCGGCTCTGACCAGGGCGCTGATGACGAAAATGGCGATGGTGCCGCGGACGGGGGTAGTGACGATGAACTCACTCGCAAGATCAACGAGCAGGCCAAGGAGCTCAATGAGCCGGAGATTCAGGAGAAGGAGGTCGAATGGTCTGTCGACATGTCCGAGGAGGCCATCAAGGCTCGTGCCAAGGCTTTGCCAGACGACCTCAAGGGTGCTCTGGTGCTTGAGAACGGCGACGACGAGGACGACGGCCCTAACTCCTACGACGAGCTCGGCAAGTGGATCGAGGAAAAAGCCAAGGAGGAAGCTGGCGTCGCCAAGGTCAAGGACGTCGATATCTACCTCAAGGCCAAGGAACTCGGCATTGAGTCGAAGCACCGCACCCCCGCGGTTTTGGCCCAGACCATCTTCGACAGCAACGTTCTCAAGCAGGTTACCCAACGAGCTGCTATGCTGAAGAAGATGATCACATCCGAACGCCACGAGAAGGCCTTCCTCGGTGGTATTGAGCGCTTCGTTGGTATCGAGAAGCCGGAACTCATTCCTATCGTCAGCGGTATCTTGGTACAGGTCTACCAGAATGACATTGTCAGCGAGGAGACCCTCAAGGCCTGGGGCGCCAAGGCTAGCAAGAAGTACGTCGACCTCCAGACTTCCCGCAAGGTTCGCAAGAGCGCCGAGAAGTTCCTGGAGTGGCTCGAGAATGCCGACGAGGAGGATGAGTCGGATGAGGACGATGAGTAGACTCCTGACGGGCTGTGACGAGACTTGTCGGAAGTTCGGGCGAGACTGTGTGGACGTGGAACCAAATTGTGAATCTCTGCTCTTGGTGCATTGGGTTTTGGCTTTACTCAGATAGTGTTTGCGGGGTGTGGTCATTTAGCTACTCCACCTAATAGACTTTGCGTTGCGATGGAACTCCTCGTCTCCGTGAGTTGTGAATGTATTTAGTCTTGATCACATGCCTCAGGCATCTCTTGGCGCGAGCTCCAACCTCAGTTCCTCACGTTCCACCAATCATCAGGCCCGATACTTCAACCGCAACAACAAAAACCTCAACTCTCATGCGCGCCAGCTTAAATTGAAATCTTTCTGCTTCTTTCCGTTGCTTCCAAGACACAAACATCTTGCTCGCAGCACAGCCATTCGCCACTATGGAGCCGTCTCTTCGGAACACGCGCGAACTCTCTTGTATGCTGGGCCAAACCCGAACAGTCAACATCACAAGACTGACAATGAACCACACAGCCCGGATCGACAAAATGCAATCCGAACTCCTCAGACGTTTCCAAGCCCTAGTAGATCTCACAGCGTCGGTGAAGAAGAAAGACCGGAGCGCGACGGCCGTCGTGCAATATCAGATCCAGTCGGAGACGAAAGCTCTGGTGAGTTGGGCCCGCAATCCATCCCATAGAGCCCGTGATGGATGCATCATTCTGTGCTGATTTTGCTGATTGTTGTAGATCAAGTCTGTAGAGGATGTGCAGAGTTTGATCCGGCAGTTACAGGAAATGTGGCTCTTTGGGCAGCTGGATACGCTGGGGGAGTCGCAGGTGCAGAAGGCAACGGAGGAGAATGCGAGGGTTGTTGCGCTGTTGTTGGGGCAGTTGGCGGAGAAGGGGTTTGGTGTTGGTGTCGATGGTGTTGGTGTCGATGGTGGTGGGGTGGAGGATGGGCGGATGGAGTGAGTGGGTGGGTGGGTGGGTGGGTGATTTGCGACGGCCTATACTTCGAATGGCGAAGGTTCATGGCATACACGGTCTTTCTGTATGTCCCCGGCGCGAATCTGGAACTCCGGGAGGCGGATGGCGCGGAATTCGCGTTGCAGTGAGCAAAGGATCTTCACGCATGAGACGCCTTCTGGTCTGGCGGAGAATGAGATGCGAGGTCCGTACGAAGTCGGGATTGTCACGAGGCATAGCAGCAGGCTGATCGAGTCAGAGGCTGGACCTACCTGGCATATAAACGACGGAAGATCCGCAAATCGCCGAGATAACTTCCAGCAGAGGCCTTCTCGAGACTCGCCAATGGCTCAAGGACCGGACATCAAAAGGCGCATCTGGACCCTCAGAGCCGTAGCCTGCTTCACAGATGCTTACTCGAGTTCGTCAGTCATGGGCCTCTGATTGTTGAAGAGTGTGATAGACAAACAAGCGTACGCAAAGGCCGAAGCAAGACGTGAAATGAATGAAGCTCCCAGTGCCGTCGAGGAGTGCTTGAGAGATGTAAAGGAATTCTCAAGACCATCACAGCTTCGCACTCATCACACCACCACCAATACTCTCCTCCACCAACCTCAAAACTTTCCTCGCCACACCCACAGAATTCTGATACCCACCCCCAGCATTCCCATACGAATGCACCACTTTCCAATCCCCCACAACCTCCCTCTCAACCCTCGGCCCTCCCTCCCTCCCAGGCCTCAACCCAGCCTGAGCACTCACAACCTCAAACCCACCATCCTCCCCCGTCAACAACTCCGGTGCCATCCAACTACACCGTTCCAAAATACTCCCAATAACTTCCGCATCCGTCTCCCCACTCCATTCCCCCCGCTCCTTGGTCCCGCCCAGAATCGTCGTGCCCGACCCCGGCCGCGGGATCACATACGAACTCATCCCCCGACTGATCTCCCCCCCACCATGATACCGAGTCCTCGTGGCGCTCGCTTCGCCCTTTACAAGAACCGTCTGCCCTCGAATGGGAACCATGCCCTCATCGCCACAGATCGCCCTCGCGCCGAGACCCGTCGCATTCACAAAGACATCTACTCCCCCTCGGCCGAGGATTTTCGAAATCCCCTCTGCCGTCGTCAGGGCTTTCTCCAACCCGCCGTCTGTGGGGAGTCGGGATTGGAAGAGTATGGCGCCGCTCGCGCGGGCGCGTTCTTGGAGGTAGACGAGGTAGCGCGGGACGTTGACCGAGCAGGCGCGGGAGGTGGCGCCCCAGCGGATGCGTGGCGCGTGCGGAGGGGAATCGCGATTGATGGAGAGGATCGGATCCCGCAGGAGGGAGAGTTGTTTGAAATTTTTGACGTGGACTGCCCACCAGAGGTCTTCGTGGATGTGTGCGGAATCCCAGTAGTGGATTGATTCTTGCATCTAGAAAGAGAAAGCAATAAGACTGCCAGTCAGAAATCTCCATTTCGAATTCTTCTTCAAAGGATAAAGGATAAAAGGGTGGCCGGGTGGGTGGTGAACGAACAGACTTACTTTGAGTCCAGATCTCGGCAATCCGTCATCCCGCGCTTCTCTCTCCAGCAGTTCTTCCCAATACTTGAACGTCTGGACGTCCCAATCGCATTGCTCCGGCTCATCGACCGTAGCATGGGTCCGCCAATGCGCCCCGGCCCACGGCGAGGTATACTCTATACTCTCATCTCCAGGAACATGAGCGGCGATGATGGTGACTGTATACCCAGCTTCCGCGAGCCAGACGGCATTCGTGAGACCGATGACACCAGCGCTATTTGTTTGTTTAGTTTTTGATGCGGAAGGGAAGGGAAGGAGATGTTGTACGTACCCGATAACGACGACGTGAGGTCTTGATGCCATTCTTCACGATGGTTTTCGGCTTGGGAAGGGGCTAGTAGATTGAGGAGCTTTTTCATTCATACATATATATGTATACGTATATGCAATGTCGATGAAGTGAAGTTATGCCGGCGTTTCGCTGAGGGATGCCGATGCCGGCCGGCATTGATCCTTGCCCGATAATTGGAGAGCTGAACGAGACAGCCATCAGATAGGCCAAAAGTCATTCCGGCCTTTCCACTCCGACCATAGAACTTCTTTTGCGTGCTGTGATATTCAATTTCAAGAGCTGTCCTTCTTGCATTGGCGGAGCTTTTGAGCATCGACTCCTTCTCTGGCAGCGCGGCCGGTGAGCGGCCTCATACCTGCTTGAGGCGGTCTGGTGAAACAAATGAGAGTCGATCTTATCATGAATTGGATAATTCTTTCACTGTAAGTCAGTTGACGTGATCCCTAATCATTACACGAAGTAAAAGTGTATGTACTTCGCCAACTCGAACCAACTCTTTTTCTTGCCCTACCTTGGCTCCGCGTCAGCAATTTCCGCTTCATCAAGAGCCCAGACAACACCCATGCCAGCGTCAGGGGCAATTTCCTGACCGTCCTTGCCCACAAGAACAGCTCTTGCCTCTCCATTTTCGTCGAGGTTGAGCGGATTTTTGAGATGACCGACCAAACAGAAAGGAATGGGAGTAGTAGAGAACCAGCGAAGAGAAAACGCAGCGGAGGTACCCCAGTTCAGCTTGCTCGCCCAAGAAGGCTTCGCCATCCGCGGATCAGGGGCTGAGGTCATGAGAGCCTGTTGAAGAGGGTTGCGTGAATTGACTGCAGAGGAAAGACAGGATCTATGGGCAGGTGGACTTACATAGCCCTGAAACGCCATGCTCTTGTTGACGCTGAAGAGCAATATGACTCGCCGAGATGTGTTGAAGGCTTTGGCGAGGAGCTCTTCGTTCTTCTCCTGTGTCGCCCACACGTTCTCTCGCTGGGCTGCAATTACGTTTTCATGGTTCCAGGATTTGATCATGAAATATCGAACACCTGAAAGTTAATCAGACCATTTCATCGAAGTGAAGCAGAAGAAGACGCGCAAAGACCAAACACAAGCTTTTACGAGGGTATCTCTGTCCTATTCAAGCCCAACTTCCAAACGCCGAGCAGCCACGACGAGCTGCCACTCCGGCGACCCGCAACTGCTGTTGCTTGCTGCTGCTAAGTGCCAATTGCAAAGAAAGAGGGCGCCGTGGGAGTCTGAAGGGTGGCTCTAACGGGGACGGGGGTTGGACTGACCGCCTTTGCGTAAATCGAGAGCGGCGCTGCCCCGATACTGAGGCTGCTGCGGCTGCCGAGGGTATGAGTTGTTGCGGTTGTTGCCGCCAAAGGCACCGCGTGAACTCTTGCGAGAAGGCTGACGAGGCGCGTAGTGGTCGTAGGCTTCACCTTCACGGCGATAGTACGATTGGCGACGTTCGAGAGATGAATCTCTGCTCCTCGATCCATTGTACTCGTCGAAGGAGCGGCGTCGCTCTTCAGGATAGCTGAGGCGGCGCTCAGATTCGGTCGGAGTAGGAGTCTGAGGCTGGCGAGCCGTGCCTGGTCGAGAGTTGTCTGGCGAATCCATGGCTCCGCGGATGCGAAAGCCGCTATTGTCGTCTCGGCGTCTTGACTTCTCTGCAGGGAGACCGCCAGGAGAATGCTCGCGTTTGAGGCCATTGGCCTTGGGCGGAGCTTTCTCGGCTGGCATAGTGGAAGGCAGAGGCGGTGGAGCCATGGTGGTGGTTTGCATAGGCGTTCCAGTCCTACGAAGATCAGCATCGTAGAGAAGGGGATCCTCACTTCACTCACCTCAGCGACAGCTGCGCTTGTTCTTCCTGCCTCAGTTTCTCCAGCTGCTCCTGGATACGAACCTGCTCCTTCTCGAGTTCGATGCGGGCCCTGTACGTCCGCAGTTTCGAGGTTCGGTATTCGACGTCGTGATAGCCTGTTATCTCGAGCCAAGCTGGCAGATCAGCGTAGTAGGTATTGGAGAGGTTAGTGGGACGAGTTGGGTTCTGAGTAGGGTTCTTTGGCGTCTCAGGAACGCTGTGAGCCTTGACCGATTTGTCCCCCTCTTTGCTGTGTTTGTTTTGAATGTTGGAAGTTCCGTTGATGTTGTTCTGAGCAGGCTCCTTTGGGTGTGGAGTCTTCTGCGCTGCGAGAGCTGCAGTCTGAGCATCCGCAGCCGCCTTTCCGGCGTTGAGGAGAGCCTCGACGCCAGACATGCCACTCGGCGGCTCTACGTTGTTCACCATCATGTTCCCTGCCTGTGGCTGTTGTTTGACTGTTTGGGCAGGTGCCTCTTGCTGTCCGGGAGGCACTGACTCAGAAGGCGTCTCTTTTGATCTGGCGGCAGGCGTTCCTGCCGGGCCGTTTGCCTTGCTGGAAGGAGTGCTCTGCCGACTGGCGAGTAACTTGGCGCGCAGGATCTCAGCTCTGCGCTGATTCTCCGCTCTCGCCTCAGCAGTCAGGTGTTGTTGAATTGGGATTGGGGTTTGCTGTTTCTGTTCCTGTCCGACGGAGGTGGGGGCAACAGTTGCCTGTGTGTCGAGTTCGAAAGTCAGTCCATCCACGGATGCGCTCGGTCGCGTACTTACACCTGCCTGCGCGTCGGCTCCGTAGAAGTCGTCGTCGTTATCATCATCTACCTCTCCGGCGTGGGACGGCTGCCGAGGGTCGCCCAGGCCGAACATCGCCGCGGCATTGTTCCAGTCCAAGTCCATCTGGTCTAGATGGATGGCGGAGCGGAGTATCCCACTGCACAATGGCGATGTTTTGACGTGCACTGTTTGCGAAGCGCGGGAAGCTCTGGACGAGTAGAGCTCAACTTTTCGGAAGTTACTTACACACGGCGCGCGGAGACGGGTACTCCCGTAAACTTTATGCAACCTTCATCAAGATTTGATGGCCTCGATGTCTCCTTGTGTGTTGAGGACGCGTAACTTGGCGCATGATTATGCTGCCGCGATAATCATCGTGCAGCCGAAACTTCGGGTCTCACATCAAGTAAATGAAACGACAGGCACTGCCATCTCCCGGGCCTTCCCTTTTCTCCTCTGCTCCTCGACCTTGTCCTGTTAACATACCTCGACACCACCAGCAGAGAGCTGAGTCAGTCTGTCTTCAGCAAGATGCGCTCTGCCATTTGGGCGCTTTGGCTGGCACACGCGGGGGCTCAGCGGTACAATCCGAGCACATCCAACCAGCAACAGCAACCCTTCCTGCCAACGCCATGTCAACTCCTCCAGGCCACTTTCCCAGACGAAGTCTATGGACCGGGGCATGCCAACTACACCCGCTCGCAAGCAAACTATTGGGCTGCACAGCAATATGACATGACACCCGCATGTCGCTTCTTCCCTACCGGATCGCGGCATATCCAGGAAGCGTTAGCAGACATCATTATCCCAAATAATGTGAGCATCGCTGTCGTCTCTGGAGGCCATGCGTCCACCACGGGAGCTTCCAATGTTGAGGACGGAATCACCATTGACCTGTCGCGGCTCACCGAGGTCAACTTCTTCCTGGATGCTGGCAAGGAAGTCTGGCTCGGCCCCGGGAACCGCTGGGAAGACGTATATCGCATTCTTCAACCATCGAATCTGACCGTTGCCGGTTCTCGATCTGGCCATGTGGGAGTCGGGGGCCACGTGCTCGGAGGTGGTCTGTCTTGGTTTGCGAACCACAGAGGCTGGGCATGCGACGATGTGACCGAAATGGAGCTCGTGACGCCTTCAGCCGAAATTGTCCGCGTCAAACCTCACGAGTTGGACGATCTGTTCTGGTCTCTCAAAGGCTCTCTGGGTGCTCTCGGGATTGTCACGAAGATCAAGATGAAGACGGTCCGGAATGTGGCGGTCTATGGAGGGGCCATGTCTTACGAGCAGAGGTACATTGCAAAGCTTTGCCGTGCTCTCGAGAGACTCGCTTCTGCTGCTGGAAAAGATCCTTCTACACAAGGCTACCTCTCTTTTGCCTGGCTGGAAGCGAAGAAGAGCTTCACCTACTCTGCCTATCTCATGAACACCGACAACAGTTCCACGAGTGATGCACTCTCTGCATTCGAGACCATTCCTCACTCCGGCAACACTCTCCGAAGCATGACCATTGGCGACAGCGCAAAGGAAATCGACCAGAGTAATCCACTGGGAAAGCGAAGATCCAAATTCACGCTGACCACCCTTGCCAACGCGCAAGTCATGATGGAACTCCACGAGATCGTCAAAGCCGTGGCAACAGATACGACCTTCGACAAGGAAGGTGTACTCGGAGTCACGTTCCAGCCACTCACGGTGCCCCATCTCCAAGCTCAAAGCAATATCTTCAACCTGAGCCCCGCCCAAGGACCTCTCCTCCTGATCTCCGTGGAATTCTGGTGGAGCGACCGCTCGAGGGACCCGTCCATCGAGAGCGCGGCCCAAAAGTTACTCAAGTCGATGAAGGCAAAGCTGCAAGAGCTCGGCGCGCTCCATGATTTCATCTACCCGAATTACGCCGCCCGAGACCAGAACCCCTTGGATTCCCTCACCCCTCTGAACCGACGCATGCTCCAGCAAACGAAACGGAAATTCGACCCGCAGAATCTCTGGCAGCAGCTCGTCCCGGGCATCTGGCATATAGACTGAAAGACACAACCTCTCGTTGCCAAGCCATACCTGATCCTCTCCCGGGAACCTCTACAACCAACGACTCTCCGGGCCCCAGAGACACCTATTCCCCCTGCTGCTGCCGCCGCTCATCCGGAAAGGAGCAAGGCTCGGCGTCCGTCTTTCTCCCCCGCCCCACGCGCCACCAGCCTCGTCCTCATGAGTGTAACGGACGCAGAGCTCACGAATATCCGATGAGCTCGGCGACCATGCCAGGGACATCCGTCGGTCCGTCCGTCCATCCAGACGCCAAACAATGACAAAGCCTCCTCCTCCTCCTCCCTTCAATCACCACGACTCTCGCCCGAAGAAGAAAGTACATCCGACAATCGTACCGACGGGGCGAGCCTTTCTGGACACCTACTACCTTCCATCGTCAATAATAACATTGAAAGGAAAAAAAAAAACCGCCCGGATGATGAAACCTAAACAGACAAACGAATCGGGGCAGTCCCAAGACGGGAAATTCCCGAATCCGTGCCATTTATTGTGTATGTACACCGACAAATGGTTACAGTACCTCGTCGTACAGGCCGAACCAATAACAACAACAACAACAACAACAACAACAACAACAACTGTACAACACAAAGTCGCAAAGGGTTCAACCATCATCATAAACATCCAGAATAGAATAATTGCTAGATATACATAAAATGCATGCATGTATGTTTGTTTCTGATTGATTGATTGATTGATTCCATTTTTTTGATTTCCATCATCATACATTTTAGCCAACGATCGCGTTGCGTGTTCTCAGACAACAACGAACGCTTTCTTTTACTTCTTTACTACTGCACATGGAATATACAAGTCTTTCACTTTCACTGTTTCACACATCTCCATGTCGTCCTCCTCCACAGAGTAATCTTCTCAATCCTAGACTTCTTCTCTTCTTCGTCTTTCCACTCTGATTACGCGACGGTACGGCTCTCCCGCCAGGACTCGCGACTGCCGAAGAGGAACCGTTCGTCGTTTCAGAAGCAGTCCGACTGGCCTCCTTATGCACAGGTTTAATAATGGGAGTGGTAGTCACCTCCTCGGGTGGGCGTGACGATCGCTGTCGTGGAGGTGCTTGCGTGGGCGTTCGTCGTGTCGCCCCCTCGGATCCGGATCCTGACCCCTCCTCGTCCGAATTCCGTCCGCTCGCAGTTTCGGGGTTTGCGCCGAATCCTGCATGTGCCGCCGCCGCCGCCAGCAGTGAAGACGCGGCTTTGCGAGGAGGCGTCGAAGAAAAGTCACGCGAGAGGTCTTCCCTCGAAGTCTCCTGCAGCGGATCCTGTGTGGTCAGGAGATGGTCTGGCCGCCAGCCTCCGATCGCTTGCTGGTTGTTCTTTCGACGGTTGCTCGCAGCTCTGTGGACCAGTACCGTACTCGACGAATCCGCGCGCGAGCGACCGGTAGATTTGCTGACACTTGCGGACCTGCTGGGCACTTCGTTCCCTGGCTCGTCTTCTTCCGGTACTGAAACGATGCTACTCCGGTTACTCCGGCTCAAGACGCTCGTTCTTCGCATGATGCCGGATCCAATGCTCTTGATGCTGGAGCGTTTGTCGGCCGGGAATACAGCTGGAGAGCCTGGTGGTGTGTTGACGGATGTACTGCCAGTCCCGACCCTCGAAGGTGGAGCTGGCGAGCAAGTGTCTCTTTCTTCGTATTTCACGCTTGGGCTCCATCCTTCCTTGAAATTCACCCAGATTGCGGTCATTGTAATGATCTCACGCAGTTCGTCACTCGTCTCGTTTCTCTGCGAACCATCCTCCTCCTCTTCAGCGGCATCCTCCATGACACTTTCCTTGGCCGGTGAGCTCAAAGGGGCGGCTGCGGCCGGTTCCGGGATCTTATAGCTGTCACTGATGTCCAGTCCACTGCCGCTGAGATTCGCAATGACCGGATGCCGACGGGTATTGGCGGAGATGGTGCTGAAGTTGAACCTCCTCTTGCCACGCTTGATGGCAATCTTTCCGTCCTTGTTCTTCTTCGGCACCCATCGCACCTTCAGTGCGAGACCATGCTTGTCGGTGGATGAGAACTCGTAAGCACCATTGGGCATAGGCATGGCATCCCAGACCGCACCGGAAGCCATGTGGATGGAGGGTCTCCCTCCCACATTCTTCTCTTCGTCTTTGCGGCCTTTGCAGATCAACCCGATCACATCCTGCTCCTGGTGGTTGTCTGCCTCGTCACTGTTGTACTTTTCCGCCCTGAGGACTACTACGTCGTTCTGACACAATCCATGCTTCGTCTTGAATACTCGCGTGACGGCTCGGGTAAGGCTCAGGCTAAAGTTGGCGGATGGGATGACCTCGAATGCGGGTCGCGGTCGCGCATTGGTACTCAGGTTATGGAGTTGCAGGAGAGATCGCGGTCGGCGATGCAGCCTGGAGCGCACTGCGGATTCGGGAGGTGGATGACATATGCTGAAGCGGGTCTTGGGTCGAATGTTGCGCTTGGATCGGCGTCTCCCGTCCACGCTGCCTTCTCGCGAGTCGTCCTCGGAATTGGTCCTCGTTTCGGGCTCCTCGAACATGACGGATGCACTGCTCTTGCTGGGAGAGGGCGGGCCGGCATCGGCGGACTTGATGGGGATGGTGGAATGAATCGGTCGCTTGAGCAGCGGGTCATTGTGTTGAGGATGGGATTGCTTGTCGTCGGGGACGTCGTTTGGGTTCGCGAAGGGGTTCAGCATGTTGATGAGGGTGGTGGGTAGGGTGGGCGTCCATCGTGCTAGCCCTTGCGGGTTCGTCGTCGCGACTGCAGCCGCCATGATGATGAAGCATGCCTCGCGCACCAGCAGACCGGAAGTGGGCGGAAGGGGCGGACTCCAGGCATGGAGGACTGCAGTGGGAGTGGTGAGAGGTATAAAACAGGACAGCGAGGGCGTGTCGTGTTTTGCGTCGGGAGGTGGGAGGAGGTGGGTGGTCGAGGTTGATGGTAGGGATTGGTAAGGATTGGGAGTGGGAGTGGTATTACTCGCACACTCGCACTTTTCCCGCGATGGTATGGGGATCTGCAGGATGGAAGGCTGAATGGTGGCGCATCTGCTCATTTGCGCCAATAATGAGAGCACATGTCCTGTTTTACACCTTACGGGCCCCTGGTTGGGAAGAGAAGAGAGGGAGGACAAAGCACACAGAGGACAATGATGATGAGTTAGTTATACATGCGACACCCGGCCCAGGGAGAGACTTTCCAGGTTGTTCGCGGATTCTGTTGCTGGCACCTTTTGTGTTTGTTCTCTCTCTCTGTCTCAAAGACGGAGCCGGCTCTTGCCATCCTTCCACGACAATCAATCCAATCCCATCCCTGCCCGCGAACCGCTTCACGCTTCTTCGCAACGTGGTGCACCCGCCATATCCCTGCAGCCCGCCACTCCTCCTTTCTCTTCCTTTCTACTCGTATAGATACGAGTACTAGCTTAGCTCGGGAAGGGAGCATCCTCTGTCCGATCCCGTACGATTCGGCCGACTGCTCGCCGACGCTCCATCTCTACGTTACGGTACGTTACGTTACAAGTACGGTACGAGAGGATACGAGAGGATAGCGTAGCAGGAGAGAGTCGAGGCGCGCCGCAAACAGCTGCTGAGTGAGACGCCTCCTTTCTCCTCGAAGCGCCCTCCTCCGATTGCCTGTCGGTTTTTCGCCAACGCCCGCGCATGACGACGCTGAAAACCTGCTCGCCGCCGACGGCACTGTCAGTCCTCGGGCCAATCTGAAGCCCGATTGTCAGTGAGGCAGGCAGCATACCGACCACCGCGCCGTCCGTCCTTCCTCCCCCAGCAAGAAGAACGGAAATGGACCAGCCGCAGAGTGGACTCCCGTCCCCGCCAAGCCCAGCTGTGCGCAAGCCCAATGCCAATGCCAATGCCGTCGACACGAACCCGACCAGGCTTCTCGCTTTCTACGGCACCTGGAAGTGCTTCCTATTGATCGTTGCAGCTGCCAGCCCTGGACCGGGCTACGACACTTCCACCCAGATCCTTTTCCGACAACATGCAGATACAGCCACTTCCTCCCAATCCTCCCTCACAGCCATCCTACACCACATCGAGGCGAAGCTGACACGATGGGACGCCATCTATTTCACCACCTCATCGCAACGTGGTCTGCTCTATGAACAGGAGTGGGCTTTCAGCCCTACCTACGCCATCGCGACCTCGACTATCGCCAGAAGTGCGTCATATCTGTACACCTCGCCGAGCAATCGTACCAAGGCTAAGTATCCTCTCAGTTTTCCCTTTCGTCTCCACTTCATCCATCACCAACCATGCCCTTGCGGGAATCCTATTTTCTCACATAGCACACTATCTCACAGCCATCGCCCTCTATCGTCTGGCCTACCAACTGCTCCCATCGAACGACGGTGAAAAGCGCAGGATAGCTTTCATCGCGTCATGCCTGCATATCCTGTCGCCTGGCGGGCTCTTCCTCTCCGCACCGTATGCCGAAAGTACCTTTGCTGCGCTTAATTTCTGGGGCTCCTACGCCTATTTCCTCCACAGCAGATCCCATCCTCGTGGCATTGCAGAAGCGATTTTTGCTGCCTGCGGTCTAGTGGCTGCCGGAGGGTGCTTCGGTGCTGCATCGCTCATTCGCAGCAATGGCATCCTGAGCGGCCTCGTGCTGGCTTGGGACGCTATGGCTTGCTTGCCAAAGATACCAGCCATCATTCAGCAACGCCTATGGCCGCAACTCATTCAACTACTTGGTGTTCTGACTGGAGGCGTTGTATTGGCTTGCCTGTACGCCATTCCGCAGACCAGCGCATATCTGGAGTACTGCACCAATGGCAATACTCGCCCTTGGTGCGAGAACGTGTTGCCGAGCATCTATACCTGGGTGCAAGAACACTACTGGGGCGTCGGCTTTCTAAGATACTGGACGCTCTCCAACCTGCCCCTGTTTCTCCTCGCAGCACCGATGCTAGGCGTTTTACTCCTCACCGGCTATGTCGCCCTGACCAGGAGCGAACTCATCACTTCCACCCACTACGCTCTCAACCATGGTGGCAAGACTAAACCTACCGCCGGAGAGACGCGCGCTTTCACGCACGCGATGGCTCGGTTTGCCCTTCCTCAGGTCGTTCTCGCCATGTTGGCGCTTACAAACTTCCATGTCCAGATCATCAATCGCATTTCTTCTGGCTATCCGGTCTGGTACATCGTTCTTGCGATTGCGATGCATGGTGCTGCTGCTGCTGCTCCCGAGGCCAGAAAGAGCACGCCAATCCTGAATTGGCTCAGTCGAAAGTCGGAATGGATTGTTCGAGGAGCAATCATGTACGCTGTGATTCAGGGTGGCCTGTATGCCTCCTTCATGCCGCCAGCATGAGTGCTACCTCAGGAACTCTGCTTCGACCAGCGATGCCATTGCGATTCAAAGAAAACATTACCAGCCAGCATTCACTCACGATGAAATCCGGATCTTTATTACCGAGGCAGCCACCCGTATGATGGCGATCTCTTTCCGTAAGAGGTCCACGCATGGCGGAGGCCGTGCGATTGCGATCCGGCCGCTTCCGCTGGATCAGCACAAAAAGTTCACCATCTTCCTTCCGAGACCGATCGATCCCTTGTGCATGGATCTTCCAGAACTTTATCCTTTTCTCCCTCTGTGAATGCTACCCGTTCAGAACATCTCTCGTGCGTGGGGAGACGTCTTTGTTTGGTTGCCCCGAGAATGCAAACCTCTGGCTGCTGAAGAGAGAGAGGGGGGTTTCCTAAGATACATTAGTCATCTACAACAGCTGTAGCGTAGTCATGACGAACAGCATTTGCCAAAACAGATCTTTACATGTATGTATTCATCCAGAGGCGCCCATGTCTGTTTTTGTAGGAGCAACTCCACAGCTTTCTGATGCCTTTATTATTATAACCCGATGCACACGCCATTGTACGATATCAAACATATGACTTTGTGTGACAACAACGGATCCCTTCTCCCGCAGAATGGACAAAAACAAAAACATATACATCATCGATTAAAGCCCCTCTTCCCCTTTATCGTACATGGAAAGAAGTGGATGACGGCAACAGTCAAAATATGGGTGATTTCAACCAAAACAACAGGTTTTCCCTCCATTTCGGCATCTATCTGTGGAAAAAGCATGAAAGAAAAGGCAAAGGGCCAGCCACCTCGCGGTCCATGGAGGGGAAGGGGGGTATCTCAGCAACAACAAAAAAAAAAAAAAAAAAAAAAAAGTCAAAAACCCCCGAACCGCCCATTGAACGCCGCCTCCCCTTGTATGTATGTGTGTGTGTCTGTCGTGATTCTGTGGAGTAAAGAGAAGAGAATGGTTTTCAGCCGTACGGTGCAAAGGCGCTGTATCTGAAGCCACTGCCCAGCAGTTGGTTCGAGAGCAGGCCGAGCAGACCGGGTTGGGAATAGTAGTCGATCGTCGAGGTGGTGATGGTGTTGGCTTCGATCCACATGCGACGCTCATACGAGGCGCCGATGGTATGCGTGATCAATAGCAGAGTCAGGAACGTGAGGAAGATTTTCAGTGGGAGCGGCATGCTGGCCCAGAAGCCTCTCTCCACGTAGACGGTCTGGCCTGGACCTTGTTGGATGACAGTAGTGGTGGGTTGGTGGGTGGTGATGATGATTTGATCTCGTTGGATGTCCGTCATGGTCTGGCTGTCGGCGTACTTGGGAGGCTCTTCTTCGTCAGTCATGGTCATCTTGCTGTCGTACTCGACTGCTGAGGCTTTGCCTTCGCGCTCAAAGTTGGTCTCGTCGAGCTGGTCGAGTTCGTCGTGGAGTGAGCTGCTGCGCATTCCATCTCTGCTCTTGGGCAGCGGTCGACTGGAGAATGCGGCATCATCCATACTGACTTCGGACGCGTTGCGGGCCATGTGCGATTTGGTGAGTAGTCCTTCCAGGTAGTCGTGCAGCTCGCTAGGCGTAAGCTCCTTTCCGAGGGCTTCAAACTCCGCTTCGAGGGTGTCAATGATTGCGTCCATGAGGCTGACGGCTCTTTGGTCTTCTGCAGCCTGTTCTTGAGCCTTTCTCAGCTCCTCCTCCAGTTCTGCTTGTCGCTCATTGGCCCCAGCAAGCAGCGCATCTTTCTCCTCGACAGCCTCTCTGCTCTGTTGCGCATCCCATTTCGTATCGCCAACCTGTCTCTGCAAATTGTCCGCGAAAGACTGGGCATCTGCGAGGCTTTGTTGTGCTTCCTTGAGCTGGTTCTGCAGTTGTATGCGCCATCTCTTTTCACTGGCATGCGACTCGGTGATGCTGGCCACGTCCTCGTCTCGCTTTTCGCGCGCTTCACGAACTCCGGACTCTTGCTTCTCAGCCGCTCGTCGCAGGCGTTGCTCTTCCTTGAGGGATCTCTTGACTTCTTCTAGCTGCTTCACAAGCTCGTCGATCTGGCTCTGCTGGGCAATGTTCTCTTCGTAGTCGTCTGCGTTCTTCTGCACTTGGTCGTCGTACTTTTGGCGCCATTGCGCCGCGTCTTGGCTGGTGGAGTCGGCCATCTCGCCGACCGAGTCGTCTTGTCGGGGTGTTAGATTGAGATCAATGGATGTTTAAATGGGTGGATAGACTTACCGGAAACGGGAGGGGGTTCGGGAAGGGCCGATCCGGAGGCGAGGGCTTGCTCGGCGAGAGCCTGCTGCGCGAGAGCCTCCCTCTCCTCCTTCTCTTTCCTGCCCTTGCGGCGGTTTGCGTGCGATCTCGGCATGGTGGTGAACTTGGTGTGATGTTGGGGAAAAATTGCGAGAGATCTCAGTCCTGCGAGTATCTGCTATGCCAATGTCAGCATATTCAGTCTCTCAAAACGTTCCGATTTTGGGGAGACATACCGCGTTTGGAAGTGGAATGTAGATGAAAGGAATCTAGGAGGAAGGGCGAAGTCTTTCAACCTGGAAGCCAAGCTTTCCTGGCAACAATAGCTATTGTTACGTCCTGATTGTGACCAGTCGGGACAATAGCCGGCTCCATAGAGGTGTTAGCAACAATCAAAGCACTATAGGAAACCCACTCTATTGTCTCTATTGTCCTGGCGAACGCGTGTCATAGTTCGACAATCGCTCTATTGATTGGGTTTTACTTGTGAACAAGAACAATCACTTCGCGACGCCCCAACCAGGCTGAGCAAGCGATCCAAGAAGCTCGGCGATCATGCCAGCTCTGTTGCTTGCCGAAAAGCCTGGTCCCTGAGGCCCTGTGGTGTGAGCAGATTAGCAAACATCTCCAATACCTACAATGACAACTTTTATACTTACCTGGATCCATCTTCCAGTCTACGTGCCTCGTGCGACCTTTCAAGACTTCCATCACGTACCCTCCATCAACCATGTCGTCCTCGCAGCACCTCAACATCGCTTCAGCAACCTCTTCAGGCTCCACCCATTCGTCCTGCTCTTCCTTGAGCATCAGCATCTTCTCAGGATGTTCAGTCCACAGTGGAGTTCTGATCACACCCGGAGCGACACCGTTGACCCGGATTGCCAGATTCTGGTCGAGCGGTGCAAGGGAGCGAATAAAACCTGAAATTGCATGCTTCGAGGCTTGATATAGCGGCGTGAGGAAACCAGGGACTTGTCCAGCTACCGAGGTAATGTGTATGATACGTTTGGGGTTCGTCGCTGAGACCCTGCCGCATTTGCTTCCTGCTGGGGGGTTGAGCCAGCGCGAGATGGCTAACTGCGTGGCCCGGATTGGATGCGTCACGTTGATGTCCAAGGTAGCGTAGTGGCCGATTCCTTCTGCACCATGGATGGGATCTCTGGCTTTCTCAGAGCCTGGTGGAATCCAGAAGTTGCTCCATTCAGGTTCGTACACGCCAGCACCAGGACAAACAATGTCTGCTCCTCCAAATTCTCTGTCTGTCTTGTCAAACGCGTTTGTCAAGTCATCCCATATGGTTACGTCTGTCTTCACAAATATCGCACGCGGTACAGCCTTTGAGGTATACTTGTCTACGAGCTCTTGAGCTTCAGGGCGGAGACCTAGATCGGCGATCACGACGTTGCAATTCCTGGAGAGGAGAAGCTTCGCGAAGCAGTAGTTGATGCCTGTCGAGAATGATCAAGGATGCCATTCGCTATTCCATAGGGAGAGAGGATGCTTACCAGAGCCGGCACCTGTGATCAGGGCGGTCTTTCCGTCAACAGAAAAGGGTACAGAATCGGTGAGAGCAGCCATTGCACGGGGTTGAGAGGTGAGGAGGGAGTGCTTGAAGAGCTTTACCTATATGCTGTGAGCATGATCTCAGACACGGGGTTCCCAATGCCGATGCTCGTTAGATGTCAGGCCGAGCAGGCCAAGTCTGGCGAGGGGAGCTCCGTGCGGAAGTGGTTGTGGAAGAGGATGTGAGCACAGAGGAGGAAGGAAAAGCGTATCCCCGCCAGTGCCCGCCAAACGCAGTCTGTACGACGTTTAGCCGAACCTTCCTCATCACGACCCATCAGCATCATCCCGACGCGTCGGCGGTAAAGTTGTTGAGAACATGAACGTGTGAAAGACGCAAGTGCGGCGACTGGCTGGAGGAAAGATGCCTTCCAAGAGACGTGCCGAGTGGGACAATCACCGCGCCTACTCGGCGAGCTCATCGAAACGCGCTCGCGTCACGCTCAATAACACGACCAGATCGAGCGTGAAACTCGTGGAAGCATCGGTCCCACGCGAAATCTTCGAGCCCCATCCGGACTCCGGCATAGGCAAGGACTTTCACGGCGTTCCCTACCCTCTCACTCTCATTCCGAAGAAGACTCGGGACACGCTCAATCGCGGTGAGTCAGATGGGGCCGTATGCGCCTCTTGCGGAAGCCAAGGCCTACGACACCTCACCAACGGAAGCTGTTCCTCGTCGCCGAGAGAGTGTCTTGGGCATTCGGCACCGTGAGTTATGCGGCTAGATCTCTGAATCAGGTCGCGTTGTGGGCCGTCAATACGGAGCTGGACATCTACGACCCTGCCGTCGACGAAGAGGATGTCGTGATCGGAGGGAGGCAGAGCAGGAAGCATGGCAAGTGGTACCCTTATCAGGGCAGAGATGAGGCCAAGCTGGCGATGGAGATTGTACAGGAGGCAGAGCTTCTCACCCCAAGCAGCTGGGAGCTCTGGAAAGATATGGCCGACCGGGCTATACAGTCGGCAGCGAAGAAAGCTGAAGACGAGCTCGTCGACCTCACTGACGACGATCCGGTCATCAAGGCGAGAAGGAATGCCCCGAACGCAACAACTTCTGCCCGAACCGTGCTGCAAGACATCTCCCCAAATTCCAATCTGGCGCAAACGGGAGCTTTTCCAGCAGGCAAAGCAAAGAACATGGACCGAGAGCCAACATCACTACACAACCAGCCGTCGAAGAGAGCCGAAGCGACTCGACGAGATCCCAATGTGCGTTGTAGCTATCAGACACTCCCAGCTTTCTACAGCTTGCTCGACAAGATCGAACGTACATCGCCAATGGGAGCTCGCTTTCTGGAATCGTATGCGGCACGACTGCACTCCGAGACGTGCAAGCATTGCTGGTTTGAAAGGAATATCTTGAAAAGTCTGCTGAAAGAAACGCCTGAGCCCGAGCCCGAGCCTAAAACAATATCTGCAGCGCCCAGCCGAAATCCTGTCTTGCAACACAGACAACAAAACGTTCGCGGGCGCGTTCATCAATCCGCTCAGCCCAGTGCGACACCATATGTGCTGATAGGGCCCCCGATATACCAGACGGATCCTGGCGCCCCTGTTCAGCCCAGACATAATAGTCGCGCACCGCAGTCCCCCTACATATCACCATATCCGCCCTTATCTGCTTCGACAGGCCCCGCATCGCAACAGCACGCAATCATCTTGCCTGTCTTACCAGAATCACAGGCTGTAATGGACATGCTCACATCCTGGGCGCGAGCTGATCGTAATATTCGTGATCTGTTTGAAGCATTTGCAAGACGAACAGCCACGCCGGAGCAGGAGAGGATGTTCAACTGCTACGTTACAGCCGCCAGGTATCGGGTGCTCCCGACAAGGTAGCCTCAGTCGAAGCCTGACGCCTAGCCGCGCCAGTACAACGCCGTCCACGATGAGCGCAGCCGTGGACAAATCGTGTCCTATGCAGTCTGGTTGATGGATGGACCCCTACCCCACGGAAGGTATGCCTTTCGTGCTCCTAGATGTTGAGGTTCTGCTTTCGCTTGAGAGAGATCGAGTATGTCACCCCTGACGCAGACCCGATGATGCTGAGCGTGGATGCCGCGATTACCAAGGCCAAGGCCGTAACTGAACTCATAGTGAAAAATTGTGCGGCCGTTCGTGATCGTCACGATATCCCGGAAAGCCGTCTAGGGGTTGATTGGTTTGCGAAGCAGGAGCTTGGTCCTGACGACTTACTAGGGGCTTCGAAATAACTTTGTTGTGGCTGTGATGGTCGTGACTTCGGAAGAAACGCGAAGGAAGGCGAAGTCGATCCTCTCACAATGTTGAAGCCCTAGCAAGACGCGCCGACACGTCGAGGAACGCCGCTCACAGCCTCTGCGGACTGCCCGTTGCTTCGTACCTCGTCACAGCAGACGCTGAATGAATGGAACTTCTGTCGGTCGTCTCCGACCAGGCATCGTCATCTGACTTCTTCGGATGGCCATTGACTGCAATGGAAGGTACCCTTTGAAATGGTATGGGAATTTGGGCTTCCAGGCCCTGACTTGGCTGTTAGCGACGCCGCACCGCAAATCGATGGCCGAGGAGGAGGCAGCCTGCTACTGCGGAAAGGATCATGAAAATCAAGATCACGACGACGGCGATGGCTGCTACTTTGGCCGATGGCGAAATGGCTTGGGGTAGAGGCGCTGTGTTCACCGTATCGTCGACGGGAGATGTCATGGTGTGGGTCTTGGCGAGATGCAGAGTAATTGGTGAAAGATTGCAAAAGAGAGAGAAGCTTGGTCTGAACGCTCGCAGTAATGTAGACGGTTTTGGCTACGAAGGATATATACCTCCTTGCATCTCCCACAGCCACCGCCGCAACATTGCCTAGACGCCCCGTCCTCTCGTCCACAGTCTCTGTCAAAGAGGCCAGCCGTCATCTACGCCTACCGCGGACTCCGACGGCCACGCTGGCGAAGACAGCATTTGAAAGGATTTGCAATCCTGCTGGAATCAAAGTCGAATGCATATCCTATCATACTGACTTCTGCCGCTGAGGAAGGATCGCATGCATTCTGCTCGGGACAACTATATGCGAGGACCTAACCTCGTGTTTCGTCACGCGCCTCGTGTGGAAAGTCTAAAATCTCCCGCGCACTTTGTAGCCAGAACCCCGACGGATTGGGACAGGCGCTTGAAGAAAGATGAGACCCGCGCCGCCAAGAAGCGCTTGCACATGTCTCGGGAAACACGAATGCTGACAAGGTGTGTTTCTTCAGTCCTGCGTTGTTGTCCGGCGTAGTCAGACTCTGTATTGATATCACCACCGCCAAGGCCATCTCAGCAGCGCCTTTCGATTTGCCATGTGCCCAACGATTGGAGCGAATGACGTAGAATGACACGTACGTGAGAAGTGCTCTGACAGACGTTTGATCAATGGCATCTTGAAGAGCACTGTCCCATGTCTTACAGGCTTATACTGCTCTCCGCTCCCACCCATGGTCAATGAAGATGTGCCTGCAGGCATGTGCACGGCGAGTCTGGGCGATCCTTCTTGCAGCTTCCACCGCTTTGTCCTCAATCTGAAGCCAAATCTCAGCTCTCCGCTTTTCCACCTCGTACATGTCCTCGCCAGCAGCCTCGGAGAGGAGGCAGATGTCGCCGTGCTTCAAGTAGGCATCTGCGACGGCTCTCTGACGGAAAGGCATAGTCTGTTTCGGCAAGCCTTGCACTGCGGGGACGGTGGGCAGCCAGCCTTGTGCGAAGTTGAGATATTGAAGATTCTTCCAGTTGTGGGCGAAAATGGTGGTCACGGGAGGTGTTGTCGACCACGAAGGTGCATCGATTGCATCCTGTAAGAGCCGATTGTCTTCTGTGTGCTCGTAGGATAACGCCTGGACCCACTCTGTGCAACCTTCAAGATCGAGCCACTGCAAGCGCAAGGAACTACCACTTAATTGTCGGAGAATAGATGCGGGCTCACTGAGATCGTTGTCGATTGCCGAATAGTAGTGAGAACCTCCAGCAGAGACATCTGGGCTGTGCTGGCTCGACACTGTTGTGGTGGCGAGGTTCGGCGTGAGCGTTGGACGAGGCCAGTAGGCTAAAGAGAGATGTGTGATACTGGGCAGTTGCTTTGACAGAGATAAGAGATCCTGCCAGGCCGGTCCAGCAGGCGGGTGCGAAAGACAGAGGTGCGTCAGCTGCGAGAATCGAGATGTTGATGGCTGACGAGTCAAAGCCGCCTCAAAGCTGTCGTCCTGATCCCATGACTCTGCTACCTCCTCGACCTCAGCTGTCTCGACCACTTTGCTGGCTTGTTGCTTGAGAAGCTTGACAAGACGGTGGAGAGTGAGGCCTCCATGCCCAATCAAGCCAGCTAGGTCTAGTTGATCCACTGGCTCAATGCCGTGTGTTAGTGCTTCGAGCGCTGAAACGCCGATCGGTGGCCCATAGAAGCCTAGGTAGCTGAGAAGTCTCAGTCGTATGCGCAACGGCAACTCGGATAGGGCAGGCAAGTCTTCGTCGTCGAAAAGCGCCCATTCTTCCGCGGCAGTCTTCAAGGAGAGATGAAATAGGCTTGACGGGCTCTTGTGAGCATCAGGATCCAGGCCGGTCATGCGTGAGAACCTGAGTAGTTGATGAGGTCTAGTACGTCCATTGTCAGCCAAACGCCCCTTCAGGACTCTTTTCCTTCCACCACGCAAAGCTGACGTCGGCATCCAAGCCGGCCTCTTGTTCCAGCTCTTGGGTGCAGCAGGGCCAGGCGTCCGATCAGGAAGCCTCATCCTGATTCCTCGCTTGGGCTTGGGCGGCGCACTCTCTGACACTCCAAGGATCGGGCGAAGCTCTGGTGGCACTGACCGATGTTGATGGGAAACAGCTTCCGCAAGCTCTCGTTTCTTCTGAGCTGCATCTTTTTCAGGGAGCTTTCTCAGCTCGCCGAGACGTTCGTTGACGGTAGCAGACTTCTTGTCGGAGTCATTGCTGCCACCGCTCTGCTTGCTGGCTGACGATGATGTTCCTTGGAGTGTCTTGAAGTTGAAAGAACGCTTCTTGGGCATAAGCGCTCAAGGAGGGAGATGAGATTGCAGTCCAGTCCAGTCCAGTCCAGATGCCGGGTCCCAGGCTCCAGATATATCTCCAGTGTGGGTGTGCCAGTATTTTCAGATCAGTTCCACCAGGTGTGAGTCAGGTGGATATTCTGCGGTGTCTTTGTTCCGTCATCCTCTGCTCTGTGGTGGTGGCGATGCAATGTTGTTTGGCGCCGGACGCCTCGAGACGGGGCTGCGCAAGCTGCTAAGCGGGACACCAGACCACAGAAGTCTTCGCCTTTGACTCCCACCGGCACTACCGACGTCAGAGAGGTGAAAATGTAGCTAATACATATACATTTACCTCACTGCCACGGATTAGTGGGTGTATTGACATTTCGAGCAACACAGCAAGATATTGCGCGTAGTATGGTGCCCATCACCGTCCGCCCGCCGACCTTCTCGCCTGCAGCGCCGCCCGCCGACTTCAAGCTGCCGACTATCGCGTGGCTCATGGAGACGTGGCATGTGACTCACAGTACACTGCCCATGTGGAAGAGTAAGCGCAACGTGCGTATCCAGTACACGCCTCTCGATCCCTCCTCGCCGGAGATAGCGAAAGAACACACCGACCGTGTCGATGATCTGGTCTCCTACCAGGGCCTCACGGACGACAAGGTCTCCACCGTGAGAGGGATCGATAAGGCTGCTACCACGACCAACGGCGAGAGCAGAGGCGAGTGGGACTGGAGAGGGAAAGGCTGGCTCAAGATCGCCAGCAGCCATTGGGAGGTGCTTGCTTGGGGTGAAGAGGAGGGCACCGGCAACAAGTGGATGGTGACCATGTTTGCAAAGACACTCTTCACCCCAGCTGGCATCGATGTGTATTCCAAGGCTCGTGAAGGTGTTCAGGCTGGGACTTTGAACAATATCAAAGCCGTCCTTTCTCATGTGGACGACTCCGATGTACAGGAAATGGCAGGCGCCCTTTTCGAAATCCAGAGCGATGATTCGCGGACAGACTGAGCAAGAGAAGATGATGTCGATCGACATGGCATGATGAGATAGCTTCGACATGTTCTTATTGGAGTATTGCTTGCTTCCCAGCCGCCACGATGGGTGGCTTCATCAAATGATTCCAATATCAGCGGCCAGCATCTCCCATTCAGCTGAATGAATGCTACGCAAGACCGGTGTTCATTTCGCTCGACAGTAGATCCGACACCTCTCGGATCGTGTCGACCTCGTCACATGATATTTGTGTCGCGCTTGGACTTGAATAGCGTGATGCGACTGACTACATACCTGCAGCTGAGGTACTTATTAACGGTAGCTGCCTAAATACCTATCTCGGCACCCTTGGAACAAGACACTCTCGGAGACATCTCGTACCACACAGACCAGTACACTCTCCGACCTTGGATGCCACAACGACATTACCTGGCCTCCCAAACCTACCACACGAGATCTGATGCGACTTTTTCTACAGCTTGCGTAATGCTCACTGCCTCGCAGCTCTCTTAACATTACTCCGAGGCTCAAAGGCCTAGTACAAGACCTCATCCGAGTGTTTACATCGACACATCCTCCTCGACAATGACCCAGTGTCCCATTTCGTGGCCAGTCCACCGACAGCAAGGTTCAACAACATTCGTTGCCCTCAATTCGAGCGTCAGGCTCCAGCCTCGATCCTGAAGAAACGATTCATCCTGAAGCAATGACGGACTTTGACATCGCTGATCACGGCAACGCAGTTGCGAGACAGCTCTGGAAAGCGCTGCGCTCTCTCGCTGACGTACTACCGTACATGACTCGGTTGTCGGTGTTCTCGATTCGGGCCTAGACTGAACGCGCTGTCTTTGGACATTGGACTCCTCACACATGCTTCGTCGCGCTTCTCAAACAGCATCCCAATCCTGTGTCCATCTGGAACTTGATGAAGGGGCTGATGATCTAGCTGAACTCGAGCATGGTCACCCGTGCCATGCCATTCGCGAGACCCTGCCACGTTTGATTTCGCTGCGGATTCGTATGGGAGAGCAATGCCGGAACGTCGTCGCGGAATCACCTACCTGTTCAGAGAATGCGACTTCGCAGCAACTGGATACTCTTCTGGTGAGTGTGGAGCCATTGCCAAATTTGAAGTCCATGTTATTCAATTGCTTTCCAGTGAGAGGCCTGGCTCCGCGCTCAATGGGCAGAGAACCATGAGATGCTCAACTTACTCCAGGTTGCTTCCAAATGCGATGATTATCCGGCATACGAGTGCCCGCGTACTTCTTACAGAGACTTCGAGACAGCTTCATGTCGCTGGCAGACTACCCAATCTTCGGCGATGCGCTATCATTGATTCGCAGCCACAGGGGCTGTCGTCCGACCATCTCGACTACGTAGCGCTAAATCGGAGAGACGTACTGGCTAACACCACTTGGTCTATACCAATCAACCATTTGGTTGTGCACAGCGGACTTGAAAGCTACTGCGTTTTGGCAAGCATGCCCGATGGAGAAGAAGTCATCAGGCGACCTACGATAATTGGGGCTCTTGTGGAGGCCGATCCGTGGAGGCCGATCCGTGGATTTGATGGTGTCAGAGGTATTCGAGTCCCACAGGAATACCTTGACTCTTATCTTCTCCATGCTGGCGTCCTGTCTGTGGATCGAGCGATGATACTCGGATTGCCGCAACTCCTATGGCAGAATGAAGCTGCACGCGGGATGAACTTGCTGCATGCTGCCATGCTACCTGGATTCAAGTCAAGGATACCATTGATAGAAAGCACGCCACTGGGATATTCTCGTGATATGGCCGCGCCAGAATTGATCATACCCAATCCACCAGGGTCTCGAGAGGCGAGTCGCTATTGCCCCCGGACCACTTTGCGCTTGTCGAGGCCTAGAAGGCACTTCCTTGTTGCTGCTTAGATTTGGACGTCTTCGGAATTACCTTCGACCGAGTTGTAACTATGACCAGTGGATTGTATAACTCTCGGAGCCTGCCCCTCTGCCAGGCTGGGGCTGAAAGCTCGGAAGTCACAACTGGGCAAGTGCTCGAACGATTTCACGGAAGAGCTATGACACTGAGCTCTGGTACTGCACCATTTGCATTTACAGAAACGCAAAAGACGAATTATGCGGAGGCATGGGATAACTTCTTGCTGTTTCATTCGATTCACACTGGAGGCGCTGGCAGCCACAGCGAGCTGAGTCAACATATAGAAACCAGTCCCAGTTGCTGCAACGAAAGGCTCCTGGTCCTCACATCCGAGACGTATCAACCGCACTACTCACAATATCCTTCAGCGCCGCAGTACGCTCCATACCCCCCACAGCAATATCAGCCTTCCCATGGCAATCGAATCCGCAGTCGTACTATCTGGCCTGAGGACCATCCAGCTGCCGGAATTACCATCGCTGCTAATCCTCCTCTCCCGCATCTCCCCTCACACTATCCTCTAATAGGTCAATTCTGCTCTCCATAGGGCTGGCTAGCATCGAGGTCCCCCATGCAAATGCAAGTAGCATCGGTGCTTCTGTGAACGAAACCATTAACATATCGTTAATGCTGACTATAGTCCTAACTAGAGACTGGCACTTACCGATCCTTCTTGTAAGCATTGCCGTGACTGCCGCAGGCACTGTGGCAATGCGTGGTACGCTTAACGCAGTTGGCGCCTGCCAGTTGAGGGATTCTCTCGTTCTGAAGGCAACCCCACGAGCCCCGTATCCGACAAACGGCAAGGTCGGTTGAAATGCATTGGTGGGCGGTATAGTGTTTGACTGCTGCCGCTGCAGAGACGAGAGTAAGGATAGATAGGAGAGAGATCTGCATGATTGCTATATACTAATGGCATTCGAGTAGCCCCAGGGCGAAAGAGGCGACTTATACTTTTCCCTTTGACAGGGGATGGAATCATAGCCCTTTCGCGGCGTCAAAAGTTCATCATAAAACACGACTGCTTCGGCCCGATATTGGCACTTCAAGATCCTCCTCTACCGCATCTCCCCTCACACACTATCCTCTAACATAACAGCTTCATCGCGCACTACGATCCAGTGGGCTTGCTCGCATCGTACCCCGCGGTGCAAATACAAGTCTTATCGAAGGCTCTGTTCACAAACAAAAAAACTATTACTACTATCCATCCAGTTTCAATGCCAACGATATACTAAGGCAAGGTAGTACTTACCCATCCTTCTGGTACGCGAAACCATTCACACAGACGACATTACACGACGAAGTCTGCTTGACGCAGTTGGGGCCCTCGAGTTGAGAAATGTCCTTATTCTGCGCGCAACCCCACGAGCCACGAGCCTGGCAGACGGAGAGGTCGTGCGCGTTGCATTGGAAGGCATTGTAGCGTTTGCCTGCTGCCGCTGCTGCCGCCGCTGCTGCTGTAGACACGAGGAAGACGACGGATAGGACGGAGATCTGCATGCTTGCTTGCTTGCTAGGTAAGGTATGTTTTTGTGATATGAATGTATTCGAGTAATATAGCTAAAAAGGAGGGCGAAGAAGGAAGGAGGCCGCGACCCTTTACTATGCCTTTGGCTGGCTAGGATCGAGACTGCCCGTGCAAATGCACGTCTGATCGTCGCTACTATAGTACGCCAAAACAAAAAACTTATTAATCTCTAGTTCCCAATGCTAAAACGATTCAACTAGTAGTAGACTTACTGGTACTTGACGTAGGTGTAACCACAGCCGATCGCGCACTGCGGCGTGTAGGTGACGCAGTTGGGGCCGGCGATTCCTCCTTCGTAGATGTTTTGCACGCAGCCTACGGCGCCCTGGGCCTTACAGGCCGCGAGACCCGCGGCGTCGCATTGGTAGCCCCTGTAGGCCCCGGCCGCTGTCGTGGCGGTGGAGACGAGAGCAGTGAGGATAGAGAGAATCGTAGTAGAGGTCTGCATGATTGATTGCTGGGGATATGTATGTATGTATGTTCTTGATGATGATGATGATGATGATGATGATGATGATGATGATGATGATGATGATGATGATGATGATGATGATTTGTATTTCGAATACCCAAGGTAGCTAATAAAAAGGGCGAAGAGAAGGCGACAGGAGGCGACCCTTTCTTATTCGTTTGCCTGGGCAGCATCAAGACTCCCGGTGCAGATGCAAGTCGTATCATCGCTCCTGGTAATGAAGAACACTATTAATAATGTCTGGGTCAGACGCTAACGGCAGCTAGTACTCACCGATCCTTGAGGTAAGTGTTGCCACAGCCAGAGTCGCAGCTGGCTTGCCTAACGCAGTTGGGGCCCGCAATCTGCGGTTGGAAGTAGTTGAAGACGCAGCCGTAGGAGCCCTTGGCCTTGCACGCCGCAAGGTCCGCCCGGTGGCATTGGTAGCCCGTGTAGGATCCGGCCGCTGTCGTGGCGGTAGAGACGAGCGTAAGGACGGAGAGGAGAGTGATTTGCATGATGATGGTGATGATGATGATGATGATGATGATGATGATGATGATGATGATGATGAGGATGATTGCTGGATTGCTGGATTGGCTATGTTGTTGATGCTTCTTGCCTTCGAGTTCTTACCCAGCCAAAGGGCGAAGAGGCCCGACTTTTTATATACCTTTCCCTGTCCCTTTGACAGACAGGGGAGGAGAGACATGTATCATCATAGCCCTTTCCGCGGCGTCACCTTTCAAGATTCCGGCTGGTCGTTGTTCAGATCGGTAAGGCCGGAGCAAATGCAAGTCGCCTCGCTGCTTCTGTTGTGACGAAGAAGAAAGAAAAAAACTATTAATACCATCGTTTCATGGCTTAAAACGGAAGGAGCATCCTAGTAATTTACTTGTACTTCTGATAAGCAAACCCCACCTCACAGACATTGTCGCACTCTGAAGTCTGCTTGAGGCACTTGGCGCCGTGTAGTTGGGGGATCTTTGCGTTTTGCGCGCAGCCCGATGCGCCGAGGCGGTGACACGCGGTCAGCTCTTGCGCAGAGCATGGGTGTCCGAGCCAGAAGTCTTTCTTGGCTGTCGATTCTTTCGCTGCCGCTGCAGTGACGAGAGTGAGGATGGAGAGGGGAGAGATCTGCATGATTGCTAATAATGTGATGGTTGCATTCCCTTGTAGCCAACGGCGAAGAGGCGACTTATAATACTTGCCCTTTGACAGGTCATAGCGCTTCGCGGCGTCCAGATTCATGATTAAAACGAGTGCTTCGGTCCGAAGTTGGCATTTCCAGCAGACCTGAGGTCTAGAGAGAGGTACATGGGGCGGGCGTGACTCAGGCGCTCCGGATAAAATGAGCTGGTCTCACAAGGTTGATCTCCTTCTCAGCACGCGGCCCCGGAGCAACATACTCCCGCGACTAGCTCGAGGTAGTCTACTGGGGGATACACTACTGAGACGGGAAATGGTGCCTCCTAGGTCTGACTTTCTCCTCGTATTGCGACCGTGCAGAAACATTCACCACGCTCTGCTCTTATCTTTTGCAACTTTTCAAGGTGGTCTCAAAAGCTTGCGTCGTAGTTGTGGAGTATTACGGCGGTCTCGAAAGTAGGACGTTGAGTTGATGATGAGTGCGTGGTAAGCATATAGGAAAGAAAGCAAAGGAAGTGGAGTGATGTGGCTGCCAAGGGACCTCCTTATCCGAATCCGAGGTCACGTGCGACACTCAAATCAAACTTGTTGTGAAGAAGCTGTGCTGCCATTATTTACCGTCTTTGCTATCACCGTCACCGGCCACTCTGTTGTCACATAATCCCCTTAGATTCTTCGCATCGAAGCACACTCACATGTTCATTCACTCCGACCTGACTCTTATAATGAGTGATGTGGGAGAAACTCACATGGCCCGCCCACATGTGAAAGCTTTGAAAAAAAAAAGGATTCCAATCTGCAGCAACATTTACAATACAGGATTAATACAGACAAGAACTTTTTCTATACACATCTGCCCGTCACCGAGATGCGCATGATGACAAGACAGCACAAAGCGGCCGCATTCGTGTCAGAAGCAGTCAAGCTCGCGAGTGACCATTGCGGAGCATTTGCCGTTGCGCAGGGCGGAAATCTCCATTCTCGTCCTCATCTCCCGCGCTCCAGACCATGCCGTCCTCGTCAGCGACTTTGATCGCATTGTTCTCAGGCCTGCGCTGTTTCCTCGGCGGAGACGTCTCAGCATTGTTGGATGCCACTTTTGCCCAGGTGCATTGCTGTGGCGAAGTAGTGGACTTGCTGGACCGTGGAGCCTTGACGATGTGGAAGCCGTCGTCGCTGTTGGAGCTGGACGAAGGCGCGAGAGAGGACCGCGTGTTGTTTGGGCTGGGAGTATCCGAGACCTGTTCCGGTTCGCACTCAGTGGATGCGACCTCTGTAGGGTCGGTCACTGAATTCTGTTCCGGCACAGGCGTCGGAATCTTCGATGCCGAGAAGACACGTCGTTGGACGTCGTATTGGAGATGTCCAGCGTGGAAAGCCAGACAGAGGCCAAGCCAGAGAACTCGCTCTGCCCTCGCCTGGGTCGTATACGAAGTCTCGATCGCCCTTCCGTCGTCTTCGCCTTGCCCGTCAAACCAACACGGGCGGAATAGGAACTGGCCCCATATCAGGCCGCGTATGAGGTAGTCCTCAGGGAGGGGACGCGCGTGTTCCTTGCTCTCCGGGGTCAGAAAGACGCCCTGACGAGCGCATTCCAGCACACGAGCGCTGATAGGATACTGTTCGGCGAGATTGTTGAGATATTTCGCAAGAGCGCTCCAAGGCAAGATGGTAGTGTCAAGGGGCGCCTGATACGTATTATGCTGTCCATTCATAAGTCGGGTGCGAAGCGAGTGTAGACTGTGCAAGAAAACGAGCATGACGTGCATGTACGATAACGAGTCTTTCAAAGATGTCTCGTGGTAGCTGCGCAGTACCAGGTTAAAGGTGTCAATCCAGAACTTTTTGCTTGAATCAAGGGCACGAGTGTGATTCGAAGCGGATGATAGGCCTTGGGGAACCTGACTTCGATGATCTGATAGCGATGCAGAAGGCCTGGAGTTCTGCATTGCCTGGTTGATTGCCGTTGTATAGTGCTGGAAGAGTGCATTCGTTGGAGAGCCTAGTTCAAACAATGCCGACGTATTGGTGATGGCCAGATATGCGCCAAAGTCCCGAAGTTTGGAGAACTGCTCCTTTAGCAATTCCAACGCGTGTGACCCAATCGAGTCAATGGTGCTTTGCTCATAGTCAGAGTAAATCAGGGCATGATGAGTGACGATTCGAGCCTCCGCCAATTGACGGCTGCTTTGGATCATCTGTTCATCCTGCACGATCGGGCCACACAATGTCGCGAGAGAATCACGAGCATTAGGGAACGGAATCACGCAGGTGAGGGATTTGGAGTACAAACACAATTTTCGAAGACTTGGCCGTTCCAGTATGCCTAAATGGTGATACAAGCGGCCGATGGCTGGATGACGGTCAGAAGCCGTGGTGTACCACCTGGAAGCAACCCCTGGAGGACGAAATCAGCCGCTGATACCTCTCCCGACTGACGACAGTAACTTACCTCCCCAGGTGGCATGCGCTTCCTTTTCCTCCTCGATGGCCATGCGATAGCGGGCAAGGTCGCCAAGGCATTCGATCCAGGTGTCTGTGAAGCTTGGAACGGTTTCAAAGAGAAGTGCCATCATCTGGTATGCCAGATAAATGAACGCGAGCATGTAATCTTGAGATTCTGGTCGCCGATGGCGCAGGAACTCGAGAAATGCGTGGATGCCATGCTTCCACATTCGAGCTGGCATGTTATACTTCATAGCCAAGCCACGAAGATTTGGTGGAGCAGAGGGATGCTGCGTGGCCTGCTCGCTGGATCAGGGGGGATAACATTGTCTTTGCGCGGAAGCTACGTACCATGAGGAAATCATGATGCTCATACAGGAGCGTTCGGTGCAACGCAATCAATGCCTGCCATTGCTCATGACCAAGCTTGGACTTGGGATCTGCGGCTTGCCCCGCAGCAATATTGATGCACTTCGCCTCGACCATTACAAGACCAGAATATATACTCTTAACCTCAGCAGCAAGTTGCTCCTGTGATATTGGAGACGAATCAGGTTGGAGAATCAAACCCGGATACCGGCTGTCGGCTGGTGCCGCTACAATATCTTTACGAAGACAAGTAGTATCGATGCTCAACTTGTCGTCGATAGCGAGAGAAAGTTTTAGTGGTGCGGCACCTCTGACGTCCACCAGAGTGGTGTCCCTGGAGGGCATGGCGCAAAAGCCAGAGTCCACACGGACTGGGTTCTTTAATCTGTCGTGGCTTTGCACGAAGGGTGTTATGTTAGTCTTTGATTCGCTCAATTTCCGTTGCAGATGCTCTCCAGACAAAGCACTGGGGAAGTGATGGCGGTCGTAGGCGGGCTTCTTGGGGCCCTTGGAGACAGCAGTCCTTGGGTTTCGATATGTCTGGCGCGCTTTGGCATGCTCACAGCTCCGTGGAGACTGGGAATGGGCTGAGCGGTTTGGCCTGACGGTTGCTGCTCCCATCATGCCACGCTCACGGCGAGAGCGAGGACTGCCGTCCCGTGGCCGGGCATGGTCAATGGACAGACTGCCGATTTGATGGACTGTGCCACCGGCAGTGGGCGAACCTTCCTTAGTAGGTGTTTCCGGCGGTGGAGCGTTGGCAACATGGTTGTCCATCGGCTTATCTGTCTCGGATGGCGCGGGAGAATGACATAGTTCGGGAGAATAGTGTGCAGTGGTCCTGCGGACTGTTAGTACTTATGTTCGACGCAAGTGACCCATGGGGCGATCGATACACGGCGGTCGATGACTGGAATGGAGCCGTTGCCTTTTGCGGCCCTGTCTGATGACTTTGGGCGTAGGCAGAAACGGGATGATTGGAGTGCAAAAACGAGTGAGGCGCTTCCCAGGCGGCAGGCTCAGGCGGCGGCAAAGGTGTTGACCAGGCGTGGTGATTCATTTCCCGGAATAGGCGTAGGATGAGGTATCCGACAGTCCTGATGCATCCGTCCTCTAATGGAGTGTGGTGGTGGGAGTCGGGGAGAGAGAGAGATGTTGCGCTAGGGCCGCCAAATCAGCAAGCGGCGTCCAATTTCGCCCGGTGAGCTGAGTGCAGGCTGCCTCGTCGCGCCATTGTCAGTCCACTGACCTCGACTGGGCTCCTCAATAGCAAACTCATCTGACGATGGAGGAGATGGTAGGTGAGACGAACCGCAGCGCAAACGGAGCCCGGGGATGGCGAAGGAGAGGGTCGAGGGAGAAGTCCCGCTGAGGTAATCGGGGGGAGGAATCGGGGAGTAGTGAAGCAGCTGAGCTTCCACGGAGAAGCTGCCCACTGACGCTACTGATATCTGATCCGATGCGAACCGAGTCCAGCCCCCAGACGGATGATGGATGATGATGATGGGGGAGGGTGTTGAGAGGTGAGAGGTCAGAGGTGGGAGCTGAGACCGAAGCTGCAGTGGGCGCCTCGGGCGGGAAGCCAGCCTCTTCTTCAACCCAGTCCAGTCCAGTGCAAGGCAACCAGCCTTGAGGGCGTAGAACATAACCTACTATTAACGAGGTGCATAACGAAGGCAAACTAGTCCGCAACCATGCATCTCGCCCCCCTACGCCCCCATGCATCGCATCTGACTGTTTGCCTTCGGGCTCGTTGAACCGTCGTGGAAGACTGCATGTCTCAGCTCAGCTCAGCTCTCCCCATGACGGCGACGGCGTTCATCATCGACGGCTCCGTGAGTCTGGCTCGGATACCGAACTTCATCGCTCATCCGCGTGCTCCAACCGCATGCACCCGCGCTCCCGATCAAAACGCCGTCGTACAACTTCCCCGACGGATACACATTGAACGCAACACACGCGGCCTATTGAGCAACACTCTTTCAAGTCATCTGGCATTGCGTCGGGACCACCAAGGACGAAGCACGAGGCGCAGCTGGCGTTTCGTCAGCTTTGCAGCCTCACAGGAATCACCACATGGCTACATATGAACCACTACTGCCGCGAATCAGCGCCCCACGCTCTTATTAGCAGAGCTGCTCTCCTGCTTATTCTACATCGGTCACCGGATAAACACGGCCCTAACCCACCAGCGGACGATTTCTACTCGGCTTTAGACATCTCGTTGCCTCCATATGAATCGACCTTGCTTGCCTCGATGATCCATAGACCGCCAGTATCACTCCTTATGGAACATGTCCCCACTAGGCGGCCGTCTCCGAACATGTAACGCCGTCGTGGCGACCTTCGGCGAGAGCGAGAGCTGCAGCCTCCAGCGCTGACCGCGCCTATTGAAAGCTCATCTCAGACATCCAGCTGACTGAGTTTGGGCCAGAAAATGTGTTGCAAATTCGCCATTCAACGAGAGAACCTTAGCGGTGTTATAAGGATGAAGTTGATCAACTCCAGTGCAGCATCACACGGCGTCTTCAGGATCTGACTGGGCGCCACACCGAGAACGATCAGGACTCGATGGACGTCGTGAACCACGACACGGTTCTTCTGTGCGAGCCATCCAGCAATCGACTGGCGCTCGTTCTCGCGTCAGTACATCAGCTGTTGTGAGATCCGTGATTCGCTTCTGGCCAGTATAGGCTGTGATGCGCGACATCGCGTTGCCACCAACCAACTGCTTTCTTCAGGCCAACACCTCTGCCGCCCGGGCAGCCGGGTCTGAATTCCAGGAGGTACAACAGGATGCGAGAGGGGCAGCCTACGACGATGTGAAGGTTGTCCCAATTACGCCCTGCTCGTCAGACTACTGGGGAATGTGTGTCTTGCTAAGACTTTCTCCCGAGCGTGCTGCGCCGATGACATGTGAGGCTCGATGCTGACGATGGCATCGTGAACGGAACGCATCAAAGAATAGGCTGACTTGAGCTACATCCCGTCTATGCCGTCAGCTGCTTCTCCTACAGGTCTTGTGCCGTGAGCAAATATTTTGTAGCATGCGTGTGATGGGGTTAGGGTTAGGGTTAGGGTGTTGACGTCGAAAATAACCGTGACGATCGTCTCCGGCGGCTTCATCTGCACGTGATTTCGATTCTAGAACCCGGTCCGGATATGCAATATCCGGCTGAACTCCACGTCAGCCCAACGCGACGTAGAGCTTCATCACGCGTGTTGATTCCATCCGCCGCTATGATCGTCGCCTTCCTCGCAGGACCTGTGCGATGGACTTCTGGGCACGACTTATAGGTTCCGCGCTCCCTCCCAAATCTCGCACCACCACCCGACACACCACCGCCAACGATCCCCGAGCCCGTCTCGCCCGTTTCCGCAGAGTCTACAACCACATCCTCGACCTCTGCAATCGACCGAGAAACATTCAGAATGAGTTGCCATTCCTCGAAAATCTCCACAGCTCTCTGGAACGCCTTGCAGCCCTTTTGAGGGAAGAGTCAAGAGCGCCGGTGCCGCATACGTGTCTACAGTTCGCAGGAGGGAATCAGATATATGCTACCATTGCGCGCGCTGCGACGATTAGCCACTATGAACCCGTGATCAAGTCTGCGATCGCGGTGTTCGCGGCGCTGGTCGACAGTGAAGAGGAGGAGTTTCTGGCCAGTGGGCATTTTGCTAAGAGCTTGATGCGATTGATCCAGAAGGTGGTCGATTCGGGCAACGTATTGATTAGTACGGACACGGAGACTTCAGTTCTGGAATTGCTCTTCACGATCGCCGCCAAGATACGACTGCAGCCGGAGATTCTGCCAGTCTGGTTCCAGTCGACGGTCGTAAAGGAAGATGTCTTCACTTCTGAGATGGAGAAGAAGGGTGGGTTTGTGGGCATCACGCAGAAGGACGACTTTCCCTTATGCTACCTGTTGATTGACCGGGTGCATCACGAGGGAAGGATTGGAGACTTTGCCAGGACTGGTTTGCTCTATGTCTTTGAAGCGACCGGGCGCTCTCTGGACTTGGAGGAATGGATAGTCTCGAGTGACCTGCCAACACTTATGGCTTCCGGATTGGGAGCCCTGTACAGCCAATTGAGTCGGGAACTGAGTATATTGCATCCTGATGCCACGCTACCGGCTGTTCTGGCTATGAGCGACTACACAACTACGCATCCACGAGCTACAGCAGTGTCTGCCTTTTCGGAGATGTATCAAGCTCACATGGCCACCTTTTTGTCCTATCTGGCATTCTGGCAGGACGTTCTAGATCACTCCAGGAGCGCGGACGTCAAACAGACCTTACTGGACCATTTCCAAATCTTGTTTCTGCAGCAGCTACTCTATCCATCACTACTGCAGTCAAGCGACACTGATGCCGGCAGCTCTGTCGCTGTCTCCACGTACATGACAGCCATGTTGGAAGCTCTCGAGTATCCGGATCTGATCAACATGATACTCAAGTATCTCATGGCCATCGAGGATGACCAGCACCATCTGACAGTACCATCTCCACCGGAGACGCCCACCATGTCACCTGGCCCACCGCGATCACCCACCTCAGTGAGGCGGCGCCAGAGCCTGATGCTGCTGAATGCTCCCAAGGATCCTGACGACGCCGTGGATCCCAATCTGTTCAATTTGGTTGATCTCATCATCAACAACGTCAGCTCGCAGAATAGCCAGACAGTCTTTGCAGCTCTCAAGCTCACATCGACGATCTTCACTCGCCACAAGAGGTATGCTTTCGGGACGTTGCTCAAGGTACAGAAGACCAACCCTTCGAGGCCCATTCGGACTGTCGGTGCGCTAGAGAAGGAGCTGGAGCAGTACTCAGAGCTGGCGGTCTCACTGCATCGGCAGTACGACGTGAACGCGAATTACGAGAGACTCTGCGAGGATTTGCGATACAGCATTGAAGCCCAAGATCCCTTCAAGCCTGCTCCAGTCTCCGGTCGTGATCCGGGCGAACCAGACGTTGGTGGCTATTTGCTCTCAGACGACGATCCCCTGATGCGGACAGTGAAGGCCCTCCTGCGGTCCTTTTTCACCAATAGTGTCGACGTCAACCTGGCTCTGACGCATGCCATAGTTTCAATAGCTCAATGCTCGGAGCTCCGGCTCGACAGCTGGCTCGCTTTGAGTGCGTCCTCAGATCGCTTCGTAGACGAGGCTGTCGATTCATCAAGGCCATGGCAGACTTACCTGGACCAAGACGAACAACTCACATGGGCCGCCTTGAAACGAGCCAACCGCATTCCGGTCTGGCCTGACAACGAGGCACCAATGATGCACAGAGAGCTTCGAGCTCTTTCAGGAGAGCTCGAAACTGTCCGCAGCAAGGTGCCTAGCCTCGACCAATTGATCGCTGGCCGCAAGAATATGTTGCAAGCGGCGAGCCACGATATCGCTTCCAGCTCGTTACCCATGATCATTGACAGTCCAACGCAGCCGCAGATTGCACAATTACAAGCTGCACAGGCATCAAGAGGGCACAGCCGGAGCTCTAGCCGGCCGTCTAATGCCAGAGGAAGCCCACCAAATAGCAAGGCAACCAATATTACTCCGCAATCCTCAACGCCAGCAACTAGCTCGGCTGCAGCTTCGCAGGCCACTTCAAAACAGCCAACGAGCGATGAAACCGCTGAGAACCAAACCAAACAACCCATCACACTGCCTGCTTCAGCGGGACCGGATGTATCCATTTTCCAGCCTCCACCGCCAGAAATGCCATCTACCACCGACGTTCTAATGCAGAAATTTGAATTCCCTGTAGATGCGGCGCAGCCCGGAGCCGAAGACGGCGATTCTACCAATCCTCCACAAATGCGAACCGCCAGTCTGAACCACATCCTTACCAACGTGGTGGTTCTCCAGGAATTCATTCTGGAGCTCGTCGCCGTTCTGCAGGTTCGCGCGGCTGTGTTTGGGGAGAAGGAAGTTTGCACTACCATTGTGTAACACGGGGGCCAAATTTAGAAGGCGTTTTTCTGTTGCTAGCGATACCCTGTTCTTTTGTTTTTATTAGAGATGCGATATAGTTGAGAGGCAGAGAGAAGGATGGATAATGTATGTACGTATGTGTATGTATGTGTTGTTTGATATTATTATTATTGACGCAGGCTGCGCTGTCACCACTCACAGTTCTGTGACCAGAGCTTCTGGAGGTTTGCGAACCACCTCGGTAGGCGAACCTACCTGCAACCTTGTCTAGATGTAGCGAGAAAGCCTCGCGGCAAATACCGCGAGAGAGGGAAGAAAACAAAATAGGCAACTTGAATGCAACGGGACTCCACACCGTATCATACGTATCATAGGTACCCACGCAAAGGGACACACGGTGAGTGAGATTGAGAAGATTCCGGCGTCATGAGTATCATATCTATTCTAGACCTGCAGGTTCAAACGATAAGCAAATTGCATGGAATGAAGGCAATAATGTTGGCAGTCTGATCATCATCATCATCATTATCTTACCACTTCGGCACTCCGATTGATGACCCGTTTTATTATTCCATCGAACATGCCCAGGCCAAGGCAACGAGACGACGGGAGACGTCAGAGCTGAAACCCGAAGAAGGGAAAGGAAAAGATAAAGGCAAACATCTTGAGAATCACGCCATGATGAATGTCTGTTCTGTTTCTAACTTAGCTAGATACATGTGTACCCGTCCGTCGTATCAAGCTGATAACGAGGAAAGAAGAGCAGAAAGAAAGCCCCCTCTCCTCTCCAGCATGGTGGTGGTGGTGGTCGGTGGTCCTCAAAAATACGTACGTACGTCGCTTTTCGCTCAGATGACATTCCACCCGAAACGTCCGATGCATGCATGTACATTTCCGCCCGAAAGACGCTTGCTTTGCTCACATGTACAGTTTGAAGAACCGAGAAAAGGAAAACACATGGCCTCCAGCAGAACACCTTCGCTTCTCATCAGTGGGGGGCCAATAGTCGATATTTGTTGATAGCAATATAATATAAAGTAAAAAAAAAGGCAAACACGCGCAGGTCGGGTATCACACCATCAACTACTCCATCTTCAAGTCTCCACCTCTTCCGGGGCGTCGGACAGCTCCTCGTCGGTGTCGCTCGGGACGTCAAACGCATCTTTGTCTTTCTTGGCGGCCCGGGAGCGGCCGGCTCGTGTAGCTGGCTTCTTAGTTGTTGTTGCAGCCTTCCGAGAAGTTGCGGTAGAAGCCTTCTTCTGCCCACCCTTCTTCGGCGCAGGCACACTCTCTTTCTTCTGCTTGTCCTTGTTCACAGAAGCAGGTGCAGGTACTGGGTCGCTAGATGGCGGCGTGGATGATTCTACGTTTTCATGGGTTGCCAGCGGCGTCGAAGAGCCCACGTTCTCCTTATTGGCTTCTTCGTCCTCGGCGGTGTCCTCTGCGATATCCTCTGCGACATCCTCCTGCCACTTCTCGAACTCGTTGTCATCTTCACTATCGTCCATCTCGACATAGCTCTTCGAGGTCGAAGCGCGTGCGCTCTTGCGCCTCTCGGACGACGGCACAGCATCGTCCGCCCTCCTCTTCGGAGTCTTGCCTGCCTTCGCAGCCTTGGGCAGTTTCGCAGGCTTGCGAACCTTCTCAACTTTGGGCGTCCGCGCTCCAGACGTTCTCGCCTTCTTGGTGGCCCGGTTAGAAGCTCCATCAGCGGCTTTGCGCTTCTTCGATCTCATTCGCTCCTTCACAAGATCTTCTAGGCCCTCAGCAAAGTCTTCTGGCAGGAAGCGCTTCTCAGAAACTTCCTGCAGAGCGGTATGACTAGGCATAGCTGTAAAGAGGCCGCCACTTGGCAGTTTCGCTCTGCCTGGAAGAATCTGCAATGACCAGCCCTGTATGTCCGCAAATTGCCTGATGATAGCCTCGGACAGATCGGATAGGATGTATAGATTCTCGCTCTTAGCGGGATCGATGCCGTCCTGTACGGTCTTGATTCGTTGAGCAATGCTGTAGATCTCTGGCAGATTCTTTTCCGACGCCACGATCTTCAGATAGAAGATGATGTAGTCAACGAAATCCTCCAGATCTTCAGCACTTGGGCCGAAGTCCTGATGGTGGGCGAGAAGGCTCAGTAGGTACGCAAAGACACTCTGCAGAATTGGATCACCAGTCTTGACGTACTGAGCAGCTCGAGCTTTCAGGAATGTCACGGTGCTCTGCTTCGTCTCCTTGTCTGGTTCAAACGCGTACAAGAAAGCCAACCCGTAGAAGCGCCGTGGCAAGGTGTTAGATTGCGCGGTGAGGTACTTCTTGAGGGTGCTGATGAAGCCTGACCGAACTTCGGGCAATGGATCTTGCGCGATGCGGATAAGTCGATTGAAATCTCTTGGTGGAAACACCCTGACCACCGCTTTCGTACGACACAGTTTCAGTATTAGCTTTGCTGCAGCTGTTCGCAGTCCGGCACGTTGCACTTCCGATGTTGTCTTGTCAGATTTCGAGAGCTCGCCTTCGTGATCGACAAGGGTGTTGAGCAATCTGAACACTCTACCTGCCAGTTTCTTGATTGACTCAGGCAGCTCCTCATCTGGCGGAAGGCTCGCCGCGCGGCCTCTCACGGTATTTACCAGCAGCTTCAGTGCCCATACGTTTCCTTGCAGCTCGTTGTCATCGTCAGTTTTAAAGTCAATGTCCATGTCGTCAGTGGACGACGGCTTCGCGCTTATCACGCCTGTAGCAATTTCCGTGATGGCATCATTCTGATCCTCGATATGGTCGCTCGCAAGAAGACAGAGCTGAGCCATCGTTGCCAACTTTGCGAGCGAGTCTTTTTGGCCGGCTTTGAAGCCTTTGGTGCAAGACTTGAGCAAATTCTTGATATACATCTCTTTCTTGTCTGCAGCAGATACAATGACGGTCACTGCATGCTTTGCCGCGCGTGGTGGTGTTCCGTGGTTTGCAAATTTTTCCATGGCCTGGTAGAAAGCCCGGTCTTGCAGGAGCTCCTCAGGGAAACGACGCGCAAAGCCAGCGCATGCCTTGAGCGAATCCACGGCATTTGCATCGTTTGGTGTGGTAGCAGACGGCGCTTGCTGCTTCAAGCTGTCACACAGTTCGCGGATGTGCACCTTGAATATTTGTGGAGTATCGGTCGACATCTTCTTCAGAACATCGTGTGCAGCCGTAGCAAGTCCTTTCTCATCTGATCTTGAAATAGCCATGATACTAGAGACATGGCTGCGATTGTATATGAGGTAAGAGGACATGCGCAAGAATAGGCCCACCGTCTCGAGACAGCTTGCTATATGGTGAGGCGCTTGCTCCAGTCGTTTCGTCAATTCTTTTAGAGCATTCACAACTTTCTTGTACTCGTTTTCTGGGTTTATGCAGAAGCGTACAAGGGCGAAGTTCCGCCGGTCGTGGTGCTTCGCGAAGTGCATGAGGTGAGCTGATGCGACAGTGGTGTCTGGAAAGTCTTTTGCAATAGCTGTGACCAAAGTCATCAACCCGTGTTGAGCTTTTGTGTCGTCTGGGTTGGCCTGAAGTTGCTCACTCGAGCTCAGAATCTTTTCCACGTATTTGGCGAGCATTACTTGCCGAGCTTCCCAGCTCAAGAAAACAGTCTTTGCTTTTTCCTCGAGGTCTCGCACCAAAATGAGTAACCGTTCCACTCGAATCGCATCGGGATCTTGAGCAGCAAGCTCTGGACCTTGGCTATCGGCCACGCGCTGGGAGTCGCCATTTGCTGGGCCTCTCGCTTTGATAGGCGGATAACCCACTGGTAATAGAGACTCGTAAAGCGCCCGCATCACCAGAGAGTTTATGCCTCTATCATTGATGTAGACTGCCTCCAAGAGTTTGGTCGGGATTGCACCCAGAAGCTCGCGTACCAGCTCCCTGCCCTCAGCAATAGCGCCAGCTGCGACACCCCAGAGCTTTGCAAGGAGTTCAACGGCCGCGGTTCGTACAGGTACTTTGGGGTCTTTGATGCGCGTAGCAATGTTATAGAGAATTGAATCTGCAGATGTGACGCCGCCAAAGTTGCCCAGTTTCTTGATGACGGAGTGGAAATCGAAACGTGCGATAGCCTGCACAGCTGCCAGACGAACTTTGTCGTCGGCGTCGATCAACAGGTCTGCGATGCTTCTCTGAATGCTAGTCTCTTGTTCAGCATCGAGACCTTTGCCGCCGCCAGAAGTCAAGAGAATGCGCCCAGCTGCGGTTGCCCAAGCACCCCGGACCTGAGCGAACTTGTCCCGGTTCCGGACGAGAAACGCATGATACGTGGTCGGATACGCGGATGAGAACGCGTGCGGCGCCGCAGGAGCGAGCAAGATGTTATTTGGAGCCGGACTTGGTGTTTCCTCCAGGCTTTGAGAAGGATACGCTGCAGGGTCGAGAGGGACCGATGGCGGTGGGCCCGCAGCGCCAACACCGGCAATCATGTCACCAATAGTCTCGACGGCTAGAGTTCGCAACTGCAAATACTCTACCCCGAGCTCAGCTTCAAGTTGTGGGATGACGTTGCGAATGACTTCGGGGCACGATCTCCAGAGCTCTCGTAGTAATTTGTGCGCTTTCGAGACTTCTTCCAGATCCGTTTCAGAGGGTGGAGTAGGGAGGCCGACATCAGACTCATCATCGCTCTCATCGCGAGTGCGCTTCTTGCCATGCGATTTGCGCGCGTGAGGCTTGGCCGTGGAAACGATCTCATTGGCATCGATGAGGACCGAGTTGAAGTACTGCCCAATATGACGCACCATCTTGTCCTCGCAGACGTTGCAGATCGACTTTGCCATGTTGTACGCCGGAGACACTTCGCGCACAACTTGCGATTCAAGTGGTTCACCCTTTTTGCCCTGGGAGAAAATGCTGGGGTCGACTCTGAGGAATTGAGCGAGGATAACATCGATCACGCCCGGGGCCAGACCACTTCCCTCATCCACAAGTGCTGTAAGCAGTCCCGTCATGTTGAAGCTGACATTCTTCGAAAGCTGTTCCTCGCCCTTTCCGCGTCCACCTGCTAAGACATCGAAGCAATGGGTGAAGAGGTCGCTCGTCAGCCGGTCCGACGAAGGGATGTCCGAGATCAGCAGAATACTTTTGTATGAGGCAAGAGATTCCAATGCCTTCAAGTGCTGTCCATTGTAAGGGTCGCTCGGATTTGCCAGCGCTGGGACTATGATCGACACGAAGAGCGTGAAGATATCCTTCAGCTGACCAGGCTTATATGGGGCGTCTGGAGCCAGCAGTCTGAACACCTCCACAATACAGAGCATTGTCCACGCCTTGATGCCGCTATCCTTGTGTTCCAACAGTAGCTTGCTCGCCAGCTCTTGCGCTTTGGGTGTGACCGACTCTCTGTTCACAGTCTCCTGATCCATGGACTGGAGTTCCTTGCACAATGTTTCCAGCCGCCGTAGCAGGACTCCAACTTGAATCGGCTTTCCGGGGCGCCATGTCAAAGGCTCGTTGAACTCCAGCATCTCGTCTCCGTCTGCCTCCATCTCTTCATCCTGCTGTTCCTCATGCTCCTTCTCACCGACGTCCTCTGCGGCTGGGGGAGTCGGCTCCTTATTTCTCCTGGCTCGTGGCATCGTCGCAGCTCTGTAGAAGGGATTAGGATGCTGCGAATGTGGCGCGACACATGCCGTTATCTGCGGCGCTGAGACAGAAGGTCTTGGAAGTTGGTACTCGACTCAAGCGCGATCCAGCGCGTTCAAGCGTGTCGCAAAGTGGGGCCGCGAATGGCGATGGCCTGTGCTTATTACGCGCCTTCTCAGCATTCACTCACTATTCACACATTCACATGCACATGCACAGTTGAAATGTGTTTCAAATAGCGTCTTTCCAGAGCGGAACATTGTTATCTGTCCGAGAACCCTAGCCAAAACCAGGCCATCCGCGAGTCGAACCGCACAAAATCAGCGGTAGCAACTGTCGAGATAACATTCCGACGTCCAAAGACGCTGTACGCCTTCATAGATCTTTCATTGCGGAGATCGTGCTCGCTCGGGCGATTGGGTATCTTCGTTCGTAAGACATAAAGTACACGAAAAGTCTGGTCCTGTATTTCCACTTCAAAAGTCGCTCGTCACTGGTGACCCATCACCCACTTCCCATTCAACGCCCTGCTAAATGCTGCCACAAGGCTCGCGCTTGAGCTCATTGCGCCGGGATACTTATCGCCACGCTCGACCACTGTCCAGCAACGAGATCGCGTACATACTCCGAGATATCGCTCCCATTAGTCTGATAGAAAACGACTAGGTCGTCTCCGCCACTCGGTCTCGGGATGGCGGAGACGCTCATGTGGGTTCCAGCAAGCCCGGGTTCGCCTTGTACCTGGAAGCTGCTGTGCTGGACGATGGTGGTGTTTTCTGCTGCCCAGGTGACGTTGAAGCCTTCGATCATTAAGGAGGCTTTGTCTTGGGCGTAGAAGGCGTTGGTGTAGCCCAGGGAGCTGGCTGGATACACATTGTTTATAGCGACGGAGGCTAGAGGGAAGTCAGTCATATAGCAGTGAATTTTGAGGGGATTGATAGACTCACAGTTGACCCACTGATTGATGGGATGCGACATGGTGTTGGTTTGGTTTGTGGCGGTATCTTTCCACCAGAACTCTACCGTGTTTTCCAGGTTGACGAAAATAACATATGTGACCTGTTTCTCAGAGATTAGCGGATGTCTTACATACAGATGATCTCGATTGCGATACCGTTCCAGGACCCCAGCTGTAGCAAGCAACACCGGCGTGGCCATTCTTATTCTTGAACTCTCCTTGGTGCCGCCAGTCCACATCACCGTCTCGCCAACCTAGTTGCTGGAAAGTCGAGTTGTCAGAGGCGTACCACATGTGCATTCCGACTTCTCCAGTGCTGTCCACCGTGCCTCCATTGCCATTGGGCAAAGGAGTGTGTGTATAGTCGCTATCGCCGTAGTCGTTTCCATACCAACATGCCTGCATGCCCACCATGTCCGCGTCAAAGACCTTTAGATGCAAGTCGTTGATCGGTCCGTCGACCCAGATATTCGTAGTATTGCTGTTTGTCCTTTGCTTGAGGGTGTTGTTCTGGCTAATGTAGAACACGTGCCACGTCGAAGACCCGTTTGAGACGTACGAAACGGCGGAGAGTGCCGTCGAGTTTTTGGCATCCACGGCGACCACTTGCGAGATGTCGCCACCAAGCCACTGCCCTTGCGAGCTTAGCTGCTTCCATCTTATTTGACCAGTCCAATGTTGGAAATACATGACGAGGGTTCCTTGTGTTCCCTGCTGCAGGTCTCGAGAGAATGACTGAGAAGCAAGTGCAATTCCGGTGCCATTGAATGCTCCTTCTGTAGAGTAGTACTGCGGATTGATAGCGCCTCCAATGATGTACGTGTCATCCGCTGTGCTCTTCAGACGCGAATTAGATGATCTACGTTGAAGTCAGCGATGAATCAACTGCTACCTCTACCGGCACTTACGAATTTCCCCGTGTCAATCCGACTCCAAGACCGACGCCTAAGCCAATAGCAATAACTGCGACTGCAGCGATCAACGACCAGAACCACACTAACGGAATTCCACATATCCGCTTTCCACTTGAGCGGTCACCAGGCGGAGGCTGATATGGAGCAGGTTGCACTGCAGGCAACGCGACTTCCTTCTCTTCATCATCCCGCTGATATGATTGCGGCATAGGAGACGTTACTTCGGACGGCGAAAAGGGTCGGTCTTTATTGGATAACCTGGGATGCACCGGGTGCTCGGGAGGATCATAGGTTGGAATGGGAGCATTCTCTCCTTCAAAGTTTTGGAATTGTTGATAGGGCGGCGATGTGTTGCTATCGCTTTAGTTAGCCTGAGCATCGCATTCTGAAAGATGGGCTTCCAGTGACACTTACAAATGCTCCGTGAAGCGCGGGCTCGGGCTTCCATTATCAGAGGATCTCGGTAGAGGACTTCCATGCTCTATTGTGTCCATGTCGAAACTTGCGAGCCCTGGAGGGCCAGACCCTAGCAGCTATTCTGTCGTTCAGGACGCCCTAACGCGCACGCGATACCACAACAGTGGGACTGCGGCTTTCGTAGGGCAAGACGCGGAAAAGGTGGTTAGTGTGGGAGTGGGTATCTCCAGTCTTTAGTAAGTCCGCTGAAGGATGTCACTCGACCTGCGCAGCTGTGTACAGCCGCACTGCTTATGGCGGAACCGAGCCATGATGGCCTGCAAGCCAGCTCAAGCCCTATCCTTGAAGGGCAACAAGGTACCGGGAAAATATTTCAGCTGAGTGGCTGCGCTTCGATCTGCAGCTACGACGAATGAAACGGTTGCAAAGGAATGTACGACCCTGTCTGGTGCTGACATGATGGCCGCCGTGCAGCACGTCTCGTGGGAGAGTGTGGCTTGGCTGCCAATTCTGAAGCTTTTCCTGCGGGGATAGGTGCTGTGCTTTGCGATCTTCGCACCATGCGGTGGTAGCGAAAAGTCTTTTGTTCTTGACCGTATCGATGATGGAAGAGAAAGGGATATGTTGTACGGCGGCGTCAACCGCAAGCAAATATAGGTAGGCAAATGCGCCTCCGAAGTGCAGAGGAAGAACGGAATCGATTGTGCTCACCGGCGAGACCTTGACCTCGCTGTGCGAGCGTGCAGCACACCCTTGCACGGCACATATGCCCGATACATTGATGTGTGAATGGCTGCTGGCGTGAGCCCAGCGGTGCCCCTCTCGGCTTGCCCGTAATTTATGTATCACGCTCGTGGGCTTTGTGTCGCCAGAGGTATTCGAGCGAGCAATAGTATCCGGCAGCTTCAGTAAGCGATTCCGCCTGTGTGCGAAGATCTCTTCTTATCGACAACTCAGCAGCAGCGGCTTGTGCAACGTGCACGGAATTTCTTTCTGTTTTCTCTCGCATGCTGACGAAACTCAAACCGAACAGGAAAGCAGTGATCTGCTGTCACTTTCAGCTGGAGCCATCATGGCGCGCTCTGGGGGAAGGCCGTCTGCACATCTTGTCATACTCGAGGGGTTGGTCGCTTTGTCCGATAGAGGCGTAGTAGCGACGTGGCACAGCAGAGGAATGCTGATGTCGAGGCGCGGTGTGAACTGTGAAGAAAGAAGGAGGGGCCAGCCGGGCGGCATTCGGGATCCGGAATGATCTGCGGCCTCCCACGTGTCTTCGCGTCTGCGGGTAAATCTATTTGTGGCACGACTGATCGCCATCGCCATCTGAAAACAAACTGTATCTACGGCGATGAGATGCGGACAGTCGTCGTGACTGGCTTGGGCGCTGTGACACCCCTGGCGGCCGGCATTAAACATACATGGAGTCGACTGCTGGACTCAGCGAGCGGTCTGACCTCCACCGCCCCCAGAGGTCCGGAATTTGAGGCTCTGCCCAGTCGCGTGGCCGGTCTGGTACCGCTGGGAAGTCGTCAAGATGGGCGATGGCAGGCCAAAGATTGGTTGCCAGCCAGCGAGGAACGTCAGATGGCCCTCTTCGCCCAGTATGCCATAGCATCGGCACACGAAGCTCTAGAGGACGCTGGCTGGCATCCGACCAAGCAGGCGGATCTCGAAGCCACAGGAGTAACGATTGGATCTGGCATTGGCAACCTTGACGAGGCCTACAGGACTTCTGTCGCATTCCATGAGTCTGGTTATAAGAAGGTGTCGCCTCTCTTCGTGCCTCGACTGCTGATCAATCTCGCGGCCGGCCATATTTCCATTCGGTATGGCTTCAGAGGTCCCAATCATGCCGCAACAACAGCCTGTACTACTGGCATACATGCTATTGGTGACGCCTCCAGGCTCATAGCGTTCGGAGACGCCGATGTGATGGTTGCAGGCGGAGCAGAGTCCTGTATTCACCCCCTTTCAATCGCTGGGTTCGCAAGGGCACGTAGCCTGGCAACGGATTGGAACGACAACCCGACTGCTGCATCTCGGCCTTTCGCCAGAGACAGAGCTGGCTTTGTGATAGGAGAAGGTGCCGGGGTGGTCATTCTTGAAGTAGGCTGCATTGCCTGATCAGACGGCAACCCACTGCTAATGTCATGCAGGAACTGGAACACGCTAAAGCCCGCGGCGCAAAGATATACGCAGAAGTGAGAGGCTACGGTCTATCCTCAGATGCTTACCATATGACTGCTCCCCAAGAAGACGGATCAGGGGCGCTTCTGGCAATGAAACAGGCCCTAAAACATGCTCAGATCAAGCCAGCCCAGGTCGACTATATCAATGCACATGCAACGTCGACAAGATTGGGAGATGCTGCTGAGAACAGAGCCATCAAATCACTCCTGCTAGGAGCCGAGGGAAAGCGCAATGCTTCAGAGATTAATGTCAGCAGTACCAAGGGCTCTGTCGGACACCTGCTTGGTGCAGCCGGTGCTGTTGAGGCAATTTTCACCATTCTTGCGACCCATCACGTATGTCTCCACTGCCACTACAGCCTATTGCTCGATGCTAATCGTCACAGAACATCTTGCCGCCGACCTTGAATCTCGACAACGTGGGTGATCCGCAAGAGTTCAATTGCAATTATGTCGCCAAGGTGCCGCAGCAACACAAGGTCAACGCTGCCCTCACAAACAGTTTTGGCTTTGGTGGCACGAACGCAAGTCTTTGCATCTCGAAATTCTCCTGAAGAGGCCTGAATTGTTCTACAATATAACATTTCTCGACGTGGCATGACAGCACGATTCTCCAAAATACCCCGCCCTGAGCCCGACGAGCTACCTTATCTCGCGTCAGCCGCGCGAAAGACCCCACTGGCAATAAAATGGCACTGGCCGACAACATATCTCAACTCTTAAGTATGCCTCTGTGGATGTTTTAATCCGGTCGAGAGACCAGAGCATCCTTCCGTCGCTTCGTCAGGCCTTTTCTTTTCGAGCTGGACCCTTTGATACACCGGCAACGGTTCTGGCGGCGCTGCCTTCCAAAGAAAGCTGGAGAACTTGGCAAGACAGCTCTTAGTAGTGCATACCGATAGAAATGGACAACGGACCAGACCATCGATCTCGCTTGCTGGTCCGGATGAAAGATGTCGCAGGCCAATACCACGAACGCATCCCCTGGATCCGCCGCCTCCCAGGCCCAGCCATCGCCATCATACTCTTCCTCGCCTTTGTTCAGGTACTCGTCTGGATCGCAGTCGGCATCGTCCTACACTTTCACCCAGCACTCGTCTCCACGGCTGTTCTCTCCTATACCCTGGGTCTCCGCCATGCTCTGGACGCAGACCACATCTCCGCCATCGACCTGATGACCCGGCGCCTCGTCGCTTCTGGGCAGAAACCCGTCACGGTGGGAACGTTCTTCTCCCTCGGCCACTCGACCATTGTCATCATTACCTCCATCATTGTCGCCGCCAGCTCCACCGCGATTCAAGACCATTTCGGCGCCTTTTCCGACATTGGCGGCATCATTGGGAGCTCCATCTCCTCCGCCTTCCTCATCATTCTCGGTATCATGAACGTCTGGATCATGTACAAGCTCTACCAACTCCTTCAAACCGCCATCTCGTCCCCGATCGGCCAAGAACCACTCGATTTCTCCTTCGAAGGAGGCGGATGCATGACCCTGCTCCTCCAAAAGACGTTCAAGCTCGTCGATCGGCCATGGAAAATGTATCCCCTCGGCGTCCTCTTCGGGCTGGGCTTCGACACCTCGTCCGAAGTCGCCCTCCTCGGAATCTCCTCCATCCAAGCCGCGCAGGGAACTTCCATCTGGCTCATCCTCATCTTCCCCATCCTCTTCACGGCCGGCATGTGCCTCCTCGACACGTTCGACGGCGCAGCCATGATGTCGCTGTACACCTCGGCGAGACTCGCAAAGGATGCCATCGCCGTCCTCTACTACCAGCTCGTCCTGACGGCCATCACGGTCCTCGTCGCCATCACCATCGGCTGCCTGCAACTCCTCACCATGATCCACAGCATCCGCCCGGACCTGAGCGGCCCTTTCTGGCAGGGCGTGGACGCGGCGGGCGAGAACTACGACATCATCGGAGGCGCGATCTGCGGGAGTTTCCTCGTCTTTGGAGCTCTGAGTGTGGTGCTGTACAAGCCCTGGAGGAGGGGAATCGATCGCAAGAGGGAAGTCATGGCTACAGCAGGAGGAGGACTGGGTGACGAGGACAGGAGGCCAAGTTCGATGCTCGGCGGACTGGTGGAAGTGCAGGACGAGCTGTTGGTGGATGTATATACACTTCCTCCTCCTCTTCCTCCTCCTCCTCCTCCTTCGACAGACTGGCGAGACGACAGAGTGCTCAAAGGCGACGTGAAGACGGCTGTCCAGTCTGTCGGGGAGTGTTCGAGAGATCCATGTTGATTGATTGATTGATTGATTGATTGATCATCAGGCAGGGCAGGGCAAGGCAAGGCAGGCAGGCAGAAATGGAGCCATCTCTGCAAATACACATTGGAACGATCTAGATCGCCACGGATGTTGCCCTGACGGCCTGTAAGCCTCGTCTTCGCCAGGATGATCGAGGGAGACCTCGGGAAGGATATCCCGACGGATCTATTGTACGTACTATCTCTAATAATGTGGTGCTGACTGACGGACTGGCCAGGAGCTCTCTCTATCTGCTTCATGAAACTCGGAAAATGTAACATGCAGTACGACTGTGCATCATCACTTTTTGCCCCCTCGTGGTGAGAGAGAACTTCTCTGTCAATCCAGTCAGGACAGTAGGACAAAGTAGGCACAATTTTTTTTCTAGCCCTAAGGATATCTATGGAAAGATTCATCCATAATCACCAACAAGCCTTGTTTGTTGGGAGCGTACTAGATTTCTGCTCATCAGGAGTCCTGGCCCGGACAACGCCTGTCGCTTTTTGTGAGTAATACCGAAAATAAATCACTTTTGTTGGAAGGTCCCCATGTCACAAACTCCATGTAAGACATTCTTTAGTATCCTTCCCAGTCCCAGTCTGGGGTATATCGCATATCATTCGCCAGTAAAAACGCCGAAAAGCCACCCGATTGCACGCTCTCTAGGTCGGTGATTGGTTATTGAATAGATGTTTTAATGTTTTCTCCGCTTTCCGGTCTGGTCCTCGTCGACTGGTGGGCGATTTCTTCTTCTCGTATGAGATGTCTCCTGCTTCGGCGACGCGGAAAGAGGTGAGGGTGCTGGCACTGCTCTTGTGGCTTGCGTCCTTCATCAGCTCGTTCGGGCTCGAGGAATGAGGGATGGTGGTATGGTATGGCAAGACGAGATCGATGGACTTGTTGGTTGAGAAGGATGTTGTATACGGATTGTGTCGGTTTGCCAAGGGACGGTAAGAAGCATTGGACGCGACGGTGCCGTAAGAGCTGCTAGGCGAATGGACTAGGGAAGGGATTGTACTGCTGTCCGTGGTAGTCGTATGAGCCCGATGCATGCGCGGACGACTGGCACGAGCGAAGTCGGAGTAGAATTGTTCAAGGTAAGCTGTAGCCTCCGAGTCTCGTTTCCGGGAGCTAGCGTCGCTAGCGGCATCGTCCAAGGAGTAGGGATTCGAATCCGAGATGGACATGTCGGAGAAGGTGCATGAGAGTGGCCTGAGAACTGTGGGGGATCTTTGAGGCAGAATGTCGGCTGGAGGGTGGGATTCGAAGTAGGATGCGGCATTGTTGTTGAACATGCCGGAAGGCGACTTGACTGACTCGATGGATTGAACGGATGTCGGGCGAGAGGTGTCTTTTTTACGGCAACTGTGTCATGTTTGTTTAGTACAGGCCGTCTGCCAAGGAGCAGAGTATGGATGGAAGATGGACCCACGCTTCTGAGCAGTAGAGGATGCTGGAGCCGGGGGTAACGATCTGTTTCTCGCATGTGGCACAGAACTGCAGGAAGCTTGCCATGCCGACTTCCTCCTCGTCCGCGAAGTGCACCGCCTCCTCTGTGCCCACGACCTTCTTGCTCCACCCGGCGCCGGCCTTGGGCGAAGGCTGGCCGTGGTGGTGGGTGTAGTTATAGCTGGCTCCTCTCCTCAGTGGCGGTGGCTTTGTGGGTCGAGCATGCGGCGGTAGTGCCTTCCGGCCTCCCTGAGAAGAGGACCGAGCATGCTGGTGCTGGTGCGGGTGCGGGTGCTGGCGATTGCTCATTGGGCGGGTAGGAATATATCTCGCAGGCGGGAGCGGGTCCCGTTGCGAACAGACCTGAGGGCGGGGTGGATGCCAGTGCCAGAATATCGCTCGGAGGAATATCGCTCAGATGAATATCCCTCAGACGATCGGTTTTATGCCGAGCGTATGCAGGAACGGCACCGAGGCGGTGACAGCACTTCGCGAATGAGGCCGTGTGTACGTGGAGGGTGGAGGGTGGAGGGTGGAGGGTGGAGGGGTGAGGCTGGAGGGGCAGCGGGAACCAGCAGCGAGGGTGGAAGAACGAGTGTTGTTATCTGCAGTGGGCGGCAGAGTAGTCAGCCAAGGACCTTCTTCGGGTCTTGTTTTGGCAGGAGAGACCAGCGTACCTTTGGAGGTGTTTGATTCGAGTGACTGAGAGGACGGTCCTGATAGCGTGATAAGCTCTAGGCCCGCGTTATCTATAGCAGTCTTTGTCCGCTGGGCAGGGTAGGTATGCAGAAGCTTAGAAGATTACGGTGGACAAAGGGAGCGAGGGAGAGGGTCGCAAAGGGAAAGAGATGGGGTTTATAGTAGGAAGACTGACACGGTGGTGATGTTTTGGCATGCCTAAAACCTACTACATGTTGCTGTGGGCCACGGGGGGGGGGGCATTGTTGGAGGGCCAGCGGCCAGATCGGGAAGAATAGGTCTGTGCAAGGATGCCGAGCAGTCGTGGGCCTTTTTCCAACGTTCCAGCAAATGCACGGGCATGACGTCCCCACTACTGCGCTCTGTGCTCTGTGCTCTGTGCTCTGTGCTCTGTGCTGCCTGTGCTGCCTGTGCTGCCACAGTGCTGCTGTGCTCGACGCCATGCACCCTCGTCTGCTCGTGCTGCTTGGCGCCAATCATCAAACCAGTCGTCAAACCAATCATTAATGTCCGTCAGAGCGCGTTTCTCTGCTGTTGCTGTTGCTATTGCTGTTCTTAGCTCTTGGCCCGGCGAACGGATTGCGCGGTGTGCTGCAGCTTCGCGTGTCCATACACCACCACCACCACTACTACCACCACCACCTTGCGTTCTCCTTTCACATGACATGCTGATATCAGCCGAAGGACTTCTAGACTTCTAGACTTCCATCATGGTATTGCCGTCCCCTCTGTACCACTATGCTCGTCGACGTCTGCACCATCAACGTCCACGCTGCCCCTCCCTCCCTCCCCCCATCACGCTGCCCGCAGCATTCCTGGCGTCATCATCTCCCTCACCTTCGACATCACGTACGACAAAAACACCATCGATCGCACCATGTACTGCTGCACTGGAATCCGCACAATCCCGCATACCCACATGACATCAAACCGGCTGACGGCAGTCTCGCCTGCCGCGCACTGCGACTGCGGCCGCCATTCCAATTGGCAGCTCCCGATCCCACGTGTAGCACGTCCTTCTGCAGACCGTCCATCGCAGCGTCGTGTTGCGCTGTTGCTGTTGCTGTCGCTGTCGCTGCTGCTGCTGCTGCTGCTGCTGCTGCTTCACGAGCATCGTCTGTAGGCCGTCAACAGGCTATTCGAAGTTTAACTAATGAGGCATCGCTGCACCGCATGCTGGTAAGACACAGCTCAGCTACCCATACCCTCGCATAGAGCCGGCTCAAAATTCTCTTCAATCCCACGTCGGTCGAGCAGGATTCGCGTCGGCTGTTCCCGTCGGCGTTTCGATCTGCGAACCACAGACCGACCGCACATCAAATCCTGGGCCTCCGCAGACACGACAACTCATCAGCTCACCTCATTGTGGGGAGCGCGTGTTTCAAGACTCTCGAAGCCTCTTCGCCGCCTTGCGCGTGAGGCTGTGCCAACGGACTAGATTTACCGCACGCACGGCTACGACTTGGAACCCACAGTGCCCACCCCTTCCCCCTTACGAAACTCTCTGTTACGAGAGAAGATGCAGAACCACCCTTCTACTCGCTGCAGCCCGTCCGCGTCACCGATAACGTTAGGGGAGACTCCCCGAGCGCTGCAATTCGTACATTTGACTTTCGATCTCGTGCAGCGTTTGGGACTAGCAACGAAGCTCCCGTACAGAGGATTCGTGGACGCTCTCCATGCCAGCATCCGTCATTGACGATTATGCGTCGGACTGCAGTGAGCCCGAGCCTGGAACTGGTCTTTCCCGTGCCCTTCCGGTGGACCATTGTTGTCTCTGTAGATGCTATACCGGACGAGGACCTCACTCCGAAATTCTGTCAGCAACTCTGTTGCTCCATGCGCAAGCAATCACGTTAATCCCCGTGCCAAATCACCACCCTTCAAGGTGGAAAGTCAGGCAGAGTAACCCTTAGGGTTGTCCATTGCAGTGCAGCTATTCTCGCCGTCTGCAATCTCCACCCTGCCATTGCGGTGATAGTTACAGCTTCATCCCCCAATGGCAGGCTATGTCAACGGCTGCCACCGCTCGTTGTGAGCTGTGCGACTCGCTATGACCTTGACCTTTGCTAGCATTCTCGGGAACCAAAATGACCATCGACTGTGCAAAGTCGCCGTACATACACGAGTCTCAATCCTGATGGCTAGATGGACAGCCAGGGCATAAACCCAAAGAGGGTCTCGAAGCGCTGTATGCTGTAAGGTCGGTAAGCCGGACTTCTACTATAGTAACTACGAGAAGTATAACACCTAGGTTAACTAGATAGACCTCTACTTTCTCTTTAACCCTATAGAAGAACTATTAAGTCTATAACTTAATAATCTTACAATGTATAAGGATCACTTGTATAAGGCTTAATCGGTATTAGGCTCGTTAGTAGAGAGGTCTAGTAGAGGAAGAGTAAAGCGATAGAGTAATATAGTAACTTAAGGGATTGTATTCCAAGTAGTAAGATACTATAGTAAGTTAAACACATCGAGAGCTAGAGGTACTCTTAGTGTTCCTATATACTTCTATCTATAGCGGGTAAACTAATTAAACTAATTACTAAGTAGACTAATCAAACTAATCACTAAGTAGACTAATTAAACTAATTACTAAGTAGACTAATTATACTAATCACTCTCTTACTAACTGCCTAGTTAGAGCTCTACTATGTCTGCCTTAATTAGTCGTAGCTATAGGTAACGGTCCGATTAACTCGTAATAAGAACGTCTTAAGCCTATCTTTACTACTACCTTTTTAAGAGGACGTGTATAGTATTAGGTCAAACCTTTTCTCCGCGAATACCTCGACTCCGGCGATACGAAATTAGGAAACGGAATCTTTAAGTTATACTAACATCTTAAGACCTCTATAAAGACCGTGTTTAGTATATCTAACGAACAATCGACCGCCGTACGAGTTATTTAGTACCTTACGTAACGTACCTCTACTACCGAGTATACCGCTAAGTTCTAGGAACACGCTTAACTTACCGACTAGGACGACGAAGTACTTTAAACGATATACCGACGAGGACTAAAGGATAATATTAAGGACGAATTAATGCGCGACAGGCGATTAATCGAAGACCTAGGAGAACTAGTTTAGGTTACAATCGATCTTAACGACAAGCTCTACGAACGAGTAATAGAAAGGCGTTACGATTCGAAAATATTAGGACGCGCTAGGTACATTTCCGAAAGGCGACGCTAGGGCGATTACAACCTACGGTTTAATAAGACAAATTAATTACATTAACCCTACTATAGACCGTAGCCTATAGAACTCGACGTTACCTAGAAAGGTCGTAAGATACAAGGTAAGAACTCGCCTCGAAGGAAAAATGTAGGAAAACTAACTTACTATACCTATAGAAAAGAAGGACACATAGTACGGGATTGCCGCGGTAAGAATATAGTACGCCGCGAGTAGTTTAATATAATATAACTAAGATCGGGACGAGAAGTATATAATATACCTACCCTCGACGAGAAAAAGGAACCCCGACTCTTTAGAGTAATAGTACGTTATAAGGAAAAGTACGGTACCCTTTATTAGAGATACTATTACGACGATTCTTACTAAGAACATTATTCCTCGAAGATAGGAGTAGGATACTAGCTATAACGACTACTATTACCTATATAGGATCCGCGGCCCGATAACGACGAAGAAAGGACCGATAGATACCGACTTCTACCTATACCGGAGGAGCTACGTAGACTCGAGCTACCTATACCGGTTAGCGAGGAAGAGTTAGACAAGGAAAATCTAACGCCCGAGGAAGAACAAGACAGCGAGGAAGAAGGTAACGAACAGCTACCTTAGCTTCCGGAAGAACTAGAGATACCGGAATCCTCGGAAGAGAGCGATATTACGGAGGAAGACGACGACGGAGAAATTACAACCTTTACGGTAGACGCCCTAAGACAAGTACGGGAACTCGTAATCGCGATCGCGCGAAGTAATAAGGAAGTGTTTCTAAAGATTAAAGGAAAACGATACCTTAACCCTATCTAATTCGATAATATACTTTCTAGGATACGTTTCCTCGCCTAGAAGTACCTACGAATAGAGGTAGAGGAAGACTTTAGACGAATTATCTAGGAGAAACCCCTAATTAGAAGCATTATAACACCCTACGGGTATCTTATACCGAACAACGAAGTCGTTACCTAAGAAATGCGGGCCTAGATACGACGCTACGTAGAAGCATTCGCCTAGGCATAATACGTACAAAATCGCTAGGTATATAACGAATTACCGGCCGAGTAATAGATAGCCGAGGACCTCTATAAAACGAAAAGAAAGATCCGATAGTAGCTCGAACGACGCCGCTCGGGAAAAGGATTAACTCTCTAGGAATAAGCGACCGAAGAGAGTTTAATATCGTAACGAATGCTTAAGCATTAATAGTAGTCTTCCGTACGGAAGTAATCGTTAATAGCCGTAAGACATATACGCTAGTTAATTTAGGCGCTAGCGGGACATTTACTTCTAAATTATTTATAAAAGAATCCGGGATCGCAACCCGAAGGAAGAAAGACGGAGGGTATAAACTCGTCGTAGTAGACGGGTCACCCCTACCGAGTATAGAACGAGAGACGATACTATTACTACTAGCAATCTAATAGTACTACGAGGAACTAACGTTCGACGTCACTAAGATAGCTACTTATAATATCGTACTCGGAATACCTTAGTTAAGAAAGCACAACCTATCGATCGACTAGAAAGGAGGAGTACTTAGATTTAAGCGATACGATTATACGATCGACATCTACCCTACGTAGTAGTAGCGGTCGCTAGTAGATAAGTTAAGACAACTTAGTACGACGTAGTTTACGACGACCGGAATCTAGAGACTAGAACTAACTCGGATAGGTACTAACTAGGGTTAGAAGGGCTAAGAAGTTACGAGTAATAGTAGAATTCGTATACTACCTAATATCCCTAAAGAGTATAGCGGGTATAAGAGACTCTTTTAGGAAGAGGAAGGGAAAGACGCCCTATCTAAGCATAGACTATAGGATTACAAGATTAATATTTAGCTAGGGAAGCAGCCTCTATAGGGACCTATCTATCCGCTATTAGAAAAAGAGCTAAAATCCCTTAATTAATAGCTAAAGGAGAAACTAGCGAAGGGATAGATCCGGAAATCCACTTTAAGCGTAGGATCTCTAATTCTCTTCGTACTAAAAGTAGGAACCGACAAACTACGACTAGTTATCGATTATCGGAGACTAAATAAAGTTACAATTAAGAATAGGTATCTATTACCTAGTATCGAAGAAGTATAAGACCGCCTTACTAGAGTAGACTAGTTTACGAAGATCGACCTATAGGAAGCGTTCTTCTCGATTAGAATAGTACCTAGAGAAGAGTAGAAAACCGTATTTAGAACGAGATACGGACTGTACGAGTTCCTCGTTATGCCTATAGGACTTACGAACGTACCTATATTATAGTAGGACCTTATTAACGAAACGCTCCGAGACCTCCTCGACGTTTACGTTATATACTACGTAGACGACATTCTAGTCTATACGAAAGGTTTACTACAAAAGTACGTATTATAAGTCTAGGAAGTATTTAAACGACTTAGCGCTACCGACTTTAAGACAGCGCCTAAGAAATGCGAGTTCTATAAGAAGGAAGTCAAATTCCTAGGATTTATTATTAGTACGTAAGGAATCCGAATCGATCTAAAGAAGACCAAGTCTATCGAAGAATAGCTACAACTATAGAACGTTAAGGACGTACAATCGTTCTTAGGCCTAGCGAACTATAATAGAAAGTTTATCTAGGATTACTCGAAGACGGCGAAACCTCTTACGGAGCTTACCTAAAAGGATAAGAAATAGGAATGGAGCATACGATAACGATAAGCATTTAAGAGACTGAAAGAACAATGCGCTTTAGTACTAACATTACGACTGTTCGACGGAACGAAGCCCGTATAGATCGAAACCGATATATTAGACATAGCTATAGGAGTATGCCTTACGTAGGAGCATAATAGGAAGCGACACCTAGTAGCCTACTACTTAAGAAAGATAACGCCTATAGAAGAGAACTACGACATCTATAATAAGGAGCTACTTATAATCGTTATAGCATTATAGTACTAGAGAGTCTACGTAGAAGGAGTACTAGGACTAACGATTCTTTCTAATTATAAGAATCTTACCTACTTTACTACGACAAAGTCGCTAACACGTAGGCAGGTCCGCTAGTCGGAACTACTCGGTTAGTATAAGTTCGATATCCGTTATACCCTAGGACGCGACAATAGTCGGGCCGACGTACTAAGCCGACGTAGTAACTATATAGAAGGAAAGGAACAAGTATAGCATAACATACTTAGAACAAACTAAGACGGGAGTCTAAGCGCTAATACGAAGGAATTTAACAATATTATCTAGGTTCTTTAAGACAACGAAGAACAATTCCTAATCTAATAAGGGAAATATTAGGTACTAAAGGATCGCGAGGAAGAATGCATTCGACAACATCACGATAACCTAGAGTACGGATATCTAGGAGTTACGAAGACAATAGAACTAGTCTAGCGAAGTTTTAGCTTTCTATATATAAGGTACCGAATCGTAGTATATATTAAGAAGTGCGTAACATATAATTAGAACAAGGCCTCGAGACACGCTAAATACGGACACATCTAGTTTAGAACTCTACCTACTTAACTATAGGACGAAGTTATAATAGACTTTATCGTTAAACTACTACCCTCGAAGGACAAGGTTAACGGAGTCACCTACGACATAATCTTAGTTATAGTAGATCGACTAACGAAATATATATACTTTATTCCTATAACGGAAAAGGCTAGCGTAGAGCAACTCGGATACCTTATACTAGACAGACTAGTACGATACTATAGCATCCTAGAAGTGTTTATTATAGATAGAGACAAGCTATTTACTTCGAACTACTAGAAAACACTTATAGTAACAATCGGGATACGCTATAAGCTATCTATAGCCTATTATCTATAGACAGACGGCTAGACAGAAAGAACGAACTAAACACTAGAACAATACCTTCGACACTATATAAATACTATATAAGACAATTAGGCAACACTCTTACTAATAGCGTAGCTTGTACTAAACAACTATCGTTCCGAAACTACTAGATATACACTATTCTTTACTAACTTTAGGAAGAATCCGAAGACGTTTAGATTGTAACAAGACTAAATAAGACTATACCCTAATACGGAAAAGGCAATAATCGCTTTAGAAGACCTGAAACGGGTGTATAACTAGTTACAATCCGCAATCTAAGACACTTAGGACCGGATTTTAGGGCTATATAACAAGAAAAGAAAAATAGCGCCTTAGCTAAAGAAGGGGGATAAGGTCTACCTCCTAACTAAGAACTTAAGAAGTCGGAAACTAACGAAGAAACTAGACTACGTTAAAGTCGGGCCATTTTTAGTTAAAGAAGCCCGAGGACTAGTAAACTACCGACTTAAATTACCGGTAGATACGAAGATTTATCCCGTGTTCTATATCTCTCTTTTAGAACTAGCCGACGCCGAGACACCTTACTAGGAAACATTTTTATATATACTAGAAGAAGAAAACGAATTCGAAGTCGAAAGGATCCTAAGAAAGGAAGGTTAGCGATATCTTATTAAGTAGAAAGGATACGACGAATTAGAAAATACCTAGGAACCGGAGAATAACCTTACGAACTATCGCTAGCTACTTTAGCGTTTCTACTAGAATTATAAGGCAGTTACTAGAACTCCGAGTTAGGAATAAGGGACAAATCGGCCTAAGAAGTAAGAGGCATCTAGAAAACGTCCTCTAACTCCGAAGGGTTTCCCTCGGGTTCTAGTAGGAAATCGGAAGGCGCGTTAAGAGCCTTAGGACTCTCCGAAGGCAGCTTCTATAGCTTAGCGAACTCCTTAGAGATTGCCTTCTCTTCCCGCTTCTCCGCCGACCGAAGTTGTTTACGAAGACGATAGACACGAGCTATTGCCTCCGTTACCTTTTCCTTAGTATCGTCTAACTTACGCTTTAGTTAACGACGCTAGTTCCGAAGACGCTCCTACTCGGTCTAAGTTACCGTAACGTCGCAATTCTTATAGCCCTTACGAACACACTCCGAACAGTACCTAAAACGAATATCTACTATATACCGAATCGGATTCTCCTTCGACGATCGTACTATACGGTAGGTAGAACATAGAGACGGTATTTCGCGACCGTTACTTTCGATTAAAGACGCTTGTCTTTTACGACGCTCCTTTCGAGTTAGCGGCTCTCTACTTATAGCGGGAAAGGGAGGAAAAGAAGACACCTACTAAAAGATTTAGCTCGGGACGCGCTAAAGATAAGAGGGGGGATAGTATTACGGATCGAAATAGTAGCGAGGCTACTTCGAGAATTCCTAGCTAGTAAAATAGAAGAGAGACCCTACGCGTGTAGCGAGGCACGTTACGTATTACGTGTTCGACTAACGGGAGGAGCCGGTAGTCGAACTCTATAAGGGGGACTACGTAACAAGTTCGACCGTTCGACTAGAGCTCTAGTCGGATAGCTAGTTTCTAGCTAGTAGGTAGGACAAGTTAGTCGAACTAGAAATCTATATAGGAACACTAAGAATGCCTCTAGCTTTCGATATGTTTAACTTACTATAGTATCTTACTACTTAGAATATAATCCCTTAAGTTACTATACTACTCTATCGCTTCACTCTTCCTCTACTAGACCTCTCTACTAACGAGCCTAATACCGATTAAGCCTTATATAAGTAATCCTTATGCATTGTAAGATCATTAAGTCATAGACTTAACATTCGACTACCGGCTCCTCCCGTTAGTCGAACACGTAACACGTAACGTGCCTCGCTATACGCGTAGGGTCTCTCTTCTATTTTACTAGCTAGAAATTCTCGAAGTAGCCTCGCTCCCACTTCGATCCGTAATAGACAAGTTAGTCGAACTAGAAATCTATATAGGAACACTAAGAATGCCTCTAGCTTTCGATATATTTAACTTACTATAGTATCTTACTACTTAGAATATAATCCCTTAAGTTACTATACTACTCTATCGCTTCACTCTTCCTCTACTAGACCTCTCTACTAACGAGCCTAATACCGATTAAGCCTTATACAAGTAATCCTTATATATTGTGAGATTATTAAGTTATAGACTTAATATTATACTACTAAGAGATAGAGGCTGTAATATAGGCTACTAGATAGTTAGGCTTAGGTTGCTCGTATATTATCCCTTTATACTAGCCCTACTTACGAAAGATTCGCTTATAAAGAGGTATAGCCCTATTAATATAAGCTTTATCTGTCTAGTAGATCTATTACTAGAGGCTATCTACTATCTCTAACCTATATTAGTACCTATACTTAATCCTAAGCCTCTTATTAGTTTGTAAGATCTATATAGTACTCTACCTCTTACTACGTAGTATTAGTAGCTACCTTTCTTTTATTCTCCTTCTTAAGGTTATATATAAGCTTTATAAATACTTTTAAAAGAAGCTATAGTCCTACTTCCTTAGATCTTAGGGCCCTTTAGCTATTATCTTAATCTAGTAGCTAATATCCTTCTTTTTAGGTCTAGGAGCTTCCTTTCGTAGTAGCCTTCGGCTAGAGGATAGCTTAGCTTCTACTCTAAGTTCTATACGTTAGTAGAGCTATTTACTAGCTATTAGGTAGGTAGGGTACCATTCTTCGTAGTTATATAGCTAGTAGAAGTATTTAAGTGTGTATTAGTCTCTATATGCATTCTAATAGTTAAAAAAACGGGTTCTATATAGTGTCTTAAATTACCCTAGTCTCTTTAACCTTTCTAAATAATTTCTAAGTATAGGAGGCATAGTAGTAGTAATACAGAGCCTTCAAAAGTGGTGTTAGTAGGGAGGTTTGGTATGCCAAGCAACTAGCGTCAATCTATCCTAATTTGCGAACCCCTGTGGTACCGTTACGACTCTCCAGGATCGCGGGACCGAACACCTGGGAGCCAGGATCCTTACCTGAAACGACACCTGCGTTGACCTGCCAACAGACGTCTGCGATGGAGGGCCAATGTGAAGTTTCTCCTTTGTCTGACCTCCTGAACATCTGACTGACCGGTGTCTATAATGATATGTCGATGGTGATTGAATAGTCGAGCGCTCGAGGTAAGCTCCCTGGCTGGAAATGGCAAGTTCTCTGGACAAGGGAGCTGGTGATTTCGAGGACGACTACCAAAACTTTATTGACCAGCTCGGAGTAGAGATTCCGAAGGACGTCAAAATGACCTCAGTCGGCAGAGATCCTGCTGCGCTCTTTCCCCTCTTCGCCGCCGATATGCGAATTGCGGCTTCTAACCGAGTACAATCGATACGAGACGCAAGAACACAGTGGACTTGGTACTTGCCATCAAGGCTTCTCGGGTACGTTCGCAGTCTCACGCGCACCCTGCTGGATACACACAATTTTCAGAGGCACAGCGGTGGCACAGAAGAGCGAGGTCTGCTCGCGCATCGGTTTCGGCTTGAAGTCCTGCTCAATGACTTGGAATTCGTTGCGGACTAGCGAATGCAATTCAGTGAAAAGGCGAGATCAAGATCAGGACAGTCTGCACACTCACAGCAAGCATTCCTGAAGGTTTCGAATGTGTCGGCGTTGCGTACAGCGCCAGAGATCAAGACTTTTACGTTAGGCCGCAGTTCGAAGAGGAATCGCAGAGTGGCCACGAGCGCTGAGATTGCGGTTTTCTCGTACGTCTGCGAGAAGCATCAGCGTAGATCGTGACTGTATATCACACGCGAGACTTGCGATATCGGCTCCAATTACGAGATCATAGGGATGAGATTCGCAGTCTTCCTCCACCCAGGTTCCCTTCAAGCCATGGCCCCATCTCAATATACTTGTGTTGACTCTCTGGCCGTCATCCAAGCCATTGAGAAAGAGATTCTCCCGTAGCGCTTCAACGACGCCTTCATCGCCATCCGTTGTTGTTACGTGCCTTGCATGCAGATGTTTCGCGGCCAATATCGAGAGAAAGCCAGTCCCGGCTCCGAGTTCCAGGATGCTGTTGTCCCGTATCAGGTCTTGACCAGCGGCACTCAGGAAATACGATCCGAGATGCAATGCTGCCTCCCACGTCCGAAATCCAGTAGTCAGAGAGCCGGAGATGAGATGACGACGCTCTAGAAGTGTGATGGTAGGTTCTTTGGCGAATTCTTCTCCTCCCTCTGCCGGTGATGGAAGGCATGTAAAAGTCACATAGGATTTCTGCTGCACTGCTGTGCTTTCTGCAGGGAGTTCGGCGGACATGAGAGAAGAGAGACGAGACATGAGGTCGTCAGAGATTTCCTGACAAGCAAGAAGCAATCAGAACAGAGGATGAAGAAGTGGCAGTGGGCGGCTGAAGGCGAATGAGATAGTCGGAGCAGATGAAGAAATACCTACATCCTCTTCGGGGTCTTCATTGGCTTGCTCAATCTTACTGAGCAACGGTTTGAGCACCCGAAGCTGATAGCGCTCGAGCGGGAGCATTGTGTGCTTCTCGCTGTCGAATAGATTCGAATACAGCCACGATTGGACTTCAGCATCCCGCAATAGCTGCTTTGGAGGCCATGCTAAAAAGTCTGGTTCAAATAGTTGCAAGTACTGCCTTCGGAACAGCAGTAGTTGCGGATCCATTTCGTGGTGGAATGTAAGCGTAGCTGGCGAAGTGAAGTCTGGAGACTCGGGGAGTGATGGCACGTGATTGACTGTAAAGGTTGTTGCCGACTCCCGACGCCAAGACTTCCTCGCCGCACCAAATTTCCTGCGCTCGACGAAGACCTCTGGTTGTCTGATATCACAAGCCCGGCGAGCGCTCACTCTCAACGACACCCTCCCACCGACATCTCCCATCACCACCGTAATCATGTCGGAAGGCCAAGTGACTCTGCGCACGCGCAAGTTCATCCGCAACCCACTGCTGGGCCGCAAGCAGATGGTCGTGTGCGTACAGCGACAACGCCATCCCCCTCCATCCATCCCCCGCGAAGTACTAACATGGGAATTCTCACCGCAGTGACGTCCTCCACCCATCGCGCGCCAACGTCTCCAAGGACGAGCTCCGCCAGAAGCTCTCCGAGCTGTACAAGACCAACAAGGACCAAGTCTCGGTCTTCGGCTTCCGCACCCAGTACGGTGGTGGCAAGAGCACCGGCTTCGCCCTCCTCTACGACTCCGCCGAGGCCATGAAGAGCTTCGAGCCCCGATACCGTCTGATCCGCTACGGACAGGCCACCAAGATCGAGCGCGCCTCGAGACAGCAGCGTGAGTGCACCCTGCATGTGCGATGGATTGAGACTTCGGTCTCCTTTGCGAACATGGATACCACACCTTGTGTTTCAACGGGACAATACACTGATGAGGCGGTGGGATACAGGCAAGCAGAGAAAGAACCGCTCCAAGGAGTTCCGCGGTACGGCCAAGACAAAGGGCGCCGCGAAGAAGGACAAGAAATAGATGGTGGGCGGGATGCTCTCGCTGGAAGTGGGTGTGGTTACGAGTCTTCTTGCTGCCTGCATGGTCTGGTGCGAAGACAGCACTGGCTTGGCGTTGATGATGCTGAGGGTTTAGGTACACCACGGGCAATAAACGATTCGATACCCACCGATCTCTTGCTTCAGCGCTCCATTTGCTTTTTCCTATGTTTCTACTACTACCAGCGGCGACACAAAGGACGATCTACTGGGCCTGATAATCTGCTTTCCTTGCCCACGTAATATAATGGCACAGTCCTTGCATCGGCTGCCTCAAACATACTCGTCTTGCTGTGGGCTTTGAGATTGCCTGCCTGCTCGAAGACTGATGGAACCCATTATCATCGCAGGTCTCGTATCAATGTGACGATCTTCCAGCATGAACCCCCTTTCCGCTTCCTTCGACTCCTCTTCGCCTCCGGCTACGTCCTCCTTGCTGCGTACAGAGTGACCCAGTGTTCCCTTCATGACGATTACGGGAAACTCAAGACCCATCCGTGCGAGCGGACCCGGGATCTCGTTCTCGCAGTAGCCCCAATTGGCACACTAACACTCACTCACACTTGCAATGTCGGTCCGTTCATTTCTTCTTGGGCATCGCTAACCCCCAAGTCAAACTCGAGCGAGCGAGCAGATCTTGTCGGCGCAGCCGCTCCTCGCTTGAAAGGAGGCAGGAGAACTGTAGCTCGGAAATACCCCCCTTGAACTTCTGAACACAGCCTCAACCCATGACATACGCGAGAAGCCGGATCGAAGAAAGACGAAAAGATGCGCGTCAGAGTTCTCGAAAGATCATCTCTCCGAGCGAACTTGACAGCAGGCTGTTGAACGGGCTCGTGGTGGCGCTCCGATTTATCGTGCCTGGATACATACCCACAGGACGTCTCCGGCGATGTAGTAGCTGACTGACAATGATCTCTAGCGAAGCCTTCCGCGGCAAGTGAGAGAAGCTGAGATGCTCACGTGTCCTTTTGGCTGTGACAGTCTTTTCGCACGCAGGACCAGAAGGACAGGTCTTGGGATTTCGGGACAGCGACGGGAGTAGGTATGCTCTTGCAGCAGCAGCAGACGCCGAGCTTGACTCAAATGTATGTGTGGGAGTTCGCATGCGATTGCAAGGTCTTCATCGCAGGGATCGCAGTGCAGTACGCCTTCTTGGAGTCGTGGGCGCCTTCTCGGCGCTCCATCTTGTCTTTGTCGCACGCGAAACCGATTCCTCATGTCGTTCAAGCGGCATGCGCGGGGCTTATACGTGGTGTCAACGGCGTTTGCACTTCAATCTGGACGTGGAGAAAGCATGGGACCACGCGAGACGCAAGTACTAGCCGTGAATCTTCGTCTTGGTGGTGGATTTCGCAACTTTGAAGCCGACGATAGATGGGCCATCACTTGCGCACCAGATCCCGTGGAGCTGATAGTGGCTGTTGATGTGCGTCTTGTGGTGCCTTTGACGAGAGGTAGACGCAAGCGGCCTTCAACTCGGCGAGCTATACGCGTATATCACAAGTTTGAAGTTCTTCGCCTTTGCTGCTCACCCGCCACTAACCCATTCCCATCCCCATCCCCGTCCTCGTTCCCACACTGATTCTGTTCTTGCCATATGCACCGCACGCGCGGAACCTTAGTTTGTTGTCCGTGCCCCGAGTCTATCGGTACCCTACCGCTGTCCGAGGCAAAGCCATGACGAACGTATGAGCAATGCCTTGAGAATTGGCGGGAAGCGGTGCTTGCAGAGCTTCCACGTGGGAAGAGCGAGCACTTGCAGATCGAAACGCATGGCACCTGGAAAGCTGAGGCGGTGTGGCTTCATTGATCAGCCGATCACTCTGAAGGGTGAAGACCGGGTTTTCCTGACAAGGAGCTGGAAAGGCGAAGACTCGAGATTTGGTGATTTGCCGAACAGACTTGTCTATCACTGCTGGACCTCAGCCCGCTGGTGGAGAATGAGCTCCTGATCAAGTATCGCCTTCTTCTATCGCAATGCAAAGGTGCTGCGCCACGGGGCAACTTCGTGGTGCATACGTCGGAATGGGGCGGGTTGTAGACAATGGAGTCTCTTGCAGTCACGCAAGGTCGTGAACCACTTTGATGTGCTTCCAGTGACATTGAGCGGGCATGGTACCTCGACATTCAGCTCGAGTGCAGCGAGACCTTTTGAAAGTCTCTAAGCTAGATGACACTCGAATGGAGCAAGCATGCCATCATGCTCTCCAATTCGTATTCCAACTCGCAGAAAGCCAATGAAGAGTTGTCGACAAGCGGACGGCGTGGCGGGCTGTCTGGCTGGGTGTTGGCCGTCAGCATAGTTCTGGTTTGACTTCGTGTCTGCAGGCTCAAGGCATCGTCAATGAAGTTACGAAAACTTCGGCCGCAGTGTCGTTGTGGCAGATGAATCTTTTTATTGGGTTGGGTGTGGTGTCAAGACGAAAGAGAGAGGAGAAGGTGCTGGCCGCATCCAGTATAGGTGGTGCAGGAGCGCAGAAAGCACAGTCTTTGCAGCAGAAACCTGCCTTTCGATGCGGGTTGTGACTGGCGCAAAGTCAACAGAATTGTTCATAAGCAGCTAGTGCGGCGAGCTACGGGGCCCGAATAGATGCATTGCCATCAAGCTACCGATTGCAAGTCTGATTCTAGCATATATAGGCTCCAGGCATCTTCAATGCAGTCACAAAATGCCGCCGCAGACTCTGTGTGGTGAATGAGTCTTGGCATCGCGACGTAGCGACCCGCAGTAGAGGTTTGAGATGGGTTCTGGCGCTCGCTCGGTTAGGACGGAGGGTTACCGCTTGTATTTTCCAGGCTGAGGGAAGGAAGCGAACTCTTTCAAGACTTCGCCGGGACGGCGTGTAAAAGCGCGGTCGCTGCTGCGGCCATCAATCGCAGGCAACCTTGTCGTTCGGTTTCCTGGCAAAAGGAAAGATAGCTGTTGGCCGTCGAGTCGGATCGCGGGCACCCGATTGTCGTTTCCAGGCTGAAAGAAAGAAGGGCTCTGTCAAGACTACGCTACGGCCGCGGGTGAGTGCTGTGGCTGCGGCCGCCAATCGCAAACAGCGTCGATATGTGAGTTTCCTAGCAAATGAAAAGAAGACGCCGGCCGCAAGATATATCACGGGCATATCGTTGTCGTTTCCAGGCTGAACGAAAGGGTGGTGGTGATGACTACGCTGGAGCGGCGTGTAAGGAGAGAAGAAGAAGTTTGAAGCCGAATGAAGTCTTGTGTGATTGTCAAGATGGCCAAGAAATCGCGTAACTCGAACGGCAGGCGACGATGAGAGACCTGAGACAGAAGGCTGGTGAGTTGGTGTTCTCGAAGGTCGTAGAATTACCCAAGGCAACGGCAGCAGTGATTTCGATATGTCCCTCAATCGACCATCTGAGAGATTGAATTGGCATCTATACATACAGACGCCCTTGAATGAGCGTGACGATTTCTTCGTTTCCCAGGAGCGAGGTTAGATATTAGAAACAGACTGCCAATGCTTTTAAGAATCGTGATCGGGAAGTCCTTCTATTCCCTCCAGCTGTGCAGAGTTAAAGGGTTACTTTTGCAAATCCAATCAGAACCAGGCGCGGGCGTTCCCAGGCGACGACAGTAGAACGCTGTCATGGCATCAGGCAGCAAATGTCGACCCGCATCGCAGCATTATCTTTAATTGTCGTTGTGAGTCGTGACGCGAACCAAAACCATGCTCATCATCAGAAGCACCAGAAGGATGAAGGAAGACGGAAGGGGAGACGTTGGCTTAAACTTCTAGTAGGGGAAGTTGGTCGGCAGATCTCCACCACACACACCAAATCCGGGTACCCGGTCGAGCCGCCGGTGTCCGAGACGTTTCAGGGTGTTGACTCGATCGCGGTCACCTTTTCCTCCGCAGCTACATGCAAAACATCAACGAACGAGCGACCTTCGACCGAGAAGACCGTTTCCGCTGGAGAGCTGTCATTATAAGCACGAGAAGCCACTTCGTAGCTGCATGCCCATGTTCCAATGGAACACTGGCATGGCGGCCTCCTTAGGGCATGGAGTGTTTGCTCCGCCCAGAGTCATGTGCCACGAGCTTCAAGGCGTTGTTAAGCTCTCGATCACGGGGACAGTCTAGGACGCACAAGTTTGCCAACTTACCGAACATACGCACGGAGATATGGCAGTTCACAGTAACACAAATCCAACCCCATGTCGGTGCCTGGTATCAGGTCCCTCGTGCACAATGTACACGACAGAATCCACGCCTCTGTCTCGCCACACATGGGCGTGTTCGAGTGGTAACGTCACGAAATGGAGACTAAACAACGCCTTCATTCCGGTCGCTGACGTGGACTGATGCACATGCTATCGCGGGTGGCATTCTCCTTCGGTGCAAGAGCACTCTTCACCACCTTCGCTACCAAGTTTCCTGCTTGTATCTTCCGCCTTTCTCCATAAGATCGAGATACGCTTCGGCTTCTTCCATCGACTGCATCGCACCATGGTCAACCATCGCATCCAGGACTGCTTGCCTCACACCCTTGGGCATGTTACCAGAAGACCCGCATACATATATTTTCCCGTTTTGCTTCACAAGCGCATCACACATGTATGCTCCATGACCCCTGATCTGATCTTGCACATACTGCTTCGGCTTATCTTTATCTCTTGAAAAAGCGGTGTGAACAGCTAGGCCTTCAGTCTCGGCAAACTTCTTCCACTCATCTCGGAAAAAGTAGTCCGCATGCTCGCTGCGACAGCCAAAGAACAGGACGTCGCCCTCGAGAGGTTTCCCAGCCTTGGCAACGCCAGGTGTGTGAGCCCACGAGAGTCGCTGATGAATCATGGATCGCATAGGTGCCAATCCGGTCCCAGGCCCGATCATGATGACAGGTGCTTCCATCTCGGAGGGCTGCACATCGAGATAGCCAGCCTCTATTCCGATGTTTATTTGCTGTTGGTCTTTCAAGGCGGTGACGTATCGTGTGCACACACCATAGCGTCTCCGCCATTTGATGATGGGGCTTGGCGGGTCTACAATGGCGATCAAGAGCTGGATTCTTGTTCTGCCGCTGTCGTCCGTCCTCAGAGCTCCGCCACTGGCGATGCTGAATTGACGTCCACGGATCAATGGGAGAGCGGTCAACGCATACTGCCACGGGATTTTGACGAGCGTGAAGTCCATCATCGCCTCTAGGATCGTGCGCTTGGGCCGCGTGGTGTAATCCCACAATTCGTCGATCAATTCGGGGTTCGCCAACTCCGCCAACCTTTCCTTCTGGTAGGCCTCATCCTCGGTTTTATCACTGGCAAAATATAGCAACCCAGCAAAGAAAGACCTCCGAGGAATCGACATGATGTCAAGGACATTCTCCAGAAGCCATCTAAGAGTAATTTTAATGTTTCTTAGGTCAAGATGGCGTAGCGGAGAGGGAGTAGATGTCGCATCTCCCTCCCTCTGACTGCTGGTGATGAGGCTTAGCGGAATGTCGGCCATGTCCTCCCACTGCATGAGCTTGATGAATGCCTGGACATCTTCAGGAAAGTTCTTGGGATATATAACAGCTACTGCTCCTGGGCCATACGTGACTGTCTCCTTAACTCGCAAATCCAGAAGCCTCACGTCTTGGAAATGGTTCGACGGCGTGATGCGATCGTTACGCTCTAATGTTGCAATGTATGAGTTCCTCACAGGCAATAGGTCAGTGGACGGCTCGCCTGTCTCCTTCAGCGCCTCGGGGCTCTTAGATGGGGCCCCTTGGACTTTGATAGATGATGCGCAGCCATCTAGAACTGACAATTTCCACTTAGGTTCAATAAAGAGGTCTTCTGGTATGGGCTCCAAGCCATCGGGCAGCGGGAACGTCTCCAAGAGCTTGCCTTTGAGCTGGACTATCCATTCTCGAAAGCCAGCGCTGTGGCCCTCTGGATGCTGTTCATTGCCCTCACCTCGCTCGCAGAATGTCTTCGCACCCAGCTGGAGCAATCTGCCTTGCAACAAACGATGCGCGACATTATACTGCGCGTAGGAGCTATCGCCAAGACCGAAAGAAGAAAAGCGAAGCTTCCTCAAAATGCCAGGCTTAAGCGCGCTGCTCAGCAGCGTCTTCCAAAAGGCGCGGGCATTTTGTGGCATCTCACCTTGGCCGGTGGTGGATATCGCGAAGAGCACCGCGGTTGGTTTCACTACGTCTCGTAATTGGACGGAATCTAGATCGAGTACGGTGGTGTCAAAGCGAAGTCGTTCGGTCAAGTGAGCGATTTCTGATGCTACATCTTGCGCATTGCCGGTCTCTGAGCCGTAGAGGATCAGAGCGGTACGACGGCTCAAGGCATTTGATGGTCTGGCGTTTGATTAGTTGATGCACTGCAAATTTGAATAGGAGCGATGGGAGCGTAAGGTACGTAGTCGGATACAGCTGCCTCATGTGCGTCAAGGTGGCCCTTGACATTCAAGCACAAGGCAAGGAATACCACAATAGAAAGGGAAGAGCATGTCAACGTACCGCTGATTTTGCCATCCTTCAGTCGAGCCTGCCAACTGTGGCTGGCCGGCCCTTTCCATCGATTCTGCGCAATATACTGCTCGAGGAGAGCATCTGGTTCGTGGCGCTCAAAACGGCGCTGTGTGCTTCAGCTGGTGCGGTGAATAACGTGAATGGTCATATGCAAGCGTCGTGGCGGAGAGATCGCAAGTGAAGGCTGTCATGGGACATCCACCAGTTGCACGCGACTCTTTCCCGTGCGTGGCGGTCACAGATTATCTGGCCAATGAGGAAGGAGGACCCTGGCTCTTGGCGCTGCGCTAAAATTTGGAAACCACCAGCTTCCATCTCTTGCCTCCTGGATCTGCTTTCTCCAGCAACAAGTCAATCCAGTTCATCAACACCACCCAAACAACCCAATCTCACGGATCTTGGCCACGTAGCTAGCCACCAACTCTCCGTAAGTTTCTTAGCGACATTCTGGTGACTGTCTCGCTGGGCGCATGTGACTGACTGGAGTGTGCGCAGCTCGTCAATTCATCAGTTTCCACCACAACACGGCGGACTCGGGCACCCAGTTCCCTTAACCCTCACACGAACCGATCAGCCAGTTCCACAAACAAGACCTTTCGTGTCATCAACACCATCAGAACTATGTCTGTCGAAGCTGCCACCGCCCAAATGGCAAACACCTCCCTCAACGAGCCTACCGGCACCGCCGAAGGCGCCAGCGTCGGTGCTGGCGGCGACAAGCCGATCAACGCCTCGCAGAACGAGGCTGTCATCGCCAGCGCCGCGGAGGGCAGGAGACTTTACATTGGAAACCTCGCTTACGCGACCACCGAGGGAGAGTTGAAGGAGTTCTTCAAGGACTACCTTGTGTACGTGGGCACCTGCTCTGCATGAGACGGGGAAAGAGCATTGGCTGACATGTGACACAGCGAAACCACTTCCATCCCAACCAACCCACGCACCACGCGTCCCGTCGGCTACGCGTTCGTCGATGTGTCCACGCCTACCGAGGCCGAGCGCGCCATCAACGAGCTGAACGGCAGGTCGATCCTTGACCGCAAGGTCTCGGTTCAGCTTGCTCGCAAGCCAGAGCCAGCCGACGCCAAGCCAGCCGCGGACAATGCCGAGCTCGGCGAAGGTCAACAGCGTCGCCGCTCATCGACTCGTGGTCGCGGCCGCGGCCGTGGACGTGGAGGACGTTCTGCTCGTGGAGGACGTAATGGCCGCAAGATCAACGGCGAGACTGACACAGATGCCGACGGTGCCAACGGACCAACCAACGTTCCAGGCCAGGCCGCTCCCCTGACGGCCACTACCAACGAGGCACTGACTGGAGAAGCTGGCGACGAGGGCATCACTGCGGATGCGAAGAAGAATGGCAAGACCGATGCCAACCGTCCCCGCAAGCAGCGCGGCCCACCAGAGGACGGTGTGCCAAGCAAGACGAAGATCATGGTCGCCAACTTGCCATATGATCTTCGCGAAGAGAAGGTGCGATCTGCTGATATCCAAGGCTTCCAAACCGTTTAAGCTGACATTGCCTCTTTACAGCTCCTTGAGATCTTCTCGGACTACTCCCCAACTTCTGCCAAGATCGCCCTTCGTCCCATCCCGAAGTTCATGGTTCGCAAGCTCCAGGCCCGCAACGAGCCACGCAAGGGACGCGGTTTCGGTTTCGTCACGCTCTCTAGCGAAGAGCTGCAACAGAAGGCGTGCGCCGACATGAACGGCAAGGAGATTGAGGGTCGCGAGATCGCCGTTAAGGTCGCGATCGATAGCCCCGGCAAGGAGGACGAGGACCCGAACTCCTTGATCGAGGGCGGCGCGGACACCGACGCTCAGCCATCGACTGCTGAGGGCTCCGCCAACGTCAACACGGCCACCGCTTAGGACGACCACTCACATACCCACATCAAGTCCGACGGCCACTCACAAATTACTTCACTCACTCACGACCGGCCGCATTCGATCTGGCTTATCTGATATAAGCTAACGTGGTGCAGAACACCCGGGCATGTGAGTTGGTCTCGGACGGAATGGCTGGAAAGCACACAACGACAACATAGATCTTGGAGTTGCATGCATTCTGACCTAGTATTTGCCATTCTGCGGAAAGCTGTATTCGACGAATATGTAGTGTAAGATCCAAAAGAATTGAGTAAACTGGGGCAACCTGGTGGCTGTTCCATCACCCTCTTCTCGTTCCTACGTGCTTGCTGCTTTCTTTCTGTGTCGACCGAGTAGAGCAGATCCATAATGGAACTCACCGTCAATATTTGATTATGTGCAGGGATCAGGCGCCGAGGCAACGCTAAAAACCGGACCTGCAGAAGCTCTTGGGTCTCTCTGTCGTCACCTTGCCTCGTGGGGTCTTCCTCCGCCAACATCGCGACAACACCTTAATAACTGCGGCGCGTCCTGTACCAACTACCCTCACCGAACGACGGCACACCATATTATGAAACGCGCTGTATGCACGCGACCGCGATGACACAATACGACAAGCTCAAGGTTGCTGAGCTCAAGGACCTCGTCAAAGATCGCGGAATCGCGTCTACGGGCCTGAAACTCAAGCAACACTACATTGATGCTCTTGTTGCCGACGATGGCGTGAAGGAAGTTCGAGATGGAGAAGAGGCTATAGAAGGTAAGCCAGGAGATGAGGAGGCTGCAGCGCCCGATGAGGACGGAGAGCAGAGCAGAGCAGAGGAGAAAGCAGAGGACGTTGAGGCGACGGGTTCCGCTCAGGTCGAAGAGCCGCCTGCCGACGACTCGGAAATGGTTAACAAGAGGAAGCGACGGAGTCCTACGCCGCCCGTGCGGGAAGACAGTAATAGCAAGAAGTTGAAAGTCGCGGATGAGAAGGAGGATGTAAACATGAATCTGCCTGAGGATGCGCCGGTGCCCTTGGGAGCAGAGAGTGAGGGAGACGCCGCGCAGAAGACAATTGCGCCGTTCGCTAGCAGCGACGATGTGATGGAAGTGGACAATGTGGATGAGGGTGCTGGGGCGACTGCTCTTACCGAGGATAGCAACCGGTCAGCACCGCAGTGGTCATTACAAGTGGGCGAGGGAGATCAGGCTATGGCCGACGTAGATCCTGATGCACCACCTTCGAAGCATCCGCCGACGCGCGCACTCTACATACGCGAGCTTGTCCGACCGCTGCAACCCAACAACTTGCGCCAACATTTACTCGACATTGCTAAGGACACATCATCAACCTCGGCTTCAGCGAACATCGAGGCATTCCACCTGGACAAGCTTCGATCTCATGCGCTTGTTTTGTTTGATTCAGTATCTTCCGCATCCAGAGTTCGTTCTGAACTACACACCAAGGTCTGGCCAGACGAGCCCATGCGCAAGCCGCTATGGGTGGACTACATTCCGGAAGAAAAAGTCCAAGAGTGGATCGAAACCGAGGTTTGTCGCGCGGACATGACTCGCTGGGAGATAGTGTACACCAACGATGGCTCCAACACCGAGGACCCTGTTACGGCAATGCTGCAGGAAGCCGAGAGTGGTGGCACCAAGGCAAGTGCCATTGCTGGGCCTTCAAGACCTACTGCTGGCGAAGGCATGCCGAATGCCCCTGTTGGTCCTCGACGCGAGTCCATGCAAGCTCGATCGCAGCATCGCCCAAGCGTGGAAGAGCCGCGACAACCCGAGAGCCGTCCAGATCCCCTGAATCAGTATTTTCGGTCTACTGATGCAAAGCCCAAGATTTACTATCTCCCGGTTCCTCAGGACCTGGCTGACAGGCGGCTCGACGAGTTTGAGAAGGGAACAAGACGAGATTGGGATGATGCGTACGCAGACCCCTCGAATTATGCAGAGGGTGAACTGAGACGTTATACCTTCGAAGATGGCGACAGACTAGTCGACGGCGGGGCGGATTTCGGCTTGTTTGGCAGACGTGGCAGAGGTGGTGGATTCGGAGGTAGAGGTAGAGGCAGAGGTCGCGGTGGCGACTTCTACCGTGGCGGAAGAGGAGGGATGAGATATTGAGGAGCGACTGCTCACGCGAATGTACGATGGAGAAGTTCGCGACTGATTGCACTGCTTGCAGCTATACTGGCTGCACTCTTTGGATTTCGACGATCCGACACTCGGATCCCTCCAATTCCTCTAACGAGGGGTTCGTGCAGGATGAGAAACCCCAAGCGCGTACATCCAAACACGGTTCACATTGCACCCTTTTCAACATAGACCTTCAAATCCTCTGCTTGCCTCTCGAACTGTTTCTGGAGTGCATTCTTCAACGCCACCGCCGTCAAGGGCCCAAGGATGCCGTAGTAACTCTCATAGCTCACCACCCTTGTCTTGCCATCCTCCAAGTCTGTAAGAACGTTCGGATGCTGTGCTCCTCCTGGTCCGAATCCATCGCTGTCCCATGGATTGATTGCCACTTTCCCATCATCGCTAGCATCCGGTACTGAAATCGAAACGATTACATCAGAAGTAACATTCAGAAAAGGTACGAGACCGTTGTTCGTGAATTCCCATTTCAGTCCGGGAGGAGTGGGTCGGGTAGTCTTGGTGATGATGCATGAGTAGATACTTGTGTTCTTCTATAATACCTTTCTCACTCACTCACTCACTAATGAATATCCCTCTCTGGCAGTGCCATTCATCACGAAGGAATTCCATTTTGTGATAATGCTTGAAATCGAAAAGAGTATTGTAGATGATCAGGATTGGTGCGATGATTTGGGTCTCCAGCGCAGACCGTGACGATTGGGATTCTGGATGCGTATCTAGGTGTTGAGGAGGTGGATTCTTGGTTGTCAGGACAGCGGATGTTGGTGTAGGGTTCGAGGGAGGAAGCTTGGGATTGAGTGGGAAAGAGGAAGGTGACTAGTGGTAGGGCGAGGAGTTCTCGGAATCGCATTTTGGGTCTTGCCGATTGGATTTTATGGCAGATGTTAGGCGTTGGCAAAGGAGAAGGGACAGTCGGAGGCCAGATGTCGGAAAAGCCACTGGTCAGCCGTAGAGGTCAGTGGCGGCTTTGACCGGCGAGCGTGTAGAGACCTCAAGATGAGCTGGAGAGTCGATAGCCTTTGCGTTGTCGTCTATATCAGGTAGCTCCACGCGTACTTCAGATCTCTATTGGAAGGGAGGGACCGTAACAGATCTGACCATACGTCAATTGCCTTGGTGGATGGTAAGGTTTCCTCCCGTCAGTCCGTCGGTGAACTCGCCTCGAACGCGCGAGGCGAGAGGCCAGACACCGAGCTCGTGGATTGTTGTCGTACCTGTGGCTTCAGCCCGACCGCGTTTGAAGGTGATACGACCGTGGTATAGATAGACGCAGTAGATGCTTCCCTTATCCACATCGACACCGGTAGGAACTCCATAGCCGCGAAGAATACTTTCAGAACTTGCTGAACGATTGCACGCACTGCTTGAGAGCCTTGTGGCCGGCTGCTGTCGAAAGCGATGGCCTATATACACGGGTGTAATGGTTGCGCGCCGTACATCTCGCGGTGTGCCAGTGCATGTCGTCTGTCGTCTGGTCTGGCTTGTGCATCTTCTCCCTCCGAACACGGAGCTGTGCCCCGGCCAGGGATCCATATCATGCTGCGGATGCCACATGTGGCTCATGCTGTGGCGTTACTGAGTAAGGTAGGTATCTTATGCGAACTTCGATTTCCGCTCGGGCAATGGCCAAAACAAACCTACGCCAGCCCCAATCCACACAACTTCACGTGCAGCAGCGCAGTGATTACAGACGAGCCTACGAAGGCAGACTCGCCGTCCTCGGTCCCGCAGCGTAACAACATACTGGCTCATCGGGCAGGCGTCGGAATCCCGAGAGATACTGGTACCAATACTTACGCCCTACCACCTCCGCCCGTCGCTCTGCCCTTTTACCTACGGCCTCACTCCTTCTCTTCACACTCCGGACAGTGCATGACGTCGGTCTTGGTCATAACTCCCTCTAGACGCCCGGTCTTGCAGAGCGTCAATAGTAAACCGACAACCCTGGTTTCGTGCAGGAACTGACACCAGCACTCGGCCTGGTTCACACCAATCAATCGACATCTCAGGATGACCTGATTCCTCGTCCCGTCATGTGCCAGATCTGAGATCCCATTCAACTCAATCGTGGACAACCGAAGCACCTTGTCCTAAGCGCTCTACCCATCATCGCCCTGCCTCGTAGGCAAGATGGCTGGATTGGAACCCGACATCCAAATGGGCTCTTCGGGCCTGCAAGAGTCTTCTGATAGTGCGCAGCGACGCGAGAGGGCCGCCATCGCCGCACAGGCTTGTCAGACCTGCCGAAGTAGGTGCGTATGATGACTTGGCGAAATAGTATTGCGCTATACATGTTCGGTCTTTACTCCGTTCTCATACTGACTTCGATCCAAGAAAGAGTAAATGCGACGAGCAGCGGCCGAGATGTGAGTTTTCAAGGTCGCATGGTCCCCCCTGGATCACGCTGCTAACCAGAATATAGGTGGTCTCTGCAGAAGATTGAATGTCGAGTGTGTGTATCGCGAACCACTGCCAACCAAGTATGTGATTCCTGCTGCTGTTGCGAGACATCAGGCTAGTGCTGATACAAGTCATAGAAAGGATAAGACTATGGTGCACATCTTAGACACGTTGAGCCGTCTTGAGACCAAGTTCGACAATCTTGCGATCTCCGGAGGCTCAAGCACACCGGAGACGCAGGCGTCGGGAGGCGCTCGACCTTTTGTTAGTCAAGTCTCAACATTGCCCGGTCGACCATACCGCCCTGAGCAGGACTACGACACCCAGCAATTTCCCATCCAGCTGCAACAGGGCTATCGCCACCTTACAGCACCGCACAAGATCGTGCTCTGGCCCAGCATCTACATTCATCTGATTAACTCGGGTATCACTGCAACTTCAGATCTGCAGTATGTCCTGCAAGAGGGAACGCCGTGGTTCATCAGGCAGGAGATGGCTTCTCGTAGTGCGGCGGTGCCTGCGGACGGCGGGTTGGCAATGTTCCCACTCGATGGACGGGCTCCAGGAGCGGGTAAAAGGCCCACGATTGCTTTTAGCAATCTCGATTTCCAGCAGATCCAAGAATATTGCGACGCATACTTCAACACCTTTAATGTAACATCGCCGATTCTCAACCGCGAGACCTTCATGGCCGAGACGATAACCCCGATTTTACAGCAAGGCTTCAAAGATGGCGAGGCTCAGACAGTCCTAGCTCTCCTTGTCCTCGCGCTCGGACAGGTTGCCCTTGAGGGCGTGTTCGAGCGACCGATCAGTATGGTGAACGGTGCCCCTAGCGGCTTTCGGGGAGGCACCGTGGATAGACCTCCCGGGCTAGAGATCTTCAATGAGGCCCGCAAGCGGATTGGTTTCATTTCGACGCAGATGACGCTCGAAAGCGTTCAAGCCATGCTTTTGCAAGGCGTATACTATGAGGCGACTGCAAGACATCTCGACTTCTGGCAATGTACGGTCAGCGCATCCATGGCTTGCCAGGTGCTCATCAAGTGCCAATCCATCGACTGGCAATCGCATTACGGCGACCTGGTCAAGAGAGCGTACTGGACCTGCCTGCTGTCCGAAGACCTCTACCACCTGGATCTGGATCTGCCACGTAGTGGCGTTCATCTGCTCGAGGACGTTGTCCCCCTTCCCTACTTCCACGAAGGTAGCAGTGAAGTCCCAGGAGTGTTTTCAAAAGATGCTCGATCGCATTTTCAATATCACTTCCTTGCCATGATAGCATTGCGGCGACTGATTTCAAGGATTCACGAAGTGATACATGAATGTGAGTTATCTACTGGGCTCATCTCCTGTAAACCCACACTGACGCGACATAGCTTCGTCGCATCAAGCAGAAACGTGCAGCGACTATGGCGGGCCGCCTATGACCGTGATACGAGAGATGGCGCGGCAACTTGAGTCTTGGCGATCGCTTCTTCCCCGGCCGCTGCAATGGCAGGACAATGACCGACTTGACTTTCCCAATATTGACCCGGCTGTTCGACGCCCGAATGAGCCTCTCTTTTCGCCTGATCAAGGTTCGGTACCGATCGGGCACAAGCACAATTTGGATCTGGTCACTGCTCAGCTCCGCACGCGTTTCTACTACGCCCGGTTCATGATGTATCGAGCTTTTGTTTACAAGGCGCTACACTTTCCGGAACTGATGACGGCGGAGGATCGCAATTCCTGTGGATTGGCGATCAAGTCCGCTCTTCTCTGGCCTATTTCTCTGGCTCCGCCAAAGAACAAAAAGCGGCTGGTGCCGCACCTGTTCGCCTGGACGCAGAACTTCATGGCTATCTTGTTGATACTCCGTATGACTACTGAGAACGACTGCCTGAAGAGCGTGTGTGAGGAGCACGTGAATCGTGATGAGCTGGAGAAGACGATTCGGTTGATGCTAGAGTGGGTGCGAGACGTGAGACAGGTCGATGGCATCGCAGATTGGAGCTGGGGCATACTGGAGCCGCTCTACAAGAGCGGCGCATAACCGATGACCTCTTCGTAGATTGGCTGAATGTGATACCCCCGGACTGTTAGGTAGAAGCGATGTGTAAATACAGACCAAGGTCATAGTGATTAAGGTGATCTTAGAAATGCCTCAGGCAGCATATCGAGCGCGACCTCCGAGTTTGGGCCGAGAAGACGACACTAGCTTAGACTTCACGCCTTCGCGGCTCTCAAGAGTCGTGATATCAATGAATTGCAGCACCCTTCCTCCGACTATTCTTCGCGGATACGCTCGCTGAATGTATCACGGTTGATACCAATGCCCACAATGGCGCAGTCATGTTCTCTGGGAAACCTCGACCGGTGCCTTCGAAGGCAGCCCTCCGTACTCTCTACCAACTCGCATATATATCCTCTGGAACGGCGGTAGGGATTGCGACCCTGTGCGCAGAAGAGAAGAGGCGGCGTTCGCAGATTCTGCAGAGGATAGCGGATAACGCGAAACGGATAAGGGGGAGTCCTCGGTATGTTGGGAATGTTGCTTCTGCGGATGATGGACAACTACGGCGGCGAAGGAGGAAGAGTGTGAAGAGTGAGGAATTGCCTTCGCTGGTTGAGGAGGGTTATGTGCAGCTATCACAGAAAGAAGAGAAGCGGAAGTGGAAGAAGAGGAGGAGGGATCCGGAGGCGGTTGTCGTGGATGAGGAGCAGGATCAAGAGCGTAGGCTACGGCCAGAGAGCCGAGGACAGAAGCAGCTGTATGGTCAGTGTGCTACTGCAGCACCCACATTACAGAAGCCGGAGCAGAAAATGCGCATACATAAAGTGACGTTGGGTCCCCCACGCGTCGGATCGCTCTTACAGAACCAAGCTGTAGCAGACTCCTCGCCCGATGTTCCCAAGCGCAGGCCACAATTTGTGATACCGGAAATCGCAGCTGTCGCCGAGTCGCAAGAGATGCGACACAACTTAGGAGAGGATGTTACCTGCCATTCACGCCTGGTACATTCCGACGTAGACCAGTTCCTCCGGATGAGTCCATGGACCACCACTGGCGACCAGGCCGTGGAGCAGCAGATTTGCAGTGCATTACTCTCTCTTGCTGCAAAAAGAGGGATGTGGGCGCATGTCAATTGGTTATATGGATGGAAGCTTCGGACTAGGAGTTTGACGCAGAACGATATACGGATCCTGTCAGAATGCTGCCTTACTCTTCCTGAGAACGCCGACCACCAGGAGGTCTTCATCCTTTTCTGCGACATTCTTAATTCTGAAAGCTTTTCGCGATACGCGGCTCAGTTTCAGCTGTCTACCGCCATGAGAGTCGCGACCGAGGTAATCGATTGGGATCTGGATTTGCCTCGAATCTCCCGAGTTCAGAAATTGATGAGGACGGCGCGTAAATCAAGCGACGAGCAGGAAATGCATGAAGCGCTTGCAAAACATTGCCAGAGGCTTGTTGACCTTGGCGAGCCGGGACGTGCTTGGAAGCTGATGTTTTATCAAGGCAGGGATTTTACAACACCACAAGATCTGGAAGAGAAGATTTTTCAATCCGCACTCCATCTTGGTGATCTCTCTTGCTGTTGCAGAGTGCTGAAAGCCAAGCTGGATAAGTCGAAACCTGCTGCATTCCGTAGAGATACCGCATCTCGCAACGAATATTTACACCTTCTAGAGGAGTTTGTTCTTGCTTGCAACGAGAGAGGCGAGCATACACAGATTGAGAGGCTAATGCCTGCCTCAGGCCTCGATAGCGATTGGAGGGGAAGGAGGAACATGAAAATACTTAGGGCACTAACGCCTGACCTCAGTGCGCCGGCAAAAGCTGCATTGGCGATAGCCATAACACAGCAGGATCGCTTAATCAGTGAGTGGTTTGACGAACTTTATTCGCAACTGCCACAAGACTTGAGGGCCCCCGTCGAAAGAGCTCGCACCGTCGGGAGAATTGAGCGCACCTGGATCTCTACGGGCGACTTCGATGCCGTCTGTAGTGAGCACGAGTCGGGCGTGGAGTTCGCCGCTCGGGCTAGCAATAGCGAGGCTCGACTTCAGAGCAATCTGGCCATGGCCAAGATTTGCAACCGCGCGAATAGATCTGAGCGCGCGATAGAATTACTCTCACGCGCTGCTAAGGAACATTTGGACTCCAGCGGGAGTGCGTCGGGCATTGCAGTAGTGCTTGCTAGACAGGGCGCTTGGAAAGAACTCTTTCATCTCCTCGGAATACTCGAGAAGAGAACAGCTCTGGGTTTCAACAGGACTGCAATGTCGGATTTCAACGCCATGATATACTTCTATTCGCTGAAGCACACGGCTCCAGAGACCTGGAAGCTTGTTACCGAGCTCGCCAGGACAATAGATTTCCGGCCCAACCACGCCACAACTCAAATCGTACTCGAGGCTTTCGTCTCCAAGGGATCGATGGACCTTATCCCTCACTGGCTCTCTAGCATGGATCAGCTGGGCTGTCGTTTCGAATTTAAGGCTCACAGTGCTGCACGTCTGCTGACTACATTCTACCGCCAATATCGCCCTCCGCATTCGTTGCTCATGTGGTTTTGTCGCAGTTTGACGCGTCTCGTGCCGGCTTTTACAGCAGGTGATTTCGCCGGGATCTTGCAAGAGGCTGCAGGCTATGACATGCGACATCAAAAGACCGGATTGCAACAGAAAGCAAAGCAGAACCTGGGGAGACTTAGCAGGATGACGACAAATGTGCCGGCGCCGGTGCAATGGAAAGGGTTGCATGAGGCGCACGGCGGCAACTCCTTGGTTGCACCGACGACGGGGCAGCTGAAAGCTAATAGCGTCACGAATGCTACTGCCAGAGGTACGGATCAAAAGGTGCTTCACACATATAAAGGCAAGGCGTACCAGCCCTTCGGAAGTCCAGTTGTGTCTGAGACTACTGAATCTTTGGCGGACAGCACCGAGCCATCTTTGCCCTCAAAAGACGAAAGGCTGTACACAGCAAGTAAGGACAGTGAGGATGCCAACGTGGAAAGTGATAAAGGCTGCCAAGTTCCGAGTGGTCAATTGACGGCGGCAACAACAACAACAGACGGATTAGATGTGGCTATTTCGTCAGAGTCACCACAGCTTACAGAATCCTGCTGTGGTGACAGATCCCCTGGAGTCGCTGCAACCTCGACCGCTTCGAATGATCATGCATATGGCTATGATGAGATGGGCCTCATGTCGAACGAAAATCAAGACGAACTTCAGTTTACACCTCCCTTAGAAATGGAAGATTTTTCGCCTTCACGAACCGCCGTTTACGACGAAGAGCTGCAAAACGACGGAATCGGAGACGTCGACCTGGAGGACTCTATCACCAGTTTTAATACGGAGATCGGAAAAAGGCAATTCGTGCGCAGCATGATAACAAAGCTTTCTCTTCGACAGTATCAAGAAGTGATCACGATGTACTCTCGATCGTGCTCTTCCTCCGGACTTCCCGTGTCTCTGCACGCACTGCAGGTTGCTGTGGAAGCCAGTCTGCGGCTCAATGCCAGTGACAGTATCGACGCGCAGCGCATAGTAAAGGGAGCACGAGCCTCCGGCATGAACGTGGGGCCCGCTGTGGCCCCTATTCTTCTGCATCAAATCTGGCGCTTGAACCCAGCTCAGAGGAGGGACGTCAATGAAGTTCGGGTAAGGGTGATTGAATACTATCGGTTTCATGGAGCCAACAATCTTCCGGTTAGCCACTACCTGGGTGTCACCGCTGCAGACGTACTCATCAGGCATCAGCGTGCCGAATATGCCGTCAACTTGCTGAACGCCATTCTCCGCTCCGATTGGGCAAAGCAACAGTCCCTCGATATTGTCGCCATGACTGTGTGGGTCAAGGGACTGAGGTTTTTGGCACGCCCAGGCAGCCATCTCGTGCGCGAGCTTGTAAGGATTGGCCATGTCGTTCTAGACAAGGAATTGAAAATCACTCGGAGATTTATTGTCGAGTTGAAAGGCGCCTGCAAAGCGTTTGGCATGCCCGGTGTGAGGAGACCGCGGGAACCGCTGCGTCCACTCAACTCCTTGTCATCTAACGCCCGGATTCTATGGGGGTTGTACAATCGCTGCATCGAAGAATGGAACCGTCAGAGGAGAGAGGCGAAGCTGAAAGGCGCGAAGCTGGTCAAAATGATCGCTCAGAGCGTGAGGGATGCCGAACTCCCAATTATCGAGTCCTCAAAGCGGGGGGGCATCGAAGAGGAGATCTTTGGGCCCCCGGGTTCTCCATGGTCCAATGACTCCACCCAAGAAAGCCATGTTAGGGACGAGGTCTTTATCAACCCAAACACTCGCACCAAAGTCGCGCAGAACACCCTCCGCTCAAGCGCTACCTCCACGGAAGCTGCATCCCAGAACTTCCTCGACGCGTTGAAGAAAAAGCCCGAAATTCTCTTTGAGCAACCAGCCTCTCCGATCGGGAGAGGGACGTCACGCAAGAAGCCGAGACGACGAGTCATCGAACCGAAACCCGTGCCATTGACGCCGAGGGAGAAACGTTCGCATTTGAGATTTTCCGGGGATCACTATAGGAGGTTTTTGAGGCATAGGATTCGGATGCCAGATGGGACGATTGCTCGCTTCCGATATGAAGTGGCGGACTGATGACATGACATGACATGGCATGACTTGATTCGAGAGAGATGTGGTACCTAGTTACTGGATCGGAAAGCGGGTATGCCACGGAGGTCCGCCCCAACGCTTCTGTTTGTTTAATTTTTTCCTTTGCGGTGAGATGAGCATAAGCGATGGCGCTGTTCGAAGGTCCAATTTTGCATTGCAAGGCATAGCCATGGGAACAAGGATAAGTGTACAGATACATTCATACAACATGTGCACGTGCACACGGAAGTAACTCTTTCTAAGAGAAACATAATCTATCGCTATGAGCCGCCTTGGTGTCAAGCTTTTTTTTTTGATATTCGTATGGGTATATTACCTCTACAGACATCTAGGTCTCGCTCCCGTTGGGTCACGCGCCGTGCAATTTCATCATCTATTTTTGTCGTCTAATCATCATCATCCCAATTGGGGTTGGGGCCCGGCGGCTTTGGGCCACCAGCTTGTCGCGCTACAATGATCTGATCGACGGAGAGCACTGTTCTCGCTGCTTCTGTGGCCAGCTTGATGGCCCAGGACTTGGTCACCATGAGATCCAAAATGCCCTCCTCTTCTGCGTCAATGGTTCCGGTGCCTTGACTCCCGCTTGTGTCAAGATCGACGCCTAGGCATGGAACTTCTTCCTCTTCATCGTCTTTGGCTTTTGATGACGAGGTGCCGTGGTGAGCGGTATACAGTTTTGCGAGGACTTCTGTGGCATCAAGACCGGCGCTCTCGGCCAGTACACGTGGGATGACTTCGAATGCTTCGGCGTATTTCTTGATGGCATACTGGGCGAGTCCGGAGGTCTTGTCCGCAAGAGCGGTCACACGCTCGATGAGTTGCATCTCGGCCGCGCCGGCTCCAGGTACTAGTCGTGGGTCTCTCGTGATGGCCTTGAACACGTTGACACCATCGTCTACGGCACGCTCGACATCGTCGAGATGGTTCTGCGTTGCGCCGCGAAGGACAAGGGTTGCCGTTCGGGTCTGCTCGTTTTCTTGTCTGAAGACCGTTACGCGGTCGCCGCCGATCTCCAAGGTCTCCACAACGTCGACATTTCCCATCTCGTCCGGCATAGGAGCGCCGAGACGAGCCAGGGGAGTCGCGCCGACCACTCTGCATAACCTCCGAAGCTCGAATTTGGACAGGACTTTGATGACAAGGATCCCGAATCGGTTGAGGTAGTGCATGGCGAGCTCTCCCACTGTGCTGCCTGCAACCACTACTCTGAGTCCGGAGTCGTGCAGCTCCTTGATCGCGTTCTCCATCTGAGCCTCCTCGCCTTTGGTGAAGTTCAGCAGCTCCTTACTGTTCTTGAGTAGCACTGTGCCCTTGGTTTCCGTTTGGGAGATGTCGATTGGACAGCTGAAGACTCCAACCTTGGCCTTCGATGCCTGCTTCACTGTTCCATCTGGCTCTCGTCCAAACACCATTCCCTTGACCACTTTTGACTGCTCCAAACTGCCTCCCATGATCTTGACTACCCGCACATTGTCCACATTGAAGTTGTAGGGATTCTTTGGCAAGACTGCCAGCACGGCTTCGGCGACGAGTTCTGCAAGGAAATCTTCGGAGCCAGATTGCTTCGCGGCGACAACAGTCCGAATAGCCTTGGCCAGCTCACTCTGATCCCGAATGTTCCCCACCTTGTCAACCTCCAGCTCCTCTAGAGACTCCAGTGCAAACTTGCCGGCGCGCTCATATCCCTGGACAATCTCGCTCGTCTTGAGGCCCATCCGGATCAGCTCCTCGGCCTTCTTCAGCAGTTCTCCAGCGAACACAATGACCATGTTGGTGGCGTCTCCCATCTCGGCTTCTTGTTGCTGCGATGCCATGACCAGAAGCTTTGCGGCCGGATGTACCACTTCGAGCTCCCTGAGGATTGTTGCGGCATCGTTTGTGAGGATCATCTTTTGCAGGTGGTTGATGACAATCTTGTTGCGGCCATAGGGACCGAGGGAGGTCTGAACGGTAGAGGCAATGGTGCGGCAGGCGTCGATGTTGCGGATGACAGCGCCATCTTCGGCGTCGTAGCTGGGGTCTCCACATTAGCACGGTGCTGTTTTCTCCAGACAGACATCGTCGAGCTCGTACTTCTGGTAGCCGGGCTTGAACAGGCCCTGGTTGGGCGCGTTCGGTATGGAGAGCGACATGCTGCGCGGCTGTCGTGCAAGAGGGTAATGTGGTCCAGACGGAAAGGCGATGTGTACGGTAGAGCAAGGTATGTGTTGGTGTTTTGTGTTTGTTTGGTAAAGAGGAGGAGGAGGAGGAGCTGGAGGTGTGTTTAAGATTTTCGGCATGTCCGTCGCGACTCGCGTGCCTCTGTGCTCCAAGCTCTGCTGCGCGGAATTGACTCCGTGAAGCTAGTTCTGCCCTGAACTATGTAACTTTTGGGCCGACCTCGTCGTTCGGAGGAATGCACCTTAACTCATACCATGAACAATGCTGCACCGCTCTCTCCACCGCTTCCTCCGCCCGCCTGCTTCTACAAATCCCCTTCCGATACCGTTCCCATCCACATCGACCACGCAATGCGCCGTCTGTACCTGTCGTTGCGGCGCCCGCTTCCGCCGCACTGCTCCCATCCGCAATGAAACGAAAAGAAGTTATGCAACACCAAGACGCGCACCAAGTACTAGGCAACGCGAGCACGAACTCAAGGGCGGCTATCTCACACCCGCTGAGGCCCGAAGTGCGAGAGAAAGAACGAGGAAACATGTTGATGCCTGGCACGCGAAGATTCTCGGATTCCTGCAAGAGACCTACGAGGAGGGGCAAATATCGGTTCCTTCGCATGCTGTGATCGATTATTTGAACGCCGTCGATCATATCAAAACCCAAGCTAAGGGTCGGCCTACCATGGAGCCCGGTCCTTTCAACAAGTTACTGGAAGAATACGGGCTCTCGCACGACGAGGCGTTCGCTATCGCCAGAGTACTTGTGGCGACTGGCTCCCACGATTCAGAACAAATGTTTCTGGGCAAGAAAATGCTGCTCACTCTGTCACGTGTTGGACACGCCTATTCCACCATGACCATCGTCGCACAGGCCGTGTTGCAGGCCAAGAGGAAGCCGGGGGTTCTGAAGAGCTCGGAGATCGCCTTCTCGCGAGCCCATCTGAGACAACTCGTTTCCGAAGGTTCTAGTTACAAAGCCATGGTAGTGGAAGGCAACGTCGCGAATGCAGAGGGCGACGAAAATCGTGCAATCAGCCTATGGACCCAGGCCATGGCTGCCGCGGTTGAGGAATCGGAGGCAGAGGCAATGGCGCGGGGAAAGTCAGGCAACGCAAGAGACCCCAACAATCCCACTCTCGCCGAATATCTCGTGTCCCAGCTTCAACTGTCTTCTCCATGGATCGAACTTTTGCTAGTCCATATGGACCGGAGCAAACGTCGAGGCTTGGATTGGGCACATGAAATTGCCCAGTGCGAGTGGGCAATGAGAATTGGCTGTGAACAGAGCGATCCTGACGCACATTATTATGCCGCAACGTACAATACCACACAAGATGGATACAGCAGCGAATGGCTCTATCACATAACCAAAGCTGCAAGCTCTGGACATTGGAAAGCTGCACATGAGCTCGCCGAATTTTACACCAATACCGGGTGGAAGTACCTGGACGACGAGCCTCCCGATGACATGAAGCCCACACCATTTGACTCGTATCCCGCCGGCAGGCCTGCGTCATGGTGGGAAAAAGCCCTTGAGTTCGTTGGACTAAAACAGACTTCAACTCGAGACTCGAAACGAGATTTGTTCCACACAGCTGCCTATCCTAGCAGCGACGCTGGTCGTTTTCGACTTGCTATGATGTGGCTTGAAGTCCCTTTGCGGCAACACTATGCGCCATCGTTCCTACACAAAGCGAAAATGTGCATGGAGAAAAGACTGTGGTCAAAGTCTAACACGCCAAAATCAGCTTTGCAGCTCAGAGATGATCGCTATGCGTACGCCTCACGCGAAGACTACGAGAAGGGCAAGCTCATAGACGAGCGATGGGAATATGAATCTGAGGATGATCGAGAAGCACGTAAGCCAAGCCTTAAAACATCCTCACCGGAGCCAGAGGGCGAGCCGAATCCTTACTACGACCTTGAAGAGGCCAAGAAGGCTCTTCGGGAAGTCTTTTGGGCATACCGAGCTCACGAGATGGTCAAAAAGGACCTCGCGACATACGAGTCCAGGCGTTTACGAGGCTTGTCGACCAAGGGCTTAGTTGAAGAGGACTTTTTGCAAGAGTCTCTCTATCGACGGGCCCCGTTTCACGTGTGGAAGTGGCTTGTTTTCCCGGAAGTCAGGGACAAATACTTACCTATCATTGAACGAATATACTCGGAAGCGAAGGGAATTTGCGATTCTGAGGGATGGGATCTGTACGATGAGCATAATGCATTGGTGTATAAAGCGCGGCGCAAGTAAAAGACCCGTTCGCGCTGCTTCCACCGTGACACCTCAATCAATGCATTTCTGGCAAGAGTAAGGCAGATTGGGAAGGAGTCATACCGCTGCGACTTTCTCCCTGCCATCTTCGACAAGTGGATGACAAACCTGACTGTGTACATGTATGCATCACCATAGCCATGGCACGTTCGATAAGCATTGTTTCTCCGCCTCCATATATCGTGAGCCTGCCTGAGGCTGCTCAGGGCTTTGGCTTCAATGAGTACGTCCTCCAGCCTCCCGAATCCTCGCAAGTGCTGCTGAGACGCTCGGCATGCCGTTCTTTCCCGAGTACGCTGATGGAAAACGGAGTCAGAACGGTTCTGGAGCTGTATCCCAGAGGCTGCAACTACATCGACGACCATGGCACTGTTCATCGGAACTGTACCATTGCGTGTCAGCAGCCTGAACTGGTATGGGACAATATGCGCACTTTCCACAACTGTCTTGCGTATCCGGCCGTATCGCAATGGCTGTCCAACGACAACGACCTGGATCAGAAGAGCATCGATGCGGCGCTCGAGATGGGGTTCGTGCCGTATTTCAATTTGACGCATGTCGAGGATCCGGTACAGGGCTGTCTGCAGAGCTTTTATGCAAAGTCGGCAGATGATAAGGCGGAGTGCTGGGGGAAGGAGTACAAGGTCAGCCATTCTACTTGGTCTTCGTGATGACGATATGCTGATTTGGTTCTAGACTCCACAGGCGATTGCCAAGGCTGCTTGTGATTATTTCCATCCGAGCCCGAACCTGGATATTGGAGGCATTGGAGCTTATCTGAGCTATCTGATCCAGTTGGGTATACTGGTGAGTTTCTCAATACATCCCCATACTCCTTGGAATGCACGTTGCGCTAGCGAGCGCTGCGGTGTGGTCTCAGTCATACTGACCACCTCAATCCACAGGCGTACGCCTACTTACACACCCGTATCATGTCTACTTGGGCCAGTTGGATTGCATGGCTCATCTATCTGGTGAAAGGGCGCAAGAAGGTATAGCATGCCGCGGTGACCCTCGGCACTGCATGCCCTCTCGAGTGTCATCGCTGACCACATCATCTCAGGCCGATCAAAAGGCTCTCGAAGTGCAAAACCGCGTCGACGACTCTCACCAACAAGCTGCCCTCCTCTCATCGCTGGTTGAGTTCCAAAAGGCACAGAGCTACTTTGCCCTCACTCTGCAAGGCTCCGCGATTGCCGCACTAGCTGGCAGCGGTGCGATGTTCGATGCAGATTCCTTCAGACAGTTGCGCTTGACCGTCTATCTTCTTGGCGACGTTGCAGTGACCGGAATCGTCTGCATCACCTCTGGCTTGTACATCCTCCACAATGCCGGCAAACAGAATGGATACACGACCTTGCTCTCTGTGCTGGCGTACTTTGTTTCTCTGGTCGTCTGGATCCAGACACGACTGCCATTGCACAGTTTGGGAGAATTGACCATGCTCCACCAGGACTTGCCAGCTTGTGGATATAAGTCGCCCGCGACATACTGTAGGCTGCCGTCCAAAATCATGACAACTCTGAGATCTCTCAACTAATACTCCCAGGCGCTGCGGATCTCCGACCTGTTACCATCTTCGAAAGCGTCGCCATCGCGCTCTGCAGCCTGACACTGCTCATGGTCGTCATCCTTCAACGCACGCGACTGAGTGACTACAAATGGGAAACTCTCGGCATGCGCCACTGGGTGCCGGAAGCCGTCGAAGCCATCCACGCCGGGTTTGGCTTGGCGATTCTAGTACAGATGATCACCAACGGAGAAATGAAAGCCGTGGGCAGCGAAGTGCAATGGACTTTTGCACAGCTGCTTTCCGTCACGATCTGGGCGCCATTAATTGTGGAATATGTATACGCGGCGGCACGGGGTGTCAAGGCTATGCAGGAACACCGGGTCTTCGACGAGGAGGATGAATAGCGTTGTATTGTTGGAGAGGAAAGTTTGGAAAACCTAGGATGTGGGTGGATAGTGCTCGTACCTTGTTCTGATGCGGGTTGAGGTGAACTTGACCGGCGCTCCGGGACTGAATAGAGTAATAAGTGAATGACTCTGGGCTCCACATGTATCGAGATCGACCGGTCCTGTGTGCAGTGTGCAGGCTTCCTCCGACTTCAGCTGCATTTCTTCCGAGAGCGGATCCTGGTCCCCCTTGGCAATACGTTCGTCGGTTTGCGTTTACACTACACGAGCATAAAAGATATATTCAGACGCTTCACGTGCTGACCTGTGTGCTGCGTTGGTTAATGACTTGTAGCTTAGTCCAAACGTCAGTCACGGGGGACGACAACTAGCCGTTCCCCTTACACTGGCAAAGGCGACGTTCCGTTCCGTTCCGTCCCGCCGCAACTGACCAATCCTGCCCTTCGCATTGGCCACACGGAGCCCACCTGACGCCAAGCTCCGCGCAGACCCTGCATCCGCAAGAGGGAACACCACCTTCCTCTTGCGGAAAGCGTCCGCGGCGCACGTTTTCCTCTCTCACCAACAGATTGGAAGATGGGGGCAGATGTAACCCGGTACAGTCATGAGCGTGTAATATAATGTGGTTCCAGGCGTGCGCCTCTTGCTGCAATTAATTGATTATAGTCGGGCATCTGCCAAAAGGTGGGTGCGTGCGTGTTTGTTCGCTATTATTGCTGTTGCTGTTGGAACTACTTTGCGTCGGCTCGGGTTCAGGTGGACGACGTGCTACACTTCTTTCCCACTTGCCCACCAGACGGAGAGCCAAGAGTCGCTCCGCTCTTGCGTACCTCGACTACGTACGTCTTCGACCACATACAATCGAGAGGCTCCGGTCTGCAACTTGTGCGCGTCTGCGTCTTCCTCCCACCCTCACATCACGACGATTTTCCTTCTCACTTCGCTTTCGCCATTCCCGTCTCTCCGCTCTCTCTGAACATCAATCAATCCACTCTGTCTATACCAGTAACGACGACAGAACAACGCAATCATGGCAGAAGTAACGTCCCGCTTCGCCTCTCACAACCAACAATCCGATTTCTACTCCAGCGAAACAGCACCCACTACCCGCTCCATGCATTCCTCGCGACTATCTTCCCGTCGCTCCAGCGGCGCCGGCTCTTCCACCCTCCAATGGCTCGCCAACCTCTTCCACGGCCGCAGATCCCCAAACCCCTTCACCGAGAAGGAAAAGCAAGACCCTCTTCTGCCCAAATCCCGCACGAGTTCGCCCTCCCGATCCCTCGACGTCGAATCTCAAGCGAGCACACTGCTGGGAGTCGAGAGAGAAGTGTCGAGATCTACAAAGAGCCGCGTCGATGCGAGGGTCATTTCGGATGCGATAATAGGGCTTTCCGATGGCCTTACCGTTCCTTTTGCTCTGACGGCCGGCCTGTCGACCATGGGGAGTACCAAAGTGGTGATATTCGCTGGCTTGGCGGAATTGACGGCCGGCGCGATTTCCATGGGTTTGGGAGGTTATCTTGCGGCCAAGAGTGAAGAGTACGTTTCTCCCCTAACACCATGGAGGCAGCTGTCCATCTGACGTGTCCACAGGGAATCGTACAAAGCCACCCTCTCCGATACCCGCACCCTGGTCTCCCGCTCTCCAGAGGAAACAACAGACACCATCCGCGAAGTATTCGAACCCTACCATCTCCCTCCCTCCCTCACAGAGGACTTGGCATTTCACCTTTCCAACTCTCCAAACGTGGTGCAGTTCCTCATGCATTTCCAACAGAACTCCCCCGAGCAAGCAGCTTCCCGCGCTTTCACATGCGCGCTCACAATAGCATGCGGCTACTTCCTGGGCGGCTTCCTTCCTCTGATCCCATATTTCCTTGTGGGAAACGATCAGGTTTTGTTCGCGCTGTACTGGTCTTTTGCCTTCATGGCGCTGAGTCTGTTCTCTTTTGGATACGGGAAGACGTGTTTCGTTTCAGGATGGACAGGACCGAAGAATATTTGGGAAGGAACCAAAGGTGGTTTCCAGATGATGTTGATTGGAGGAACAGCAGCCGTCTGCGCTATGAGTTTGGTTCGGTTATTTGATTCTCTTGCCGCGTGATCTCACGATATAGATAGATTCTTGATGTTAGCGTGGCGTCTGGGGTTTGGCTGGGAAAGAGACCATCAGCCTGGGGATAGGGTTCCAGAACCTGATGATATTTCAAACTTATGGGTTGGCTCTTCATAGTCCTGTGATGAAGAAACTCAGGAGACTGCCCACGGTCAGACCAGCGACCAGGCAGAGACCCATGAACCCTCCTGCTGCTTCTCGTTCCTCTTCTTCAACGCATTCGCCCGCACCAATCATACAGGTGCTGCCCAGATAGCCATTCGACAAGCCGAAGAAAAGCTGCACCATTACCAGGTAGAAGAAATCGCTGTTGACAATCGCTCCTTGACCGCGGATGTTGCATAGGTGGTAGAGGCCAATGAAGACAACGCGGCTGACTGCCAAACCAAAGACAATTCGGGGCCGAAGGACCAGGGAGAGAGATGGCACAGCAGTGATCAGACGTCCGATCAGATCCCCAGCGTTCCAGAATAAAAGTGCCAGAGGAATGAAGCTGGGAGGCTGTAGAATCGGCGACTGCTCCTCCGGCGGCCTTACGGAGACAATCTGTTGCGTGAAGACTGGAAACACCATAGTGATGACGAACGTGACGAAGACTCCCCCAGCCAGCCAGACGAGTTTCCGTAGCAGATAGAGCAACGGAATCGCTTTGCGATCTTCTGCCGCAGCCGCTGCGGCATCCGGATCATCACTCTCATCCTGCACGTTCTTCTTCGGCTGCCAGTTCCGTGCAAACAAATATCCAAAAGCCAGTAACGTGACCACAGAAATGGCCGTAGCCGTGACGAAATAGGCGAGCGCCGCAGTCCAGGGAACCGGTGGTGGGCCATGCGGAGGACCCTCATGTGGCATCCGACCACGGCCTTGAACAGATAACACCGACACAATCTGCAAGATGCAGGGTAAGACTCCCGCCACAGCCTGTCCCGTCATGATGCCCTGCGTATACCTAGGCTCCGCAAAGCCCGAGACATACGCAAAGATGCCGTTCTGACATAATCCCGTTGCCAGACTCGTGAGAAACATGACGACCATCAAGAACCCGAAATAGACCTCCGCGCTCGTTTGTACCGCCGTTGAGATCGCCAGAAGTGAGAAGACCACCATGTTGATAAGCAGCGAAGCGACGATGCGTTTCGGGTAGGAAGCATTGGCTTGTAAACGCGTGAGAATGAGCATAGAACCCAGGTTCGTGATGGTAGAGACGGAAATCTCAGCTGCCTGGAAATTCTCATAGATCCATGAATTGCTGTGGAAGCGGCGTTGGAAATAAGGGCCGGCTGCGAGGAACATGTTCCATGCCCAGAGCATGGAGATTCCGAGGAGGAGGAAGATGCCATATTCGACGTAATTGAATCCCCGCGGCTTTCTGGTGGCCGTGGGAGAAGGCTCTCCATCGTCGCCATTCTCAATCGGTTCATATTCCTGCTCGCGTCGAAGGAATTCGCGTATCCTCTCCATCTTGACCGGTATTGTATTCTCCGCGAGCTCTTACGCTTTCCCGTTGCTTATCAATCGACGAAGCTCGTTTGTACCGTGTTCAGGTCGAAGGCGCGTTCTCGTCGGGGTCAGCGACTCGTCGCCATCATCTCCGCTTCCAAAATCAAAACATCCTCACGGGACCATTCACAGGCGGTGGGCAGTGGACAGCAGGTGCCAGGTGGTCAACATCACAAGACGTCGAACCTCACATGAGCATGAGCATGAGCGAGTCGAGCGGGCCGAGAGGGGGGAAGGCTCGGGCCGTCCACACTTCTCGTAGTCGTTAACGAAGTAAACGCCTGAAATCCACCCGACACAAGAGGCCAATTCATCGCATGAATAACTAAACGACAGCGAAATTATAGAACCGAGAATAATAGTACCTAAAATCCGTACATTTAAGTACGGGATTTGTAACGACAGTAACTAACAATATAGCGGATTCTTTCCTTTATACGAACATTATGCCTAGGACGCTTATAGTACATACTAGACGCGTAGACAGCAATATAGAGTTGGGGCGGACTAGTACGAGTACTCTAGGAATATTAGTCCTCCGTCTTAGTAATTAATACGACCGAGGATTATTAACTAGAAGAAGAAGAGAAGTAATCTTTATACTAAAGAGCTCTAGGAGGAAAGACCTAAGAAGAAAAAGACTACTATACATCTATTACCTCTACGTAGTTAAGACCTTACCGACGCGTTAGAACCTAAGGCTATAGCGCTATCGAAGCCTATTAAGAATTCCGTATTAGGCGATAAGACTATAACATCTTCTACGCCCGTAACTTTACTACTAGTCTTATTACCGAGTAACATACCTAGTTATTTACACTCGGATCAGATAAGGTATAGACTTTTATAAGACCCGCCGGCGTAGTTTAGATCTATAACGCTATTTCACTTACGGCTGCCTATACCTAATCCGTAGGAGATCTCTAATAACCCGGAGTTCTTCGATTATAGTCTATCTAATTACGACCCTCTACTAGACAGCTACTCGCTACTTATAGCTTTATAGTCCTCCTATTATAATAACGATATATAGATAGCGGATATAAGGAATTCTATACCTCTCGTATAGGGCGGCCTCTCCTTACGTCCGTAGCTACAGTAACCTCTAGCTAGAGATCTAGTAGAGTAGAATACGGGACAGTAGCGTCAGCCCTCCGAGTAAGGTCTAGTCTAACTATAGTAACCTCTAGCCGGAGATCTAGTAGAGTAGAATACGGGACAGTAGCTTCAGCCCTCCGAGCTAACTTTACCTAGGTATAAGTATCTTTCGCTGTCCTAAGTATAGCGGAAATGTAGAAATTGTACGTAAAAGCGCCTTATATACGACAGCCAAACTCCCTACTCTAAATACACGAAAGGAGGCGTAGTATATAGTCCCTCTCTATATACTAAAGCCTATAGAAATTGCCGTGTAAGGTACACAATATACGACGGCCAAACTCCCTACTCTATATGTAGGAAAAACAATCTAGTATACAGTCCCGAATCAGTTAGTCCCTAATTAGTTGTTAAACGCACCTATAGAGCCTATAAAAATTGCCGTACGAAGAGGACCAAATGTAACGGCGAAATTCCCTACTCTAAATGTACGAAAAGAGGCGTAGTATATAGTCCCTCTCTATATACTAAAGCCTATAGAAATTGCCGTGTAAGGCATATAATATACGACAGCTAAACTCCCTACTCTATATATAGGAAAAACAATCGGGTATATAGTCCCGAATTAGTTAGTCCCTAATTAGTTATTAAACGTACCTATAGAAAAGTCTGTAAATATTGCCGTATAAAGAAGAGAAAATACGACGGCTAAACTCCCTACTCTATATATAGGCAAAACAATCGGCTATGTAGCTCTACTCTAAATACTATACTAGACAAAGTCTTACAAACGCCGAGCGCCTCTATAGATAAGAGTATAATAGTAGTAAGTTAAGGTCAAGTTCGCTAGGATAGACTAGACCTTATTACACCTGTCCCCTCTACGGATAATAGTACGAGTCGAAAATGTATAGACTATGTACGACAGACGGCTTACTAGGACATATCGAATAGGACGGCGTAGATCTCTTCTATAGATACTAATACTATCTTAACTTCGGATTAGATATCTTAGACAATGTAATAAAGGCTAATTAGCTTACGAGATACCCTACCCGACAGTATATAGAGCGAATTTTTCAAGCTAGCCGACTTATTTAATAATACTTCTCGCAAACCCGAGGCTTTATATCCTACTCTACAATCTACGTATAGGTTCGGATTCAAACAAGGATACTACTCTCGGGCAACTTTTATGCTATGTGTCTAATACTATGAAACGATTAACGGCTTGCTCCCTAAGGATAACAAGATTTCGAAGGACATGTTTACCTTTCCGCGTAGAGCCGTAGATACTCTATAGGCTCTCTATATAACGGACACTCTCGACGATAGGCTGCTTAACTTCCGTAAATTTAGTTTTAATAAACTATTAATAGAGTCTATAGCGAGTTATAGGTCTAACGAACATAAGGTCTTCTGTTTTAATTTTGTACCTATTATAACTACCGATAATAACGTAACGCATGCCTTAGCATTATAATAGGTTAAGGAGAAGCCGTACGGTAAAGAGATTGTCGAATTATTCTACAGACTCGCTAGAGACATTATCTTAATAGTATTATTCCGTATTAACAATTTATTAATCCTCGCTAATCTATAATCTCTAGGTATCGAGCTCTATTATAGTCTTAAGTGAGCTAATAGTCGATCGCTAGTTCGATAAGACTTTTAAGCCGACCTACGTTTCGTTCGCCCCCGAGCTATGTTACAAATACCTCGGTCCGTTCTAAGCCGCCCTTTATATAGATATAAGAACACAAGAACTACGGTAGATTGTATTCTCGTTATACTATTTCATCGATCTAGCTACTAGTAAGCCGCCTTCCGTTCGATTACTACGACTAGTCGACGCTGTCTAGAGGACGATACTATCCGCTATCGGCGCCGAGCGAGGATACCTGTCTAACCGGATCCGCTAGACAATCGAGTTCTATACGCTAATATTATAGAGGTTTGCCGGCCGCTAGAGACGAAGAGATACGGATTACATCGTTATAAGATGTTCGCTATAACGACTCGACGGGCCGTAAAGACGGGCGAGATTTATATGTATATATACGGTATACTACGAGAATTGTAAGACGAGGGCGGAAACCTGTCTTATAAAGGGGTTTAAGGGTGAAATGTAAACTACACCCGTACTAGAGTCAAATTTTGCTTCGTACTCGTAAATGAAAATTAATAACGTTACGCCGGGGTAGTACTATAAATTCCCCTTTGCCCTATAACAACCTAACTAGTAACTACTACCGACATGTAAGCTTGTTCTAGATATAGCGCGTAGTAAGACGATCCTTAACCTACGCGCCTCTCGCGGTAGAAGGTAACACCTCGACCTAGAGGGACTTCTTAAACTCCTCGTAAAGAGATCCGACCGAAATGGCTAGCGTATGTTTATATCGAAGGATAGCTTTACTACGGCTAACATTTCTAGATTACTCCTAAGCCGACCTCGTACAGTTACTAAATACTACTATTCCCGAAGTCGAGACGCTCCGCGAACGCCTACGTAATCTCGCCCGTTTAGATATACCGTCCGAGGAACTCCTCCCTCTTATAGAAGACCTTAAGCTAGATAGCGTTATAGTATGCGCGAAGACCGAGACCCCGAAACTCTAGATAATTAAGAAAGAGAAGGCTAACGATTATTACCTAAACCGCGCTATCGGGGAGATTAGTATAGACGACGACTAGAAGGACACTTTCGGCCCTCCTACTTCCAAGACAGTAAGTACTATAGGATCTTTATCGTTATATAGCGGCGCTAACTTATAGGAGGACTACTTTCGCTACTACGTCCCGAATCGCTTCGTTAGCGACCTTACTATCTCCGACGTCTATAAAGATTACTAGGAGCCGGCAACCGTGTTATCCTTAGTCCCCGGTAAACGAGACGCGATCCTCCGATACATAGTCTAGGAGGAAATTAACGAGCTATAGAAGAACGAAGGCTTGCGCGACGAAGATACTACTAAGACTACGAGCAAAGTTTTCCTAGACAAAGAGTTCGTCGCGCTCTCGTAGTAACGACCCGTTATCGGCCCTAGAAGATCCAGTCCCTAGAAGAAGGCGGCGCCGCTAGAGCGGCGGTAGGCTCGTCGTACGTTCGTACTAGAGTTAGTAGACTTCGACAATCTGTCGGCGAAGTTGAAAGCCTATACTCTTATCGCGAGAGACGACTAGTAAGCGGATATTCGGAGAGGTCGCCTAGACAAGCCCCGAGATAAATAGCTATCTATCGACATACTCTATACCGAGGGGATCGATCGTAAGTAGTATTCGGAAGTAGACGAGGATAGCGAACCGTTAGAGCTACTAGAGTTAGTCTACATTACCTAGGCTTTCGAAAACTAGAGCTATATTATCGATAGCGGTACTAAGCTTCGCCGGGTATTCGATCTCTACGACGAGTACAATATAGAGGTTAAGCTACGCTTTACGGAACTTAAGCTACTAACTACAGTCCGGTAGCGCTAGCTACCTAATCTTTCTAGGTAGTAACGACATAGAGTATAGTCTTCGGTATAATCGTAATACTAGGTTCGTATACTATTAGCGCTATAGTATAGGATTCGAACGGCTTTACTATATCTATTCCGTTGTAATCGACTCCTCGAGCGGCATAGCGTCGGCGTACTAGATAGACCTTAAATAAAACTGCTATGTCTAGACTAAGGATCGAGCTCTTATCTCCTTACGGTCGCTGTTACTATTTATATCTTTATCTCTACCGACACTAACATAGAAGTAAGAGTTTAGAGACCTATAATGCCGCCTACTCTAGCTACCCGCTAAGCTACGGCGATACGAATGTTAAGGAATAGTAAGAGTGGAATTAAACAGTAGGTAGGATTTCAAAT